TGGCCAAAACTGTCCATCACAGAAATTTTTTGATAGCACTAAAGGACTCAGTTTTTGTGTCCCTACAAACCCCCTAAAGTCCCAAATTATAAATCGAAAGATTTACCTTGTTTTGGTACATTTTGGTTATTTTGGTTGTGTTTTGGTTATTTTGGTCTCATTTTGGTTTTTTGGTCGTCTTTGGTTTTTTAGTGAGACCCCAATTTTAATCATAAAATTATAAACAAATACCTGACAATCCAATCTATCAAATGTACACCTGCTCACTGTTATATCCTTGGTTATTGTCAGCTTCAAAGGGAGTCTTTTTTTAGGATAGGAAAGGGCTTACAAATAAAATGGAGTAAATGTCATGAAATGAAAAATTATTATATTAATATTCCGTCGGTTAAACGCTGTTGACAATAGATAATAGGAAAAGAAGAATTAGTTTTTGAAAAAAGATGAATTTGGTTAGCCATAATAAATTCATTTTCACCATGGTAACAACAAAAGTTAACGGCTTAGCTAATATTTAAATGATAAAATTACAAAAGTTCAAGGTAGAATAGGAGTTGAATGAATTGTTATTTCAATGATTTGGTCTAAATCCAACCGATTTAGTTTAACATTTCAACACTTTGATATTTTACATTTTGACCTTTTTTTATTTTTAATTTTTGCTAATATTGTGATGGACAACAAGTTGTGGTCCATTGTTCAATTGACAAAATTGTGAATCAAGTTTAAGCCTTTTCTTTATGATGTTATATAAAAATGTGTAATAACCAATACAATGATGTTCATGCTTACTTTTTTTGCTATTATTACTCTGATGTTAACCTTTTATTGTGATCAAATTGTGATGGTGGATTGCTTGATACAGTTACTCGAGTTTCCATTGAAAATCACTCAGGCCAAGCATGTGGATGTAATATGGAGATGAGGAAGATAAAGGTTTCATCTTGTGAATGGATTTGCTTTGTTATGCAGGGGCTTCCCTCTCTTCTCTGTGCCCTCTCTTTATGTATCTTGATACGCCAAACTCAGGTTCATTAGATCATTTTGTGGTTTGATATAGTTGTAATTAGTGTTGATATTTTGCTGCTGCTTCTGGTCAATACCTTTACTTTAAACCTTGCTAAAAAATCTGTCTTCTAAAAATGGACTACTCAATATTGGTCAAAGTAACAAATTGTTTCACCTTGCAGTTCATTATCTGTTATTTGTCATCTGTTAATGGTCAATACTATGGAGATCCTTATTCATCGTCTTCGTCAAGTAAGGATTGTTTTATTTTTTTAAGACTGACAAAGCTGTTGTGAGCCTTTAACTGTTCATCTTTTTGTCTTTTAGTCAACCGTTATGGATATCGATATGGAAATGGTTTCAACTATGGATCAAAATATAGCAATCCTTATAATGGACAATACTCTGATCCAAACAGACAATCGATGAATCCGACTGATCAAATGACTGATCCCAACAGCTATTGGAAAATTTTCCGTGATCGTTACCCACAAGGTATGCTTTGTGCATTGTAAACAATTACAACTGATTCATGTTATTCATTTCTAACTTATAACCCTTCGTTCCAACAGCAGGATTCCCTTCTCTTTCATCGTCGATGCCTCCTCAACCATCTTCAATGTCTTCCTCCTCTCCTCTGTCTTCTTCCTCTTCTCTATCGTCATCTGGGATGCCTTCAATGTCACCATTCAATTCTCAATCACAAATGCAATCACAATCACCATTTTTATCTGTATCCTCCATGCCTGGTCAACCACCTCTATCAAATTTTGATGCTAAATACGGCGTTCTAGGTCCAGCCAATTTCGTCGATAGCACAGCAACATTTGATCATAGATTAGGTTGGGTTCCAAGGTATCCAAATTTCGTCCTTCCTTCAGGAGCTTATCATTTTCCAGCAACAGGTCATCCTTATTCATATCACAGAAATAGGATTGCTCGTGGTGTTGCAGATATAAGAGGAGCAGACAATAAAATAACAGGATCAATCAGTTTTGAACAAGAGGTAAGGATCAAATTTATAAATGAATTTTGTATAAATGTAAACTTTATAAATTTCTTGGGATCTTCGATTTTCACTAATTGTTAATAGGAAAATGATCATGTAATTATTCGTGGAAAAATTCTGGGTCTTCCACCTGGTGCTCATGGTATGCATGTTTTGGAGAAAGCTTTGACTGGCAATGATTGCTCTTCTGGAGGTGACCATTATAACCCACAAAAAACTGATCACGGAGGTAAACACGATTGGGTTCGCCATGTCGGTGATTTGGGTAACATTTTTGCTGATCGAGATGGAGTCGCTTATTTCGATCTCACGGATCAAATAATTAGCATAACTGGTGGTTATTCTGTTTTAAATCGAACCATTGTGGTAAGTTAATCTTTCTCAAACATTTACTTTTGTCCATGTTATCTCCATTCTCATCATTTTCATTGTCATTCTGTTTAAAATTAGATTACTGAGAAACCTGATGACTTGGGTCGTAGTGGGGATCCAGAAAGCAAAAGAACTGGTAATTCAGGACAAGCGATTGCTTGTGGACTAATCCAGTTGGCAAAGTTTTAAATTACTAATTTTCGATACACAAATGTTATCAATCACAATTTCTTTAAGCTAAAATCGATTATGACTTTTGCCTTTGGATTTCACCTTCCGCAAAGGACTCTGGAAAGTCCATTCATGTATTATTCGGACTTTAAATTCTGTATTCAATTTTCTTGTAATACAAATACATAAGTAATCATGTAACTTTTAAAGGCATCCTGGTTGCTCACTAATTCAGTAGTGCCTAAACCAGTAATTAGAGATGTTAGGAAAAGATCAATCTTGAAAACTCAATTTTCCTATTCCATTCAATTATTAATACTAATATTGTATTAAGAACCAAAAAAGATCGTATTAATGCAAATATTTTTGTCTTTTTATAAGTAAAACCGTTTTTTTGTATTCTGTTACCTCTTTTATTAAAATTCTCAATTCTGATTCAAGATCAGGATCGAACTGAAACAGTTCTTCTTGGCCTTTGACAGGCAAATATCTATTCAGTTTGATCATTTTTATGTCTATTTTGATGGTCTTCATTGATTAACTTGTTAAACAGTCATTAGTGTATCTTTTTCATCTTCTTGGTCAACACTATTATTAATGATTGACCAGGATCATTCATCTAATTTTAACATTTTTATTTGTGTGGTTTCGTTTTTTTCATTTTGCTCTTATGTTTACTTCACAGTTTAACGATTGAATTTTGAATTTGATAGGCATTAAAATGATAATAATGGGTGTGTGTATTTGTGGTCAAATGATGAGAAATTACTAAATTGTAAGGTCAGTCATTGTTGGTGAGAGGTGAGTAAGTAATAATGAATGGCGGTCATAAGGTGAGTTAATCTGAGAATAGAAGTGAAAGTAGATCAAACCTGAAATAAACCCGATGCTGTCTTTTAGTTATTCAATAACTTGCTTTTTTTAATGATAATCATTAAAGATGTTGATTGTTGACTGTTGCTTGTTACCATTATCATTAATATTTTAGTTATCATCATTATATTGATAATACAATGGGAAATCCGTGCAAGAACAACACAAATAAAGCTTCAATGAAACAGTTGAATCATCTTAATGATGGTTCTTTTATGATTAAAAAATGATGAATGCAAATTTTTTGCCTTTTGAGTTATTTTTAATTTTCTCAAATCATTATTTGTTATATTCAAAGTGTAAAGTGTGTATTAATTATTAGCCTTTCAACATTAACATTCAATCAAATAAAATTTAGTCAATTGTTTGAAAACAAAAACGGTTTACTTTAGCATCTCAATGAATCAGATGAAATGTTACAAATGTTTTACATTAAAACTTTGATGCAAAAAGATTGAAGATTGATTCAATTTATGAGTAATTTTTCAATTATTGCGTCTTTTTGATTCAATTTAGCTTTTAAAATGTGGTTATTGTTTGTCTTGAGTACCAATTTCATTGATCACTGGCAACTTCACATTTCGAGTTTATGCTAATTTTAAGTTTTATCATTTGCAATCGTTATTATTATTTCCTTGTTTACTTGTTTATTCATTTGTTTTTCCCATTCTTTTTTTACCTGATATTTCATCTGAAAATGCTGTCACCAAGGTTACATTATTTATCATTAATAAATTATTAGTAAACAACTGGATATCAGTTAAACATGATCACGGAAGTAAACATGAACTTGGCTTTCCTCTTCATTTCATCAAACGCTTTTTTTACTTTCTGATAAATTGTTGCTCTTTCCAATGTGTGTAATGATGACAATTGTCCCTTTTAACTTGTCAGATTAGAGTTGATACAAACACGATCTGTAATTGTGATGTAATTTTGAAATGAAAGCGAATCGTCAATTGTCACAATTCAACTAACCAATTGAAGAAGCGATGAAGACACTATTAAATGATAATGATCTGATTAAACCCGATTTGTAAGTCTTTGCATTGAATGTGGCCAAACAATTAGAATTGTAAATCATTTCAATCAGGATAAGAATAAACGTTTCTAATTCTCACCACCACCATCATCATGAATTGATTAACCAAATATTAACAGTAAATTGTATTACAAGATGGTGTCTCTTCAATGTTTTGCAAGACCTGTACAATGAATAAAAAAAAGTATATTAGTTCAAATTTGACCTGAAAAATGGATATAAAAAAAGTAGATTTGAAAATAAATATATATAAATATCAGTATATTTATATATATACATTTGAATAATACAATAAAAGGTCAAGGATGGTCAAGGGGATGGTCATGAAGGTAAAAGTAACCATCTAACCTTAACAATTGGGAAAAGTTATACATTTTTAGTTGACCTTAAGGCAAGGTTACCAAGGAAAGTTAAATGGCAGGAATAAGATTTAACAATTGATTTAGCTTTACACCATTTGTTTGTGTTAATTTATGATTTGGATTCCAAGAAATTTCAATAATATTCCTATTCAAACAATTCTTGGAAATTTTCAGGTTCGAGGTTTTTCTAGAAGCGTAAAGGCCAAAGTCAATTGATTAAAGCTGTAAGATTGTGATTAAGGTCAATAATGTATGACATTTGCTTGAATGCATCCAAGTCTATGATGATAATGATGAGAAAGGAAATGGTGAGAATATGATGATAATAAGAGAAAGTAAAGAGAAGTGAGTGACAAAAAGGAAGAGAGAGAGAGAAATGATAAGAAAGATGATATTGAAGAGAAAGTTTCATCCCAAACATGGTGATTCAATGTCGATAGAATTTGTTTTACAGTTTCTCTTTTCATCTTGTTTATCATCTTGCTCATTTTCAATTAGGCAAGAGACAGATAGACAGAGGAAAACAGAGAGAGAATCTTCAATGCGGAAGTTATCCCTTGAAAAGCTGAGAGAAACTCTCTCCTTTTTTCATCATCAACTCTCTCTTTCTCTCTATCTTTCTTTCTTTTTTTACCGTCTTTTCATTTTGCTCTCTTTCTTTTTTGCTTTTGACATAAATTCAGTTCAATGACCCTCGAGAGAGACTGAAAAAGAGAGAAAGAGAGAGAGAGAGAGAACGACATACACAATTCTAAATGGAAAAAGATTGGTCTTAACTGTTTTTACCTAAAAATTGGCTATTTTGTGGGTAAAATCCTTGACTATTATATAACTCTTTGTGTTCAGTGCATATCGTCATCGCCTTGCTATCACCGCTGTTACCACCACCACAACCTTCATCATCTTTTTTAAATTGCTAATTGATGTTAACTATTTTGTGTGTGAGTGAATGCATCAATGTTATTAGTTACCATGTGTCATTAACCATCCATTGGACAACAATTTTAAACTGAAAAGAAGGGATAAAAAAAGGAGAAATTAAAAAGGGAAGAAATAACAGAGAAAACAATATCATTGAGAAAGGAGCATTAGATAAACAAGAACAGCATTGACTCAATCAATGAAATATAGCCAGGTTAGTACTTTTACACCATGTTAATCCTTTCTCTCATCAGAACGAAATAATTGCCCAAAATCATCATCATTTGAACATTCAAATATCATCTTCATTTAATTTAACTCACCTTGTGTTCATCCTAAAAATTTGTATTCACAGCTTTGTCAACCTTGATTAATCAAACCTATTGTTACCAACAAAGGTTAACCCAAAGAGTAAGCCTTGCAGCAACTCCAAATATCAAGTGTCGTCTGTAAACATCAGCAGTGTTGATTTTGATCGTTTCATTTCAATCCTTTCCATTTCCATGTGTTTAAATTTTAAATTAGTTGCTAACCATAGCTACTGTTTTTCACTTAACATGGTCAAGTTAACATTTTTATTGCCACAAGTTGAAAATGTAAAAATAACTGTTTATGCACAAATTAACTCAATAACCAGGAAGTGAAATGTTGATATTTGTTCCATCAGGGTACTGAATACTGTGTCAATTGTTTCTAGGCTAAAAATTTGGTAATTACAACAATCAAACAATATTATAAATAAGAGAAGGGTTAACAGATATTATTAAAAGCATGTTAAGCAATACATTGTAGCAGTTTTTAGCTAAACTATTATACTAACACGTACATTAATGGTCCAAGATAATGTACAGCATTGACAGGTGATTAGATGTTAATAGAAAGGTTAATAGAAACGATATAATACAATTAAAATAAGATGTAACAAAAAATAATTGAAATAAAAGTTGAACACATCGAACAAGAAACATGAAAAAGGCTAAAATTATTAATAGACAATCAGCTTGAACCAAGAAATTTTTAACCGCGCAAATTGAAATGAGTTGAAGCACTTTCAAAGTTAATGTTAATATTAATGTAAATTAAATAAACATGCAATTGTAGATTAAAACCCTTTAGCCAACTTAATTATCATCCAATCAAACCTATTATTTGGCTCTCAATATACTTGAAATTCGTTCTTTAACAACAATTCAGATAATGATTATATTAATAAGAGTTAGTATTATTAGATTCAAGTTTCTTTCTATTTACAGGTGATGATGATGGAGTAGATGAGAGTTGTTTTGCAGGTTTCGAAGACTCTCTTATTGCTCTCACTCTCCTCCTTTCAAAAACTTTCTCTATCATGGTTTTACCTGATAAACCAATGACTGAGTTTTTCATTATGAAAATAATGAAAAAAGAGTGAGAATTGAATGTAACTGTATTTTGTGGTAATAATAGAAAGACGGGGGAAGATGAAGCGAGAGAGAGAAAGAAATGTTTGTGGTTTTAAAGTAAACTTTCTCTCTCATTTATCTTCACCATCATCATCTTTTTTAATCTTTAATTTCACTTGCGCTTGATACCTTACAAGTTGAGGCTAAAGATTTTCTCAAACTTTCCCTCATTTACTCACTCACTCACCTATACTTGACCATCATTCATCATTATCTTCTTCTTTTTCTTTCTCCTCATTTTCATCATCACCTTAATCATCGTCACTTTTATTTGTATTAATCTTTCGATTACTTGGCATTGCCATTGACGCTTTGGTACCATTAACAGCTTTGTTATCCATCATCATTTTATTCACTTGAAATATTGATTTGCTTTTTTTGTTGTTTTTGATTTCCATTTGTGGTGTGACTTCTGTGACTTTGTTAACCATCAACATATCTACGATAAACGTTTCAATCATCATCTACTAATTATGATCGGATTTCAGTGTCCAGCGACAGTTCAACCTGTCTTTGGTCGGACTCCATTGTTTCCAGCCTCACCCCAACAACCAAGCTCACCATCGTCAGGCTATCAAGCCAGACAAGCATCACTTTCACCACCAAATCTTCTCGATTATTTTCCTGGTTTAGCTGGTGACGGATTACGACTTAATTGGGCTCATGCAGCTAATAGTCGATCACTTCTTAATCAAGCATTAATGGGTAAGTATAATAAATCGTTGTTAGTCGCCAGCAATAGAATGTCTATAGATTATCCTCATTAGAATAGCTTTATCAGCACCAAAAAGTCAACCCAGTCTGAAAAATAACATGAAACTGTATTAGATTAGATGTTTTAGCAAAGTTATGAAAATTTTTCACTTGATATTCAATCATCTTGGAGCTTCTAAATCTTTCAAATGCACCAAGAAAAAAGGTTCAATAGCAGTTGTTGATTGGAAATTTATGGTTTCTTGTAATAGAAATTTGTGAGATTAATGATTTTTCTCTATATTTGATTATTTTCAATGAGAAAACTTTTGGATGTTAATAGATTGATTGCCTTTTCCAGAAAGAAAAAGTTAAAGGGTAAATGGTAATGATACTTGCTATTAACGATAAGTTAATAAATTACTTCAACTAGTCAACAGTTGACAAGTTGAGCATTCATTCAACTCGATACCGTTAATCAGCTAATCATTCAGATTCCTTGTACACTGGAATTCAACTCTTCCTGAACCAAACATTGAACACATAATAATTTAATACCATCAATTAATTGTAAAGGAAAGAAATTTTTAGCTTGCCATTTCAAACGATTCCATTGAACCTTTCAACTAGTGGAGACATTAAACTTTCTAATTTCCCTTTTTTCTATTATTAATTTGATTGTCATTAATGGCTGATGGGTTTATAATTAAAAGGATGGAAGTAGGTAACGTTAAATTGAGAATCGAAATCAATCGCTAATGATTTACTTGATTTGCTTCAACAATTCAATTGCTTTGGTAACATTTAAACAAACTTGAATAAGTAACGTTACTGAACTGGTCAATGTTTATGAATGGAATTAGAAAAAATGGGAAAGTGAAATTTTCCGAATTACATTTTCTTTTCAGTTCTTTATTATTAGCATTATTATCAAGTTATAAATAAATGCTTTCCTAATTTAATGGGTTAACAGTGACAATTTAATTTACTATTTATAAGTGAAAAGGAAAGGTAACTTCAACAGTAACAAAAAAGAGGAAAGAATCACTTTTTGTTTTCTGTTGTAAAGAAGAAAGAAATGTAACAAAAATTACCTGAATTAGAAATAAACCTTTTTTCTTGTGATTGAAAAGAAATTTTCATGATTGAATTCGCTCTAACTAACCTTTAACTTCTGGTTTTGTGTTTAGGTGATGAATTGATGATTGAAGCAGATGTTACACTGGCTGAAACTACTCGATATCCAATTCCAATAATGTCACATCAACCAAGTCATATGTCCGATATAACGTTGGAAGATTGGTTGATTGATGTGGTTCGCTCTGAAACTGGTAAAGGTGTTAAACTGGATTTCAAGAGCACAAGAGTGGTTGAACCAGCATTCAGAGTATTGGCAAGGCATGCTGAATTCATCAAAGGTCCACTGGTGTTAAACGCTGATATACTTCCAGGTAAATTATTTCAACAATTAAAAAATGTATACAAACAATGATTTAATGTTAACGGAAATTTTAAAAAGGCTAACAAAGCCAAAGATTATTAACCCCATCTATTGTTTATAAAATGATTCCTAGCCAATGGTCCATTAATGAGCCCTAATTAATCAAAGATGGCAGCATTTAGCATTTGTTGACAAATTAAACTGTAAATTGAACTTTGTAATTTGTTTGAAAACGAGGCAATCAATCTCAATTTAAAACATGAATTTCATTGTTATTTTTATTTATACTTAGGTTACAAATCATCTGTAAGTCCAGTTGATCCATGGACATTTTTGATGTTATGCCGAACTCGTTTCCCTAAATCAATAATATCTATTGGCTGGACAACCGAATCAGACGATATGTCAATGAAAACTGGTTACACCAGAGAAATGGTTGATCAAATGGCTTCACTCGTTAAGGAATACAGTTTAATTCAACCTGTTACCTTCCCAATAAATGCCACCATGTTGAAACCATCTCTTGGTGAATTACAGCGATTACTTTTTCAGGTAACTTTGATACATTTTATCAAATCATAACATTTCTTCTCTCTCTTTCGCTCTATCGTTTTCCCCTTTCTGTTCCTTCCTTTTTTGACCTGCATTAACTTTAAGACATAAAACTCACCCACCATCTCATTCAATAATAACCAATGGTTTAAGTAACTGATTTAGAAGGTTATTGACCTCAACAGAAACCACTTTTTGCTTAAATAAAGCTTTTAGTTGCTATACTCTGAAAAGGACTTAAGATATAAATCAAACCGTAAGATTTAAAAAATCTAATCTTGCCAAGGCCAAGTTTACAATGTTATCTATTTCAATGGAAATCCGACCATAACTTATCCAATAGTATCACCTTTGCGTTCGTTTAGCATTTTCTTTCTCCATCACTACATAGCTAAATCAATATTGAAACAATTGGACAAAATCGTTTATTATATCTTCATACATACTGATTTGGGCTAAAGTAAATGACACATTTACGTATAAATAGCAATAATAATAATACTAATAATATTAGTTAACCATTAATATAGCCGTCCTTCTCAAAAGTCGAGATTACAATGCAACTAAACGTTAATCGGTTTCTTATACATTTTCTCATTATCAAGATTGGTCACATTTCTCAAATTAGATTTGATTATAATTAGTATAGTTCCATTATCTCCTGAAGATTGATTTTTAATTAATCAAGTTTGAAGAATTGATGAGACCTTCCCTTAAATCCTTCGTCTCCTTGTTTTCATCCACTCCACCAAATTCAACTAATACTTTACTTTTATGATTTCCAATTCATTTACTAATTGGTTGTTTTCGTTTTTTTGTATCAATTAAAGGTTCCAAACAGCAGTTTAACACTATGGGCTCATCCTGGCGATCCTGTTTCATTAGAAGATCTGTTAATCTACAGGAAAAATTTCTCACCAAATCAGATCTTTTATGATTTACCAGAACCTTTACTTAGCATGATTCGTTCCCATGTTTATCGACGTTAATTGCCTTTTCTTTAATCTTCTTTTTTTGTTCACCATCACAATTACCACCAACACCACCATCATTATTATAATGTCAACTTGGATTTCATTGGATCGTCCGTATTGAAATCATTTTCCTTAACAATCACCACTTTCAATTCATCATCCACAATTTGGATTTTAGCTATTCCGCATTGATTAGCTCATTTTTATCCTTAAACCATATTTACTGTCAGTTCATTATCACTATTGTGCTGTCTCTTTTCACTTCTCTATTTTTGATTTCTTTTTCGCCATCAATTCAACTTCAAACAAAGTCTAATCAACAGCAATCAAGTCAAATATGAGTACAGTGGATAAATAATGTAATCAAAGAGGAAGCCATTTAAAGTTAAATCTCATCGAAAAAGAGATTAACTGAGCTGTTATTGAATTAATGATGATCTACGATCTGACGTTAAACATTGTTTTGATTCGATTGGAGTAACAGGATGATCAACTAAATACAATTATAATACTTATTATTTCATCCAAGCCTTTGGTTAAAAATCAATTTTGGATACAAGAAAGAAAGAAATATACCGATACATTTTTATCTGGAAAGTCATGAGGAAATTGGATAACTAAGTTATCCATTGAATGACTTATCAAACAATATTTAATAAGAGAAATTGGTGATTTGATTTTGTGTGTGCCTGAGAGTGTGCCTAATGGTTGTATCAAATGAGGACGCAAAGAACAGCAAACATGGATTAAGAGGATTAAGAGTGGATCAAATTTAAATAAAATCATTGGTATCATCAGCTTTTGAAATTATTTTGGATCTAAATCAGTCAATGTTGCAGGTGGAACCAGAGGATATTACAAATCACTGTGGAACTCATCCAGAGAATTTCATTTGGAATGTTTAATTTTCCCATCTACACTCAACTTATCACCCTTTTCTTAACATACCAATCCTGATTAATTACTCTTGACCGTGTTTCCCGTTTTACTGCTAATCTTTTTCTACACTCATTTCAAGATGGATTTTATAAGATTTGCAGATGTCCATCAATTAATTATTGACGAAAACATTGACATGGACATTGACATTTCAGCAAAGAATCACGTAATCATCAATGGTTGCTCTGAGAGGATGCATATTGATAGTTATTGACATTAACTCAAAAAATTGTCAACTTGACAAAATTTTTTCATTTATTTTTTGTTTTTCAACTGTAAAGATGTAACTGGCTGATTGACTGGAGGAATTACGATCAAAATTAGGCATTATTTGGTGGATTCAGTTATTGATGGATAATATCATCTGATGGATTTTTTTAGGTTAATTAACATTTTTCGCTGATTTATACTTATTCAGTTTCCCTAGTCTGTGAACTTGACCTTTTTCGTATAGCTATTGATTTCTAATTATTATCTTACCAGCTTTCAATTGATTGCATTTTTACTACCTATTTTATAATTGTAAAGTTTTGTTGACAAAGTTAAACAAAACAAAAAGAAATGATTGCGGCCTTGATTGTTGAAGAGTCAACCAAACCTATTGTGAAACTTGATCAATACCTAATTGTGACCCTGACTTGACCATCATGATTAGATTGATAATGTGCCTGACTTAAGTTGAGAAATTGTTTTCGTCTCTTTATGTACTGAAGCAATCCATTTTAATTATTACTTCTTGTGATAAAATAAAAATTTAAAAAAATGTTTATCACTCTAAAGTGAAAATGATGTCAACTTATTGAATACAACACAGGCAGTAATACAGCATCACTCGATGGTGACAGTTACCCATTAACAATGGCACATTATTATTTCTCATACAACGATAAATAATTCGTATGATAAAGTAACTGATTATCGGCTTTGTGTCGAATGCTGTTAATCAATTTATTAGCAAATCAAGCAGTTTTTTGAACTCAACTCTGCCTGCATGAAGGAATGAAACACGCATAACTTTTTATTCATAAATAACTGAACGTTAAGCGGAGCTGGCCAGTGTTTATAAGAGAATGAAAAAATGGGAAAGTGAAATTTCTCAGATTAAATCTTTTTCAGTTCTCTATTACAAGCATGGTAAACAATTCAATAGCAACTTGAGTAATCAAGTCGAACTCTATTACTCAGGTTCTTCCAGAAGTTGTTCTTCCTTTTTGTATTTAGTTCTGCCATCCCAGTGACTTGCGGACAGTTTGCGTTTGGCATACCATCGCCCTTCCATCAACTCAATACATTTATCAGCTGCATCGTGATCTTCGAAGGTAACAGATACAACTCCTTCCGGGTGTTTATCAAATAATTGAATTTTCTTTACAGGGCCACATTTATTTGAACATTCTTCCATAACATCTTCTTTATATTCAAAAATAGCTTCGGGTGTTTCATCAAACTCTTTTGGATCGAATAAATTTTTGATCACCACAGTTTTTTCTCGATGAGCTCGTTCTCCTGGCAATTTTTCAGGCCTCCAATCAAATAATCTAAATAAAAATGAAAAAATTATGAAATTGTCATGATAATGAAACAACAATAAGAGTTTGACATCCTTTAAGAATGTACGATAGATAAAAAATGCGATTTGCTGACCAATGACGAATAGACTTTATGCAGAAAAATGTTTCTGAACTCACCTGTCAACCTTCTTTTTAAGCTTCTTCTTCATCTTGTTTTGCATTTTTGGTTTTCTCTTAGGATCGTAGTCACCTTTTAATTGAAATTGAGCCCTTTCACAGGTGATGACGTTATTTTTGAATGTATCACCATCCAATAATTGTAGGGCTAATTCCACTGACTCAACCTTGATGTAAGAACATAAAGCATCTCCTTTAAATTTACCTTCTTTGTCAGTGTACATTTTAATTTTGAATTTTCCAGTTTCAGGATCTTTCATCAGTAGTCCATATTTTTTCATTAATGTGATGAATTCCTCTTCGGTTGTGTCCAGTGGTAGATTTGAAACGTAAACATGAGTGTTGAAATCGTCTTCGACCTCAAACCAACCAGGTTCTTTCTTGGCTGGCTGAGATTCAGATGTTGTAGCCATAAATTAACAGTTTTGAAAAATTAACAGTAAAAATGAGTGATGTAAACGGCTTCAGAGGTCACAAAAGTTGAAGTAATAAACGACTTAAACATTAAATCAAAACATTTAGCAGCTGTTGAATTATGAAAAAAGCTTTCATAATAAATTTAAAATTTTATTCCAGTAGCTACATCTATCGGAGCATTTAAGTCTCAGAACCAAAACTGGTGATGATACAGTTTAACATTAATGCCGATTTATTTACCGAAGCAAATTGAGCCGTTAAGCTTTAATTATGTTTGGTTTTCATTAAAAGATAAATAAAAATACAGATAACGGAAAGGGGTCAAAAAATTCAATATGAATATAATTTTTGTCTTGATACACTAATTACAATGTAAAACGTGCAAAAAATGATTAGATGTGATATTATTGCTGAGACAACATCAGTAAACTTAATTGCTAACCCATTAGGGCTATTATAAAAAGCATGAACAATTCTAACCAATTGACTCGCCAGGAAAGGAATGAGGAAATTGTATTGTACAAAAGATCCGATTACAGCAAAAAATATCAAAGAGAATAAAGGAAGTAAAGCGTAAGCATAATGATGAAGCGAAATCACAAAGGAGTAGATATAAACAGGCAGAAATCCATCTTTATTGGCTTGGTTTTGCTGTAGCGTCTTAAAATTTGCTGGACTTGAGATGAGAGAAACTTTACGAGGAAAATGAGCACCATCAGTTTTACGTTGTGTAAGCTGTGTTTCTTCAGCTTGAGTCGAAATTTCCTTGGTGAAATTATCACTATTTTTGGGTGCTGGGTTGATTAATCGGTTTTCTTTGCCAACTTTGATTTCATCCTCGTCAACTGATTTAGAACCAAGTAATATTTTGTTCATTCTCAGCTCTTTTTGTTGCAAGAGTTTAGCCCTTCGAGCTTCAGCTTTGCGTATTACCTCGTCCGTGCTCATAGTGGTTGCCTGTTAATAAGATAATTAGAAAAATAAAAACAAATTTTGGTTATCAAGAAATATAGCTTACCGAATAATTCAAACAATAATGATCCAAATAAATCGAAAATATGATTAGATTAGTTTCAACAGTCAATTAATTCACTCCACTTCTCAAATGAAATGTACTCAATGTTTCGTATATCATCAGCTGTTGCAAAAAGGTTGAACACTAGATGGCGCAAATGCATGAAAGTTTTGCATGAAAACATCACAACCAAACACATTTTCGGTTTATAAATAAGATCATAGCCATGTGTTTGTTCAATTACTTTTATCTTGTTTAGTTTGGTATATTTAATTATTTTGGAATGAATATATCGTTGTTATCTCAATTTTCCCTTGCAACTGTATCATTCAAACCCTATTCTCGCCAAGAGCTCAAAAAGTCAAGCGTACTTGAGGTGACAAACCCGGTATCGTTTGATGCTCTTGGGCATCCGACAAAAGGTGGTCTGCATGATCCTGTTTTAGGTGAGCTTTTTTTTAATTTTTGTCTTTTCTTTTTGAATTAGACTTGATAATGAACCTTGCCTTATTTTTCCCATCTTTTAGGTCCTAGTCGAAGGGATGATATATGTGAAACCTGTAATCTTGGAGGACATGGCAAGGATGAGTGTCCAGGACATTTTGGACATATCAGTCTTCCTGTACCGATTTATAACCCATTTTTTATTCGTCAAATGTTTCAAATGTTATCCATGTGTTGTTTTAGCTGCCATCATTTATTGTTTCACCCTGCTAACCTGCAAGTTGTTCTATACCAACTTCAAGCTCTTGATTATGGCCTTGATTACCTTGTTGATGAACTTCAATCTGTAGCCAATGATTTATCCAATATAAAATCTGACAAAGGTCCTGAGTTTATAGATTTTCTCAAAGCAAAATTATCTGAATGTATTGAGAATGCATTGAAACAAAACTCTACAAACTCAAAAAACGATGTCAGTCAAGTCAGGAATGTCATTGATCGCAAGCAAAATTTAATGAAAGCTCTTCTTCAAGGCAAATTGGTCAAAATTATAAAAAATTGTGCACATTGTAATAACAAAAAATTCAACATGAGTCTTGTTAACAACTCTATGGTGCTAATGTCTCAACCAAAATCTCTACCAAAGCATTATGGATTTACAGCATCTAACGAAACTCCCGAAACGTCTGGAAGTGTTCTTAAAGATAAAGTTCAAGAAGTTGACTCTTCTGGAAAATCGTTCTTAACCCCATTGGTTGCCAGAGATCATTTGAGACAACTCTATAAAAATGAAACTGAAACATTAAAAAGAATGTTGAAACTCATCCATACAGAAGAAGGACTCGAAGATGCTCTTGAAGGAGATGATAGTGCCATAGACGTCTTTTTTATGGACATGATACCAGTGACTCCACCACGATTTCGTCCTCTACACATGATGGGAGGTAAATCTTATGAAGATGAGACAACTACAATGTTAACTCAAGTGATTTTAGCATCAGAAGGCTTAAAGAATAGTTTGAAAAGTTTACAAAATCTAGACCAAACATCTGTCAAGGAGAAAACCCAAGAGATGACCAAACTTCACTCTGCTTGGGGCCGTCTTCAAATTTTATGCAACAGAATTTATGATAGTGAGATGGACAAGCTACCAGAAAAGAAGGCTCCCGGTGTTCGTCAAATATTAGAGAAAAAAGAAGGTTTATTCCGAAAGAATATGATGGGGAAAAGAGTAAACTATGCAGCTCGTTCAGTTATCTCTCCTGATCCATATATATCTGTTGATGAAATCGGTATTCCTGAAATTTTTGCTACTAGGTTATCTTATCCCCAACCAGTAACTCCTTGGAACGTTGAAGTGATGAAAAAGGCCGTTATAAATGGTCCCGACATTCATCCTGGTGCTTTGTCAGTCACTCTTGAGGATGGTTCAGTTATGAGGTTAAGAGCTAATGATCCAGAGCAAAGAGCCAGAATCGCTAATTTACTTGGACAACATAAACCTGGATCTAGAACTGTTAATCGTCATCTGATCAATGGAGATATTTTACTTCTAAATCGTCAACCAACTCTTCACAAGCCAAGTATAATGGCTCATAAAGCTCGAGTCTTAAAACGTGAAAAGACACTTCGATTACATTATTCCAACTGTAAATGTTATAACGCCGATTTCGATGGGGATGAAATGAATGCCCATTTTCCGCAAAGTGAACTTGCTCGCTCAGAAGCTTACAACATTGTCAGTGTCAACAAACAGTATCTTGTTCCAAAGGATGGTTCGCCTTTAGGTGGTCTCATTCAAGATCACATTGTTTCAGCAACTCTTCTTACTATGAAAGGTAACTTTTTCAATCGGAAAGACTATCAGCAACTAGTATTCAGTGCCTTGTTCAATCAAAAAACTCCAATCAAATTAGTGAAACCCACTATTTGGAGACCTGTGCCTCTATGGTCTGGTAAACAAATCATTACCACATTGATTATCAACTTAGTTCCTCCGGATAAGACTCCACCGACTCTTTACATATCTTCTAAAGTCAATAGCAAAACCCTTAGTTCGGGAAATTTTAGAGATATTACTGTATCTAAATATTATACACCTGAAGAATTGGATGACTCTACCGTCATCATTAGACAAGGAGAAGTTTTGCAAGGATTGATTGACAAAGCCAACATTGGACCGACACCTTATGGTTTGATTCACATTTGCTATGAACTTTATGGTGGTGAAGTTTCAAACAGTTTACTAACTGCAATCGCTCGTTTATGTACTGTCTATCTTCAAGTCCATGGAGGAGTAACGTTAGGTATAGAAGATATTATTGTGAATGAGAATGCTGACAGGAAACGCAGTGAGATAATCAGAGCTTCAACTACTGTTGGTGATGAAGCAGCTACTCAAGCAGTTGGCTTACCAATCACTTGTGAAAAGTCTGTTCTCGTAAAGAGATTACGGGAATGGCATGCATCTCAAGATCCAGTTTTAATGAAAACTCTTGATAGTTGTATGAAATCTAAAACAGATGAAGTAAACGATGGAATAACTAAAGTATGTTTACCAGCTGGGCTGATTAAAAAGTTTCCGCATAACAATCTGCAACTAATGATTCAATCAGGAGCTAAGGGAGGAACTGTCAATGCATTACAAATCTCTTGTTTACTTGGTCAAATTGAATTGGAAGGAAAACGTGTTCCACTTATGATGAGCGGTCGAACATTACCAAGCTTCGTACCCTATGACACATCTCCAAAAGCTGGAGGATTCGTTACAGGACGTTTCTTAACAGGAATTCGACCACAAGAGTTTTTCTTCCATTGTATGGCTGGTCGTGAAGGTTTGATAGATACAGCTGTCAAAACATCTAGATCAGGTTATCTTCAAAGATGTTTAATCAAGCATCTAGAGGGACTGACTGTTCAATATGATTCAACTGTAAGAGATATTGATGGAAGTCTTGTTCAATTACAGTATGGTGAAGACGGTATCGACGTCTTGAAAAGCCAACTTTTAAAACCTAAAGCTATGCCTCTACTCATTCATAATAGAGCTGTGCTTATGCCTACTGATGAAGAACTGTCTCGACTCCAACTTTCACCTGATATTTTAGCAAAGATTGAAGAATATAGACAAAATATTTCAGACTGGGAAGAAATTAATGAAATGGATCGCTTGAAGCGTCGTATAGGATCTGGATTTCAGGAATATTTCGAGGTAAAGCTTCGTGATTACAAAAATAATTTGCCGGAATCCGTTGGACCTACAGAACTTTCTCAAGAAGATTACTCAACTATCATTGATTCTTGGTTCCAATTAAGTAAAAATGACAAAAGACAGTTGAATTTCTACTTTTTACCTTGCCCTGGTCCGTTATCTATTGATTTTCGACCAAATCATCATTTCGGAGTGCTTCCGGAAAAAATGGAATATCAAATCCAAAATTATGTTAAATCATCTCCTGATGGACTAGTTTTTGATCCTAGCGTTGATGTTGGTGACGAGTCTTGGAAAGGAAAGCAAATCGTTACAATTACTGAACTTAAAAATTTGATTAACTCTCGCTTCATGAAATCTTTAGCCGATCCAGGAGAATCAGTTGGACTTTTAGCTGCTCAGTCAATTGGAGAACCTTCAACTCAAATGACTTTAAATACTTTCCATTTCGCTGGTCGAGGAGACATGAACGTTACTTTGGGTATACCTCGACTTCGAGAAATTTTAATGACTGCTTCACCTAAAATAGCAACTCCCAATATGGATATTCCATTCAGAAGTGATTTCGATGAAAATAGGATTGATGCAGTTCGGAAAAGAATGAGTTCAGTTAAGTTGTGTGATGTCCTCGAGACTATCGATGTCAAAGAAATATTGACTATCAACGAAAAAACTTGTGCTCGGTATTATGATATAGTGTTTAAGTTTCTACCATATCAAACTTACAAAAAGAAATTTAATGCTAAACCTGCTAAAATTTTGTCTTACATGGAGTCTACTTTCATTAAAAATTTAATCAACGCAATAAAACGAGCTCAAATCATTCAAAGGAAATACAATTCTCTATACGACCATTCAATGCACCACAGGGAAGCTAAAGGAGGTGATGAAAATGAAGGAGCACCTTCCGCTCCAACTAGAGAAAATCCTGATGCTGTTAGCTCTGATGAGGAAGATAACGCAGTTGAAGAAGATACACACGCCGTTAGAACTAAAGCTCATAGGAATCAAGAGCTCGATTATGAAGAACCAGAAGAAGAGGAAATCGAAGCTAATAAGGAACCAGAGGAAGATCAAACTGATAATATTACAACTCTTGAGCCAGATGAAGAAGTACATCCGAAAGTAGATGAAGATGAAGAATTACAGCAACAAAATGAGCAGGAATCAGCGGAATCGCAAAAGGAAAAACAACCAGAAACAAACGAAAGGCAAGATGATGATTGGAATCCATTGCTTACGAAAACGTTAGAAAAAGAAAAGAAAGAAAAGGAAATGTTAGCTAAAAAGGCTCTAACAGAATCTTTGGTGAAAGAAAAAAGTTCCTTTATTGATCTCTATGATTATGATGAAGTAAAAAAAGAATGGTGTAGGGTTGTACTCAAGTTTCCTTTAAACACAGATAAGGTTGACATTGCGTCAATTGTTGAAGAGGAAGCACGTAAATCTTACATTTTTAAAATTGGTTCAATCGATAAGGTATTCCTTGTTGAAGATCGTGAAGCTTCTAAACGTGGTGTTAGCCATGGTAAAATGATTAAAACCGAAGGAGTTGGATTTTTTGATCTCGTTAATATGCAATCAATATTTGATCTTAATCGAGTTTACAGCAATGACATTCATGCAATTGCTAATACTTATGGTATTGAAGCTGCTCGTAAAGCAATTACTATTGAAATTGCTAATGTTTTCGCTGTTTATGGAATTGAAGTGGATCCGAGACATCTTTCCCTAATTGCTGATTACATGACGTTCAATGGGACAATCAAAGGAATGAACCGAATTTCAATGGCGGGTAGTAGCTCACCTTTACAACAAATGACTTTTGAGACGACAGCAGCATTTTTGAAAAGTGCTCTGCTTTTAGGTAAATTATTCATTTACTTCAAGTTAATTACAACAATACAAAATCTAATTTCTCTCATTCTTTTGCAGATTTTAAAGACGAACTCAAATCACCTTCGGCCAGAATATTTGCTGGTCGACCTCCTCTAGTTGGAACTGGTATTTTAGGATTGATGCAAGATGGAACAGTTGAATATAAACCATCACAGCATCTCAGGTTTAAAAATATAAAAAATGACTCAAAGATATCACCTAAAAGCGGGCGTAAATTTGGACCAAGAAATCGTACCTCAAATAGATTTGGGAATCTTAAACGCAAACACCAAAGTCCTAACATTTCAATAGAAAAACCTCTGAACAAAAGAACGAAATTTGATTGATATTGTGTACAGTTAATTTAACTTTATTACTTCTAAAGAGAATCCAAATCTAAGAAACTTGTAATGAAAAAAAAAATCAACAGAATCTAAAAGAGACTTCTGGGAATATATGTTTTTGTTATGCAATTTTCATTGAATAAATTGTTTTTTCCTTTCACAAAAGACAAGAAAAAAACATACTTTGGTATTCAGTCTGTTAACCGGACCAACACAGTGAAAGATTCTTTAGATCATAAAGCTAGTTAGTACATTGATTTACTTGATTAATGATACTCACAGGAATAATGGTTCACACAACAACAACAAGACAGAGTAAACTTTCAAATGGAAACCAAAGAAGCAGAGAAACCAAGCAAAAAAGAAGAAAAGAAAGAATTAAGTGAAAAAGTTAGAAATATGAAAAAACGAATAATATCAGTGCATATAATATGAAAATAAATATAAAAAAGGAGTAGTAAACAAGAAGAAGATGGAAAGTAAAAGTGAAAATGAAATATCAAAAGAAGAGATTGAATGTACAAGAATAAGATGATGGTAATGATGATGATGATAAAAATCAAGTTGAAAAGGTAAAATGAAAAGGCAAATGCGAAGAAAAAAGGAAACTGAAAGAAAGATGATGAGACTATTTTCCCATTTTATGTTGATCACATTGATGTGTTTACTTGTTATTATCATGGGAGGATGACTTATTTTCTGTCAACTTTGCGCAAGTTTCTATTACCTTAGCAGAATTTTTCCTCATCTTTTCAACTTTGTTCATCCATCTCTTTCTTTCTTTTTCAGATGTAACCTAAATTTATGTGTACGGCGAGCTATTCACGTACGAATAATTGTGATTCCAGTATTTGCAAGGAAACAATGAAAAAGCGATGGTGATCATGGCAGAGCATTAACGGATCTAATGGAGGAAAGACAAAGACGTAAAAAGAGTTATAAATGTATTAACCAAAAAAAAGGAGAAAGGGATGTGGAAGAATTGGATGAAAAGATGGAGCAGGAGCAATGCTACATGAAATAAACGGAAGATTCTGAGAGATTGTTTTATCTTAGTCAAGCTGAAAAATAAAATAGGAAAAGAGCAAGATCCAAGTTAGCATCGTTTGAAGAGGACAAAAAAGAGTGCATAGAGGACTGACAAAGACATTAGTGAGAAGAAGAGAAAAAAGAAGCTTGTAAAAAGAGCAAATTTAATCAACATGGGTTTCATTTCAATCAAAAGTGAATAGCCATTCACATAGTATTTTTAACTCTTATTATTTCCACCTTTTTTTTCCTATCATTTTCACCCATTTATGTCATCAGTTCATCACAAACTATTATCATCTGAGTTAACAGTTAACATTTTACTCACCAGTTTTCTTCATGGCTTACTTCAACTCGTTTTCCCTCCATCGTTTTGTTTATTTTTCATAGTAACTCTGTTATTGCTTTATTTTGTTTACTAATTTTTTTGGCTTGTGTCAGTTTCCCTCGTTTCTTGGTGTTAAGTTTACCACATCATTTACTTCAAAATCTGGTATCAATATTATCGCCTACTTTATCATCATCTTAACCAACATTCTCTACAAACGACCAACAATAATTTACCTCACTAATGCTTGGTGCTCAAGTCCGTTATTGGGAGCGTAAAAGGCACCCAGAACGTTATGGCCCTGGTGATAGTGAATCCCATCAATCATATTTTGTTCCTCGTTTATCTAAGGATGGTCAACGATATCTTTTGATATTTATCTTCTCAAGCCATATTCTAGCTCTACCTCTTCTCCATTTTCTGGCCTCTAAATCATTTAACATTGTTGACATAATATTCAATTGGTTAACCTATGACATTCTGCTCCATGAGATTGCCCTGTCAGTTGGACTGTTTGGTTCAATAACTGCTAAATGGAAACCTCTAATCATTGCCATATTCCTTCTAATGGTTGCCATTTTGTGTGATATTGCTGTAACTAGTTTTTGTACCAAATGGAATGCCAATGCTCTTGTATCTATTTTTATGTGGGTTCTGATAGCTCTTGAAATTGCGTTGGCTCACTCATTGGCTAAACATTATAAAAGGATTGAAGAAATGCCTCGGGAACCTCTAAATGGACCAAGAAAAGGTAATCAAAGTTATCATTACAGTTGAAGAAACCCTGAAAACTGTTACATGGGGATGGAATTGATTATATTGGTAGACCAATAATAATAACGGTTACAGAAGATGATGATGACAAACTCCCTTTGGGATAAGAGATGTAAAATGTAAACAAAACAAAATGATGATGAAAAAGAGCCAAAAGGAATAAGATTGTAAATGCAATAATAATAATAATAAAAGGCAAAGATCAACAAGCAAGGAAACCAACAAGCAATCCTAGGCTAAGCAGATATATTCATACAGACACGAAAAAGTAAACTGGGTTAACATTGTTGTAACAGAATGTCAAAAAGAAGAGGAGAAAAGGAAGAAGAAGAAGAAGAAGAAAAGAAATTCAATTTATAACATTTTCATGGTGATGTTTAATGATGATGAACCTGATGATAAATTACTTGTAAAAGGAGCAACAGAAATAGAGATGATAAGCGTGACAAGTTATTCATTTTTAATGGAATCATACAGATTCTAATTGACATCAATCAGTCTCACAAGCTTCTTTTTCCCTTCTTGAAAATGTTTTTGTTTTACTGCACGCAATCAAAGAAACATGAAGAAATGGAATGGAAAGGGCACAAAAGAGGAACAAAAATGATATAACTGTCATCAGAAGGGGAAAATGAGCCAAATCAATGTCAAACCAAGAAAGTAAACCACCATAAATATCAAGACCAAAGTTATTTCAACATCATTTCACCTGTAAATCAATATTTTTAACCCTTTTCTTTCATCAAAACCATATTATATACCCTTCGTATTTAACCATTGGTGCCATCCAAATATTTCTACATGTTAAATCATCAAGCCATCAAGTCATCATCATAATCCAAAGCAAGCTAAAACAATTAAACCCACCAATGCCAGTCAATATCATTACCATTGAACCGTTGAGCAAATTCAATGGCCTAGCTTCACGATGACCACTATCTTATATAACCTCCTTTTACCTGTATCTTTCAAGTTATCTAATTTCGTCGTAACCCGTCAATGCCAATCAATATGCGAGCTAATTCATGGATTGATTTAATTTGGATTGCAGTTTTAATATGCCATGAAATATCAAAGCAGTGAACTTTAACACGGTAGATATAATTGTTACCTTTCATATCACCATCAACGTTGTCTACTTTTACTCATAAAATGTACAGTTATTTACACGCATCGTGAGACAGAGATACATTTACAGAAATCCTTTTTTTCATAAGCAAACAATATAATAATTGTTGATATGTTCATCAAGAATGAAGATAACAGTTAGTGTACATCAGAATGGTTAAAAAGCAGTTTCCTAATATCAAAAGCTTTAGCTTAAGTAATGCTTGTCAAGTGCCATTACCTATGCTTCACAAATTATCATCATTTTATGGTATTATTATTTTCCCTGTATTTTGCTGATAGAAAGATGAATTTTACACTTATTCACAGTTTGGAAGCAACAACAGCAGCAGCAGCAAAAAAAGCCAGTTAAAGTAAAAATTAACTGACAGAAGTACATTAGCACCAACATTGAAAATTTAATAATATATGAAAAAAGACATGAAATAACAGACAAAATCTCCAATCTTATAAGATAATTTATATATTATAAAATATAAATTTGTATATTTTTCTCTTGATACTCAAAATTTTGCTGCTGTTTCTTGGAGTCTTTGCTTGCTTACATCTTATATCAGCTGCTTTCAACTGTAGTGAATCAATAATCATCAAGATGACAATTTAAGGTGCAAATAAATTTTATATCTTTAGTCCATGTAAATATATTGCATATCAGTTAAATTGAAAGAGGAACCTTTTCATTTGTTTGGTTAATCACACACAAATCAGTGAAAGATACCTTGAACCCTCAATCCTAAATCTTGAAATCTAATAATATAACAAAAGCTTTCATTCACAAACTTAATTTGTCTTGATGATTATCTTAATCTTCCTTCTAAACCGTCTCTAATTGTATTGAAACAAAGTAAATGCATTTCTAACTATATTCACAGTGACTGTTAAACTATTACAACGATTGATCAGCTGATTAATTGTTAATTATTTGGTGCTATTAATCGTCTCCTTACGGATTAACAAATCCAAATGCAGCCAAGGAAGACAAACAAAAGCCAAAACAAAAAGTCTATCTCAGATATAAATGTAAACTCGTTCCGTCGATGTTAAAACAAACCATCTTTTGTCTTGATCAACACAAAGTTAACTAATTATCATTATTATCTTAATAAGTCTTCCTTCACTTAATTAACTTGGCAATTAATGTTTTCTAATCTGTAATTAAACAGCTTATAATGAGAATTGACAATAATTTGAAACAAAAAAACGCCAAAACCTAAACCCAAACCCAAACCCAAAAAATATCAACGTTTTATTGACATTTTCATTATTTGATAAATCAACAGCTAAATGATCTTAAATGACAAACAAAGATCAACTGTTTAACCATCAAGATCCAGTATTAATCAGATTATTCAAGATTCACAATGAAGAGTGAAAAATTAATGGTTTTGATTCAAATATACAAAATGTTGTTTTTTGCTGTTTTCAAAATCACTCTTTGTTTTCCCATTCTGCTGAGTTTGTGATTTTTTCAGGACAAAAAAAACAATATCTTTCACCTCCAAGACAATTGAAAACATCATTGTTTTCATTGTAATAACAATCATCTTCGTTGTTGTCATCTTGATGATGTTAATGCTTGTGAAAATAAGCAAACCATGCAAGAATTGCCATGATTTGTTTTGAATTATTTACCAATGTTTTTTGTTGTTTTATCCAGTGTTTTTGTATTCCTTTGACTCCTTTTTGAAATATAAAAAAAAACCTTTCAAAAAATCGTCTTTTTTGGAGTTTAAAAAGGCAAAATACTCAAAGTTATAACTGTAATTTATTGTTCCTAATCAATTGTGTACATTTTAATTTGTAACTATCGTTTGAAAATAAAATCATATTCACTTTAATCATTTGCTTTGTTTTCCCATTATCTGATTATTCTTATACTTTCATTTTATTCATCTTTTTGGGTATATTTTGAGTGTTTTTTGGGTTCCATTTAACTCAACAATTTAGTTTTCCACTTATAAAATACACAAATTTAAATTAACATGTTCTGTAAATTGATTTGGTTAAACAGCATTTGAGACTCAATTTTCATTTGAAATGTTACGTTAATGCAACTTTCAAGTTTAATTCAATTTAAACTAAGTTAATTACTATTCATCATTAATTCCCATCATTTTGGGTAACCTTAATTCAATCAACCTTTTTCTCATTGGATTTACTTTGGACCTTTTTTCATCTGATTTTCGTGTCTGTTTTTGCATACAAATTGAAATGTGCATTTCAAAATATCCCATTATTTTAAATTATACAATCCAATCAGTTTACAATTGGTATTAGAATTAAGAAAAGGAAGAAAGGGTTCATCTATTATTTACTTGTAAGTTTCCTCAATAATCTCAACATTCGTGATTCTGTTGAATATTAGGCAAAATATGAGTTTCCATCATGATTAAATGGATAGATTAAACAATTGGTTTGCGCAAAATTGACCAACTCATCTAGTTTGTTCACATTTGTTTGAGGTTCAAGGGAAACAAACGAGCTGCAAATATTTTGATTTGGTTACCACCCAAACCTGAATCAAGAGCTTTCTTTTCTTCTATTGATTTTGGCTTTTCACCAAAACCATTAGACTTTTACAACATTGTTCACAGCACGAAGATGGATTAAGATGAATAAATTGGTAAGGGAAGGGAAAAAAAGATGATCCACACAGAAAAAAATATACAAATTAAAATAATTCACAGTGAAACATCTATTTAGTTATTCAAAAGGTAAATCAATGGATTCTGTCTTATGGTAAATTGTATAAACACAAAGGCTCCATAGTTTCTATGCAAAATTATACAGTAACGATGCAATTATAAACCAATAACTTTATGGTAATCATACCAATTTAACTGTTTTTTCAACAAAATTTAAAACACTCATGGAAATATTCACTAAATAGAAACAATCATCACAATATGTAACCCTTTTCAAGCTCACAGATAATCAATTTGTTGAACACACTAACAGGAAAAAGATATAACAATTTTCTTTCTAATGTAAACAAATTTCCAAAATATCAATACAAATTTCATCGATCTGATTTAACAGTTGATTTAAAATTAATGACAGTAGATTTGGAGGTTAAACGGAGTAAATAAGATCTTGAATTGTCACATTCGGAAAAGTCATTGTAGCTCAAATTATTTGTTATGATCAAAGGCATTACCAGATTGTTTACAAGCTGAATAGACATTGAATGTTTAGAAAACTGGATTTTTAGAAGATAATTTGTAACTAAGAAGTTCCAAATATTGAAATTTTTCCTTAGTTTGTCACTTAATTTAATAAAATATGAAATTAGCACCCATTAATTGATTATAAGTGCTGGATGAATAAAATTGTAGCTTCAATGCAGAAATGAAATTTTAGGGACAGTTTTAGTTTGAAATCAGCTCACTAGATGACACTACTGTGTATATTGGTTTCTTTTCTGATAACTTTTTCAATTTCAATGCAATTCAATAATAATCTCCAATTTTCATCTTTATTTGGCCGTAAAAATGGTATTTAGAAGCTTTCGATTGCCTCGAAAAAATTACAAAAGGTTAAAATAACAATCTAAGTAAATTATGGGCTCGGAGGGATTGAAATCAGTAGTTTCAATCTGCCAAAGCATACATTGTAAGTTGAAACTTACATCTTATAATATATCCTATTGAACTCGGAAATTATCTACTGATTGGCATAAAAGGTTCATTCCCAATTAAAATTTAGTTTTCTGGCTAAAGATCTGAAGTCATGGAACAATTGAATTTGGGAAACTCAAATCGAAATGAACTAGAAACAGTTTTGAAACGAAAGACTTGAACTGATTATACTCTAACAACAAGAAAAGTAAAAATCTATTTGAACTGATCACATCTATCACTGATATAATAGTAATTGCTATGAGCTTTCATACCACAAAATTACTGCTATTAGCAAATTCAATTTGTCATTCAAACGATATTTAAATACTTTGCATCTAGTAATTTCCCTAAATAGCTCAACCTCTCATGTTTTTTTGCACTTGAAACCGGTTAAGCATTGAAAGCAACGAAAAGGGATGAATATTTACAATGTAACTCAGAAATTACTTAAAATTGCTTCAATACCAAAGACACATTAATGATTGTTTCGAGATTGAAATTCTGGTCAGAATTAATAAATCTATCAATAATTCTTATTACACATTTCAAGGACTTGGAAGTTATCGACTGATTAACTGGTTATCTCGAGTAAACTCAATTTTTAACCAAAAACTAGACGATGAAGCAAAAATAAAATTTGAAAACATAATAAAGACATGGAATGATCCAATCTGAATCCAAAGGAAAGCAAACAATGATTCAGTTTCACTGGGAACACAATAATTCAACCTGCATATTCAACTGTTTAAGCTGTTTTTTCTCTCAGAACTATTACTTTGTTCAGATAAATTTCAATTTCACTGAACCCATTTCTCTTCTTTTCAACTCTAAATACGCAATTTAAAACATCTTTACATTCACATTTGTCCATTAAATTTATATCTTTTATAAACGGTTATCTGTGCATATTGTATTCAATGTTTGGGTGAACAATAATTTAAATATTTCAACTGGTCAGCTTTATTGCATTATCTGTAAAATGAAAGTCAATCTGGAACATAATTAAGGTAAAGTATAAGCTGGCAAATTGATTTAATGTATCTCTTTTTAATGATAACAGTTTATGTGATTTGAGGACAAAATATTTGGACAGCTTGTCCAATTTAGATGGGATTGGATAAATTGAATTAGATGAGAATGGTTCATCTTAAAATTAATGGCCGATGTAACCATTAAATAAAGCTGAAATGTTAGAGACTTTCCAATTGCTGAATACTTATTAGCCTAACTTCAACTCTACAGCTGTGATTGACTATTAGAATGGAAATCGTTTCATTTCTGATGTTCTTTTAAATTTCTCATGATTTCTGTGATGAATTATTGTCTGTTTAACTGTTAAAATATCAACCATTTGAATGTAATTTTTACACAGAGAGGAAAATGCTTGTTATTGATCAAGAAATGCTCCATACAAATAGGCTTACAAAGGCAAAGGAAGGCAACTCAATATAACCTATTATCATTATTATTTCACTGTTTATCCAGAAATGAAACCAGAGATATTTTATTGGTAATATTGACCCCATGCTAACATCAATTCTGTTTCTGTCGATGGTGAAAATGGTTACCCAAAAAGCCCCATGAACCGGATGAGCATCAAATTAGATTTTATTCCTCTATTCTTATGATCCTTTCACTTTTTGGTAAAATGATATAAGTGAAAAATTATAACCATAATCATAACCATATGAATGGCGAAGAGAGAAACTTTCTTCTCGATTCTTACCTATTATTGAGATGAAAGTGGTACAAATATTGGGAATTAACATTCAACTGGAATGGGAAAATGATTATGAATTGATTAAGGCAATAAGGTAATTCTTGTGCTTGGATTTACAAGTTTTACCAATTTGATTGATTTGGAATGGTTTGCTTTTTTTTTCAATTTTGTTTATGCCTATTTCGGTTGTACTTTTACCTGATTGTTGATCAGATGAGTTGTTTTTTCCAGAGTGTTACCTGAAGGTTAATCAACATGACAGTTGGTATAAATTTTTAATTGTGTTTACTCACAGTAAACATAAACAAGGAAACACGTACCAATGAAAATTGAATTGATATCATGCTGGGTTGACATTCCCTGTTGAGTTAAGACATTACATTGACTGATGAATATAGATAACAGATTAATAATCATTTTGTGTTTTGTTTGTTTCAGTGAACAGAAAGCAAATAATTACTTGAATAGCGGATAATTTTGATTAGGCCTGCAGTAATTAACCATCCAAAGCAAACCATTACAACATTTACAGCTCAAAATACAACTTGACTCGTGGCTTTAGTTAATTAATTTAATCAATCTATTTGTGATTGATCATTGATCAATGATCAGGATCAGATTAAAGATTTGCTGAAGAAAGAAGAAGGAAAAGGAAGAGGAAAGATGAATTAAGATGAATAACAAAGGAATGGGGAAAATATGTAAATTTTAGATGAAGATGGTTGAAAGAAAGGTTGAAGAAGAGGATCAAGATGATATTTAATGTTATTATTGATACAATGTGATTAGATATTCATCTTGATCATTCTCAGCGTTTCTTTCAATTAGGATAAATTTTTTTCTCTCTTCCAAATCACCTAATTTGAATTACCTTGTATCATTCAATTTGAGACTTGTCTATTCATCTAATGCTGACTTAATACTTGTACCAAGCTGAGGTATTAAAGTCTAAGGTTGAAACAAGTTTTGTGGTTACCTTGATGATGTTGATGATGGTGATTACCTTTTAATAAATTAGGAATCATTGAGGTTTCATTACACCATGGTTGAGGTTTCCCTTATCATTGACAATCCAAAGATTTGGCTAATTTAATTGATGCCTCACCTGATAATTTAATGATAACGTCTTGGCGAGTTTAAAGAAAGGTCTTAAACTTTATGAAAGCAAACATTTGTACCTTGTTAACCTTTTTGTTTTTTAGTCCATTTTTTTATCACTTTGCACACTTTTTCCACGTCTTTTATTGTTACTATAATTATAGTTTATGTCCATCCAACAATCAAAACCAGATTGAAAGGTATCTTCCACTGGAATTTATGTTTGTTTGCATAAGCTGGAATCGTTTGAAAAGCCATCAAAATGAGTTATTTCCAGAGTAACACACAGTTTATGGCAAGATTGCCTTTTTAATTGCGACTATCGGACTATTTTAAAATGATTATCACTCCACAATTAAACACAGCATGATTAATTTGACCAATTTGAAACGATTGTTTGAAAGGCAGCCACATAAAACATGGACAAGTCAGACTCGGCCATTTCCAGGTTTATTTGAAATTTCCAACACTTCTGCGAAAGGAATCACATTATATTAAATTTTAATTTCTTGAACAGATGATACTTACTTAGCTCACAATCTGCCGCAGTAAATTAGATCCATACAAATTGATAAATTAAATAATAAATTGATAGGTTGATTATTTTACTTCAAAGGCTAAAATTTACTCACCAAATGTTGGATCAACTATTTTCTATCAGATACTAAATACTGCATTATCTGATCTAATAATCCATGAGCAGATCCATAATGTTTACGTCAACAATGACAAACATATTTTACTGTCCATTTCAAGTCTGGAAAATGAAATTTTAATTGTGAATAATATTTAAATTAATAATCTTATTTGAATAATTAGTACCAACTCGGAGGTTTCTTTCACTCATAATTCCACCCTCTCATCATCCCAATTATTATCCAATCATCATTCTCATCAATATTCTGATGTTGACCATAATTTTGTTGCCATATAATGTTTCATCTGAAAGGGAAGGGCGACAAAATGACAGCCTTTTTTGTTCCTCAAATCATCATTATCATCATTTAACTTAATTGTCGGATTGATTGCTGAGAAACAAATGGTTATTATTAAAGATCAGATAGTTGAAGGTTCAACATTTTTGGTCTATTGATTGGAATCAGTATTTTCAACTGGCTGAAGAGTCAAAGTTAAAGGTAATAAAAATTACTGAATACGAAACATAATCAATTTAGGAAAACATTTAAATCAAGTCCATTACCGAAGTTAATTTGAATAATATTGAGTTTACATGTTAATTTTGATTTGCATTTTGGTACAAAATTGACTCTTCTCTTTTTATCCCCTCATAGCATTCAAGTTTAATGATGAAAATGGACAGAAACCAAAATATTAGGTAAAATGGCCTGTAATTTAAATTACAACCAACGATAATTTTGTTAATGTTACCTAAATGACAAAAAAGCAACCAAACCGAAATTCCAATTAGTCAAATCATCATTTTAAATCACCATCTGGACAGTCACAATTATGATAACGATTATTGATAATATTCACCAAATCTCATCCTATTGAAAGATTTGTGATCAATTGTTGGCAATGAAACAAATTTACCAAATTCTGGAATTTAATGATGATCAATTGAGGTTGTAATCATCTTATCCTTTCGTATTGATTGAAATACACTAAGCAATTTGACCGTCTAAAGATACACAAGCTAATTTGATTTGTTCTTGATTGATTAATGAACATTAGAGATTAACTCGTCATCCATCAATTGATTGAACCTGATGATATTGATTGAGCCAGAAAATAAAGTTAACCACAAGTTAAAACAAGAGTTAATTGTGATTAACAGAAAGGTGTTGATAATAGGTTAAATTGAAAAGTGAGAAGTCAATTGATTGCCGTAAGCATAAACGTGACAAACCAATTTGTATTGAGCATCATTTTAATAGCCATCCAAATTAAAAATTAACCCAACGAAAACAGTTAATTGTAACAATCTAAATAGATTAGATGGAGTAGGTTGAGACAAATACAGATAAACACAATTAAGACGCCAGCCTTGAGGACAATTTAATTTGCCTGCAGCGTTTTACACACCACATAATCACCATCTCATTCATGAGTCTTTATTATTTTTCATCGTCTTGTTATCATCACCAGCATCATCCTTTTGATCATTCACCAGCATCAGCACCATCATAATAAGCATTTTGAGCGTAAATTTAATGTAACCTTCCAGCTATTTGACAGCAATGACAATCAATAATCAATAAACAAGTCGTCAAAGTGTTTCAGCCTGTATCGGGTTGATGACAGAATTGGTTTCCCATCCAGACCGTCAAACATATCATAATTCAATTCCAATTGGATTAGTGTTTACATTTTCAATTGCTAACATGCAATTTGGTGATTGAAAACAATCAAAAATGTATCAAGTCAAATCAATAATAAAAACATGTAAAGATGTTAACACATTTATCTACCATTGAGGCTGTAATGGTCATTTAGAATATCACTTTTTGCTGATTAAATGTTGCAATTTAGCGCTCCATTTATTGTGTAAATACAGATGTAACATGAAACTTATACATTAATAAATCAAATATTTTCAAAATTGTAAATTAATTTGTCCAAATTAAATTAAAAATGAAGTGTAAAAAAGCTATTCACATTTTTAGATTCATTGAAACAAAAAAAAACGCCATTATGTAGGCATAGAAACAAAGGGAACGTTAACTTATTACAACGGGTAGGTTGCTTTGTGAATATTTTGTTTGTGTTGATTGTTAATATCATTATTATTACCATTACTATTATTGCTATTATTATCATTATTTTACTGATTGTTAATGATGAAAATGAAGTCTGATTGATTCTTAAAGATGCCAATCAAGGATGAAAACCAATTGATCGACAAGTTACAAATGATTGACCAAAGATGAACCAGAAAAAAGGCAAAACAAGGTAATAGTCAGTTTAAAACAGTGTGAACATCATTTTAACCTTTACATGGTAAAGAAGGTAAGAATCATTTTAGTTTTACCTTTCTTCATTTCTTTTTTTTTCTTCTTCTTCTTCATCCATTTCTAGTCATTGTTGAGTGGAAACATGAAAAATAATGATGAAAATGAGAAGGATAAAGATGAAGACGATGAAGGAAACAACAAAACATTCATTGATTATGGGTTGTCTATCAATGATACCATAAACACTGTTACCAGTAAAAGGTATCATCATCCAGCAAGAAAAAAAACTAATCAGTCTAATTGTTTTTTTACTCGAAAGGAACCACATTTTTGCCCAAAATAACAATGATTATCTTGTTCATTAATTGCTCCCTGTTAATCATCATAATCATGGTAATAATGATAATCACAATCATTGGCTGGAATCATCATCTATCTTAACCAACATCAAACATTTCGCCCGTAAAGAAAAACCTCATTTTGTTGTCATTTTATTTTCACTTTTCAACTTACAAGCATTAAATGTGAACAATTATCAATCTACTTACGATCACAACTAAATTGGCAATCAAATTACAGACACAATTAGATGTTATTATCTGTAACTAAAATTAAAATCATTTCAAACCAATTTGCAGGAAAAACAAATCATAATTTGTACAATTTTTCACCGTACAAAACAGGATTTAATCAAATACTTAAACTGTTTCAACCTATTTGTTTCAGGATAATTTAATATAATCACATGAAGCTATTTATAATCATTAAAAGTTAAATTTCTGTGTAACAAAATGATGGATAATTGGATAAATGATGAACAATTAAGAAAATCAAATGTGTGATTTGAAAGGTTATTACAAACAATATCCAAGATTGGGAAAACACAAAAAGCACAATTTCACTTGATTACAATGCTAAAGGTAAAAATTGTGAGTTTATTTTTGGTAATCAATTAATGAATGTAAAAGCTAATAAATTTAATCAATCAAAAGGTTGAAATGATCAATCAAATTGAATGATTATCAACCAATCAATATTACTTCCGAGCTGAATGATGGATCAACAATGCGAGAGTTAACAATGAATGACAATTTTCACCAAAAAATGAACTTCTTTTTGCTTCATTTAGATTCCCAATTTGTTGACAACATCATATTGTGCACCATTTAATTGGTTAGTTGATTATAGTTAAACATTTCAAGCTTATTATAAGTTTAATCATCAACAATAATCCGTCATTTGCTCCAGAGGATGCTTTTAGGTGTGCCAATTGAAGACTCAAATGATTCACATTTAATTGTTGAAATCTCATTGAGACTCCAATTAATGTTTGGTAATAATTCCGAGTTAATTTGATCATGTTTTTTGGGTAAAATCAATTCCTAATCTTTTGAGCAACAATTTTGGTACTTCATCCAGATTATCAGATTCACCTTACAAATCGTTTAATTGACACCTTTTCTGGCTCTCAAATTAATCTGTATCATTGATTATTGATTCATATTTTACACTCATTTAAGTTACATTTTATCATTTCAACCTTTAAACTGATCTAAAACAATCAGCAGGGATTCAGTTAATCATTGTTAACATTCACTTCATTTGAATAGCTTATAACCATTAGACAATTTAATTCCCTGTTGAGATAATTATCCAGTTTTCACCTTCTTTTCGCTCTCACCATTTAATACTAATATTGATCAGTTAACTATCACAATTAAACTTTCACTTCATTTAAAACCATTGAGAGATGATTAAAACTGATTCATTCAAACTGGTTTCAGTTCAATTTGGCTAAATTTTGATTCATTTTTAAGCTTTAAATTGCAATAAGTAAAAGTATAAAATTGTTGATTAACAGCAATTAACATTTGAATTTAGAAATTTCAATTTCTCTTTCAATTGACAAAAATCAATCTTCAAGTTAATTTAAATTTGAAATATTTTCAACAAAAGATTTTCAAAAATAAATTGTTGGACTAAAAATAAACTGAAATTGATCATTTGATTAAACTCGGCCTTTTATCCTTAAATCACAATCAACAACAATTAACAGTTAACTCATTTTAATAACAAATTTTACAATTAAAACCTTATTTGTTAATCAAATTACCGAACCTTATTTTCACTGTTGTTAATCAATTTGCGAATCAACAAGTTTACCTTAAAAAAAGTGAAACCGCTCAAAATTGATTTTACTGTAAAATCCAAAAATATTGTTAACAAATTAAATTAACTTGACTAATAATCAACATTAATTAGGAATGAAACCAATAATTAATATCGAATAGCAAAATCAGGTTAAATTAAGATTCAAAAACAATTAACAGTTGATCGAAATGTTTGTTTGCTACAGAAAAGAAAAGCAATTTTTCCTTATTAAATGTTAATTTTGTTCAATAAACTGAACAATTAATAATTCTGTTGGATAAATTGTTGTCTATTCTTGTACAATTTAAATGCAATTTAGTTGCAAATCAAAGTTTACTGTTTAAATGATTGATAATGATTTAACCTTAAGCCAAAAAGTTGAAAATGTTTTTCCACTTTGTGAAAGTGAATTGTGATCATTTAAATTGTAACAATTTGTAAATTAAATGAAATGACCTTTACATGGTATTTGTTGAGGTTAATTAACTCTTAACCTTACCCACATTGGAATTGATTAACTTTAATAACCAGCAGTGATTTAACCTGATCAAAGGTGCAATGACAATGAGATGATCATTTAAGATCATTTGTATTGATTGATTCATTGGCTAATGATTCCTTTAATAGATTCAGTAATTTTACTCTAACCATAGTTTTCAACTGTTTAAAGTAATTGATCTCAATGTTAACCATGATTACCATTTGAAGACACCAATTGGTAACAATTAACTTTACCTTTTGTTTTAATGTATTTACTTTGCTTTCTAGGTTTGGCTTCAATTGTTAACCTTTTGTTTGATCCGGATTTTGAACCTTTTTTTTAATCATAATAATAATTCATTTGCTGTTTATTGAATGAAACCTCCTCTTAATTGTTAATTAACCACAACGGAAATTGAGTTTTTGCCCATTTCTGATTAATACACATTGAAACTTGTTATTACATTGTATTACACTCGTTTCATGGTTTCACCCCAAGATGAAACATTGTTAAAACAAAGGTTAACCACAAAAAGGTTGAAGGTTAAAAAATTCAAGACAATAACATGTTGATAGTTTGTGGTTTGCCTTGCCTTTAATCAATTGGTTAATTGCAAGAAACATTTTTGGCTCTAATTAAATTGTCGGCAGTGTAAAACCTCTCTAAACAGACTATTTCAATGGTTAACTTTAATTTTCACTGTAAACCCAATAATTGATCACATTTTTGCTCAAATATGAAAAATTTTAGGGTAAGTCATCAATGTAATCCTATTTTGAATCGTTCAAAAAACTCAATCGCTTGAAATTTAAATGATTGGGTTAAGTGTTGGATGAAGATGAATCTGATTCTTGATAATCAGTAGATCCATTAGGTTATCAGTTTGTGAACGTTATTGTGTTATTTTTGCATGATTACTAGACGAGAAATGTTTTTGATTGAAACGCGCTCTGATGTAACTGTAAGCTGAATAACAGTTTTAGTAAAATTATTGGAATTTTTTTTTTGAAATCATTTCAAGAATAAAGTTCAATACTTCTTATTGTTCATTTTCTCTAAATTTTTGTTTTTTTCTGTTGATCGATAAAGTTGATTTGATTCTGAGAAACAATTCATTTACAATTAGACTCACATTTTCATCAGGTATTGTTGCAATTTGAGTTTTTGACTTTGAAATGATGGAATAGAATAGATGGAAATGATTTTATCCTGAACAATATTGTAGCTCAAACCTCTTAATTCAGTTTAACGATTAATATTTATGAAAATATCAATAACTTTTAGATTCAAAGTTTGCTTCGATTTGAGCAAAGTTATTCAACAAGTTTCCCTTTCTTCATGCGAAGGACTTATCCATCACAATGTACAAAAGCTCAAAACAAGCGACTCATAACTTGAGAATCGTTAAAACTGCTCTGTCAATATCGACTATTGACCCTGTAATGTTCCCCATGTAATTATTTTCACTATTGGAGTCACAAGAATATAGGTTTTCACCATTAAATGCTTATTTCAACAACTTTCGATGATTTGATCCTAATAAAGATTTCCTTTTCCATTTGATAACATTTTTACATTTCCAGCGAAACTTGGTGTGAAAAAATGTAAAAATTTGTTTTTTTTCGTGTTATTTTTCCCCTGAACTGAATTGTATATTCACTTGGCAAAAATAAAGATAATAGTGAGAAGTTATTTTCTGTCAATGTGAAGATGTTTATTGTGTGAAGTAAAAGGGAATTGAATTAACAAGTAAAAAGTGGTTGAATATTAACGATTGTTACTTTGCATAACAGAAGAAAGTTGAAGTTAAAAGCAAGTAAAGGCCAAAGACGGTTGAAGTAAAATGTCGATTGAATCATTGTTACTGTTGACATGATGATGGTAATGATGATGATGAGGCCCTGTTGATAGGAAATCATTGAGTGAACAATTGATGAATTGAAATGAAAGTGGATGGTCAACTTAAAGAAGAAGAAGAAGAAGAAGAAGAAAAGTATTTTGGCCAAAAAGATTAAGAATTAAGTTAGCCGTAACCAATCTCTTCGGTAAACAAGTTAAATGAATATGGTGGATACAATAAGACCCCTGGCGAAGAGGTCACTAAGAGCGATACCCTTAAGGCCGCACACAAACTCACCGTTTATTCATCGAGGGTCAGTCTTGGACACTCAAACCTTCATCATCATCATTTAAAGTGTTGACCAACTAAGTTGATCATTGATTGTTTTTCGAGAGTTTTTTTCTTCTCTTCTATTCTCAACAAAAAGATGATCACGATGAAGATGATAGTGATGAGGGATGATGGAAGATGATGAGAGATGCTGATCAAGTTTAAAGGTGAGAAGATGCATGTTTTTGCATGTTTAAGACTTGCTGCAGGGTCAGTTGTACCATAATGAAATGAGCATGACCAGCAACAAGGTAACAAGACAAAAGGCAAGAAAAGGTTTACCCTTTGGCATTTGCCTATTATTAAAGGCTAATCAATTGTTTAACCAATTTAAGGTTGACACAAAAATGAAGGCTTCAAAAGTAAAAACTGATCTGCAATTTGATTCATCATGTGTTCAGAAAATAGATTTGTTTGTTTACTCTGTTTTTCAGTCTAACATTGTTTACACTTTGATTTATCCTTTCATCATTCATAACCATCCATTATCATGCCGCTGTTTCAAGGTGAACCTTTTCAAGGTAATTTTGTCGCTTTATTGACTCAGGTTCAGCTTTTCATTTTGAGTATTTTATCCCCTTTTAGACTGTTGGAATCCATTGGAAATTATCTCAAACCATGAAAATTTTAAACTTTTAATGAACTTTCAACTTCTTCCAAGATTGTCAACATTGTTAATTAACCTTTTACCACTTGAACTGTGACTTTTGCTTGACTCAGGCTTTTTCAATCTTTAGCTTGATTTTGAGTTGATTTTTGAATCTTGAGCCAAACCTGTGACTGTTATTTTTATGTGTTGGCGTCTTTCATTCAAATTAGTTTCCGTTTTTTTTTGCCATTCCCTTTGGACTTAAAAAGGTCAGAGTTGACTTCCGATTGTGACTATGATTCTAATAATATAAGTATGTTATAAAAAAAAGGTAATCATAAAGTGAAAGCTTTAATCATGTGAATAATGGAGTCACCTCGCCTTGGTTTTACCTTTATTTAACCTAACCTTTTCCATTGAGGGTTATAAAGTATTACAGTGCTTTATTGACTTGCTTATTTACTAATTGTGAATATCGAAAGAGACTAAATATTAAAAGTGAATTAAATCTTGCGATTAACCTTTGCATTATGATACACGAGATGTAAGCCATTGTCAATGGTTAATACAATAGGCTGTTCCTTGTTTACAATCATTCTCGTTTGTTTAGAACCAACTTTCATATGAACACAACCAACATTCAAAAGAGTAAAACCGACTGACTGTAAAGACACAGAGCTTTCAAAACAACAAAACCAGCTTTCAAATGACCAAAACCTACTTTTATAAGACAAAAACTCTCGAGTTAAAGAGTTACTTTATTCAGGGTATGCAAAGACGATTATCACTGATTTTTCCAATGAACTTCCATTGAAGATGGTAAATCACAATTAATAAGTCAAAATTTATCAAAATGTTAACTTATATTCCAAGATGCCTCAGAAAAGAAGCAATTAACAATTGACGAAACAGTCTACACCCTGAATAAAGATGCTTCTTTAACTCGAGAGTTTTTGTCTTATGAAAATGAGTTTTGGTCATTTGAACGCGGTTTTGTTGTTATGAAAACTCTGTGACTTTACAGTCAGCCGGTTTTACTCTTTTGAATGTTGGTTGTGTTCATATGAAAGTTGGTTCTAAACAAACGAGAATGATTGTAACTTCAATTATGATGTTTCCTCTTATTTCACCTAAATTGAGATCTAAAGAGATGTTTGTTATTCAACGACCAATGTTTGTTTCAAACGATATCAAATCATTTCCAACCGAATCAACTCCCAAATAAAATGCCTTCACACTTTTCACCTCGCTCAAGAAAGACAGCAAAAATTGCGACAAAATGCGCTTCTGAAAACAGATCACTAAATGAATGAAAATCAGCCAAGCCGGTTAAAAAATCTAAAAATTCAACTTGAATCAAACCAAATAATAATTTACAGAGCAATCAATTTTAGATGATTTCAAGATTAAGCTCCATACAATATAATTTCATGCTATTCTGCCTTTTTTTGCTGTGAAAATCCAATGGAATGATATAAAACTAGAAATGACTTTTCAATCCGAAAACAGATTCTTTCAATTTCAAAACTAGACTCTAGAAACATTTCCAATCAATCCTGAAAATCATTTCAATTGAAACTTATTTCAATGTAAATTGTTAATTTTGAAAGTCAGGTTAATCGGACTCTAACAAAATGGCTTTTATTGATAAATCAAAGTGAACCAGTTTCAACTCGCGTCTACCTTTTGAGCCATTTGTTTGATAACAAAACACTGACGAGTCACGTAACAAGGTGCACTCATGTCAATCATGTGCTCGTTAAACTGATGAGCACCAAAAAACATGGTAAACATGATCATCTGTAAATAAGATGGCAGAATAAAAATTTCAATAGGAATTAGTTGAATAGAAAAAACATTGTTTACAGTTTACAATTTCATGGTTAACTTTAATTTTGTTTTGTTCATTCATTGAACATTGTTCATCTTATAATATATTTGCCATGTTTGATGAGTCAATTCTTAAGGTAAACTGTCAATAGGGAATGATAATAATAATGATAAATAATAATAGCAAGTCAAGTAGATTAAAAGATTTAAAATGAAAAGATCAATATTTACAATTGAATAATACAGTTAAAATAGACATGAACCAAGTAAGATTATCTTGGTGTTAAGTGTTGATCATCAAAGTAAACCTTGATTCCTTAATCATCACCATCAACTTAAATGATCAAGTCAACAATTTACACTTGACCTTAGATTACCTTAAATTATCTTAAATTACCTTTCACAGGTTTTGTTTTGTTCAGTGTTTAGTTGCCTTTAATCAACCTTTATCCAGAGTCCATCACCTTCACATTAACATAACCAAAATTACATATTCATTTTGGGACAATTAAGCTGTTCAATGATGATTAGTAATGCATGATAACAATCAACAATCTCTGTTGTAATTGAAATAAAGCCTTGATTGTTACTCTGTTATTGTCTTAATTTAAATGGTCAACAAAACAATGGTTATAAACAACAATTAAACGGATCCAAAAACCGTGAACAATATGAAAAACAAGGTTAACATACAAGATGTTGATTCAATGTTAATCCAAGAAGGTTGATTGAAGCAAATGAATTCAATGTTTTAATTAAAATTACCTTTCAATTCTGACATACAGCTAAATCTATTGAACATTAGCATAACAATTTAATAGCTAGTTTTAATTTGCATTTTGTTATTTAAGTCGTTTTCCAGTAAATTTGATGAACAATTTTGTTCAACCTTTTCCTTTACCTGTTAAGCTTCTTACTTGTTAATCAGTTTTAATCATTTCGCGGAAAGCAAATTAACCATTTTCAATTTGAACCAAAATCCATTGAAGAAGGTAAAGTTGAAACCTTTTATCACAAAACTGGTTAATTTGGTTGTTAAGGTTAGTGATTAGACTTGTCAATGATTTGTATTTTTGCTGGTAACAAGACACACAAAAAAAGGGTGAAAATGAGGATGAAAGTTGTCACAAAAGTGAGGTTAAAGGTGATGATAAAGGGCTGGTGATGATGATGGTAATGATGAAGATAGAGATGAAAATAGCATTTTCATCCTAAAATAGCTTTCTTTATCCTTTATTTACTAGATACTATTGAGATAACGTTGACAAGAAGGAGTTGACCGGTTCATGTTGTTATTGATATTAACTATGATTTGGGTTGCACTTGGCTTCATATTTTTTTTCATATTATTTTGGCTTACAATTTTTTCTCATTTGTTATAAGTCTGATCATTTTACTGACCCTTGGCTGACCAAAAATTTAATATGTAAAGAGGCATGAGAGACTGACCTTTTATCAACCTTTTAAGGTTCAGTTGAAGTCCGTTTTTTAACAACGGAAGGTCAAGCTTTTTGAGCTTTCTTTACTTTTTTCTTGCTACTCTTGTCGCCAATCTTGTTGTTGCTCTTGTGTTGGCTATCAATTGTGGTTTGTTTGCTGTTGATTCAATGTTGACAAAACTACAAACATATGTCAACATTTGGAATCCGTTATTTTGAAACATTTTTTTAACCCAAATATCCTATTATACTTATATTGTCCAGTTTCTTTCCATTTTTTAATACAATTAATTTCCTCTTCTATTGACCATCAATACTTGACTGATAGTTGCTACTAATGATCAATCCTTTACTCCGTCTTTTTTGTTGTAGTCACTTCTTTGCTCAAGATTCTCATATCCATCATTGATATCTCTTGGGCCATCTTATTGTTGAATTTATTTATTTTCAATTTTAATCATTTATAATCATTTTTGACCTTTTTTGTCAACTTTGATCATTTCTCATCTTTGTAAAACGCGCTCATTTCAATTTGCTCAAAATCAATTTCCTTTTCCCCTTTTAAGATCTCAGCTTTCATTTCTTTTGTCAATGAGCTATTGTCTTCTGAAAAGGGTTCAATTTTTAACTCTAATGTTTGTTTTAATAAAATGTGATTAATTGTGATTATGCTGTGTTTAAGAAGTCAATTTATAACTTTTTGTGTTCGCTTTTAGCTGTTTTTGCTTGTGATTATCTGTAAAGAGCTGAACCGATTTGAATTGGTGGTTTTGTCACACTGGATTAGAGTTTTCTTTGAAGGCAAACATTTCTGAGTCAATTGCTTGATCCATGGATTTATCGAAGGATAATAACAATAAACTTGGATTGGCTTTTAAATTGGTTTCTCAAGTTGAATACTCGACTGGTTAAGCCATCATTTGGTTTGATATGATTAAGGAATTCAAAAAAAAGATCAAGGCTTAATTATTTCATCAAGCTTTCTTTCTCTTTTTTTCCTCTTCTTCTGACCAATTTAACCTTATAACATTGCCTTGGTTGGTAATGTTGACATTTAAATTACTCTGGATTCTTGGATATATTTAACCATTTCGAGTGGTAATAAACGTTTGATGAAGATGATTAGCTGGTTTAATTGTTATTACCATAGATGATGGCGATTTGATTTCCGCATGAATCAAATTAAAAGGTTGACACTGAACCCTTAAGCCATATGCTATAATAATGATAATCATAAAGAAATGACCAAAGGTAAAAAGAAGTGAAAGGCAAAGAAAAAGCCATAAACAGAATTGCGTGTTTCATTGAAAAAACATCAATTCTGTTAGCTGGTAATATATATTACCTCAGTTTTCTTGTTGTCATGATTGTGCCTTCATTTTACCTCCAAAAAACTGCAAACACAGGAATAAAAAGAGAAACGTTTAAGGAAAAAGAAGTTTGAAGATGAAGCCATTATTCTGCGGTGAACCGCAAAAAGAACCCTTTACACCTTAAGAAAAGGTATTCAACATAACTTGGTTTAAAACTTGAAAGTCTTTCTTTCCGTCTTCTTCTTTTCACATTGTCCAATAGGTAAGAATCTCTTTTTTCTTACCTTGATACTAATGTTACCATTTAACCTTCATTTTCACCTTTTTTTATTTTAATAGCAGTTTTACATTTATTATTATTGAAAAGCCATTTACGAATCATTTTGGTTGATTTCAGCTTTAACTTTTTGCTCTCCTTTGGGATTCTTGGGCTCTTATGATGAAAGGTAATCAAGGTTATTATGCTTACCTTTGCAAAGCCAAAAGTGAAATCAATCATCTTCATTTTGGACTCAAATTGGTTTATTGATCTGTAATCTAATTGACCAGTCTATTGGAAACACAATATTCAAATTGTCAACAATTAAAGGTGAATATAACAAACTGACCAACAAGTCATTGTTTACCCTTTTTTACCTTGGATTCAGCAGGCCAAGAAAAAAAAGATAATATATTAACACAAGTCATTTTCACCAATTCCTTTGAGCTTCAGAGCATTTATAAATAAAATGTATTTCTTTTACAGATACAGATATGACTTGAGGAATCAAAATAATTGCTGAACGAAAAGGTCAGTTAAGGGGCGTTACAAGCCAGTCCCATGAACACAAAGTATCTATGGCTTTTGCTGTTCTTTGCTTGGTTTCATCATTATCATCATCATCATCATCATCAACAGCAACAACATCTCTCTTACCTTACGTTGCTTCTTCTTGAAATCTGTCTTTGTACTTTTTCTTTTTCCTTACCACGTTGACTGGTTTCTTTCAAAAAATCTTCCAATTCAGGCAAGATTAACCCTGAGGCCAATTTAAGAGTTTACCTCAGTATCTAAAGATACTCAATTGATAGTTCAAGACACTCCCAGAAATCATCTTTCTCCTTCTCATCATCATTCACAAAAAAAAACAAAATGAAACAACGATGATGTATATTTGAGATAACGAATGTATATTACATTGTGTTTCTCACCATAAACACATCGAACTTTCATCCCTCTCTCAATCCTCATCCTAATCAAGATCCACTTTTTATCAGCTTCATCATCATCTTTATCATCATCATTTTTCTATATTCTTTCATCATCTAACTCCTCCTTTACTCCCCCTACACTTAACTTGATTGTTTTTACAACCTATCATTAGTTTCAATTTTTTGATATCGATACACATTCATCAATTTTACAAATGTTACATAGAAACCTTGAAGAAAGCCATAAAATGATGAAAATGATGAAAATGATCGTTGAGCAGTTGATTTTAAGGTAAGGCACAAATGATAATCTGATCAATTGAATCGTTTAAATTCAATTTTTCTTCTCCATTCCAACTCTGTGTATAGAAATGTGAAATTTTTCCTCTACTTTTTCAACCTGAAAATTAATATAAAAAAATGGTAATAATGATGATGATGATGACCTGATTCCAATATAAAAATTTGAATTTCATTATCCTCAAAAAAACAATTATTATTAATATCTAATATTTTTTATTTTAATCTCATAATCTAAGCGACTAATTCATGTAATGTATATAAAATTATAGAATCATCATTACTGGTTGACCCTTTACATTCAATTGTTAATTAATTAATTAACGGAAAAGTGAGGTAGAAAAAATTGCGTTAAAACAATTTAATAAACAGTTTTAGAGTTGATTTTCCTCTAAATTTGATTTCCTTGAAAAATTTTGAACATTTGATGATTACAATTTATGATTAACTTATTTCTGTTTCTCTCTTTTCAGATTTGATTGTAAAAATATCATCACAATTTATTCGGATGATGATTAATTCACTTTAATGTTGAAACCTGTTACATCAAACAATACACAACAAATTTGGGAACAATTGAAGGTATACAAAGCAATGAGCAAATTGAAACCTGTTTAGTTTGCTTATTTTACAATATTTAATATTAAATTACAATTTTTTGCTTTGTTTCAGGTAACATTTCATTTAAAGGAAGCAACAGTTTCAATGGACAGGACAGGACAAATCAACACTCAATTTATCACCAGCATTGAAAGTGTGTTGAATTGTCAACACGGGAAAAAAGCAAAACAATGATGATTATCAAACTGTGCGTTTCTTCGAGTGATGAAAGTGAAAAGAAAAAGGTTAAAAAGTTAATTTATAGTTAAATTAATTGCATCTGTTTTGATTTTCTTGCTTGATTCACTCTCTGTTGATATGCTCAATTCTGATGATTATAACTTGATTAACCTGACTGATTAAGAGTTATAGTTTTCTTTTTGTTTCTGCTAATTTGATTTAGTGAAACCAGTTGATCACACCTTTTTTACACTTACTTTTTTTTCACAATGATCAAGAATCGTTTCAAGTTATAATAACTTTACTCAAGTGTTGATCATCTTTGATTACAATTTTGATTGACAATAAATTATTGCGTTGATCGGGTTCTTTAACAGTGTATCAACAGAGTTGATGATGATGATGAACATTGAATGAATAGCATTTAAACACCACCAAGTGCGATAATCAATTTGATTTTATTAGAGTAACATTTATCAACTAATTAGTGGCTGTGAGTGTTTGTGTTGATGATAATAACAAAATGCTTAGGAAGCTTGCCGATTGTAAATAGCTAATATTTAAGACAGCCTTTAGAAAGCTTGATTTTAGTGGTGATAATGATGATGATGAACACTCAACCTCATGCAGAGTTTCAACTTTCTTTGTGAGTTATTATCGTGTATTTAGTTGTGTGTGTATATAAATAATATTTATGTATTAAGTTAAACGACTCACGATTGAAAAAATATATCATGTTATCAAGCAAAGTCACGATTATAGCTTCTTGTCTTTAATCCTTATATTGTTGTTACCAATTATTACCTTTTTTTTATTAATAAATATCACGATCAGTTTCAACACAACATTATGATCAATGATAATATTCATCAACATCAACATCATCACAGGTTAGCATAGAGATGAACAGAAAAATTGCTTCAATTTTCAGTTTCTCTGCTTCGTGATATTATTTAAACAAGCATTGAGTAGACTATCGTGATTCAAGCTACCGTCTTTTAGCTGCCAGTTTTGCGCCCGTTTTTCGCTTGCTATTAATTTGTCGACACTTGCTGGTTCTTCCAATTCAATTAACTTGACTAGTTGCTGCCATTAACCACTCCAATTTGTCTAATTAACTTGTTAACAAGCCATCATCCAGTCCAGACAGGGGACAATGCAGGGTGACAATCATTCTCAGAAGTAATAAACGTTTAATCTTTTCACTGTAACTTTTCTGTAGGTGGATATTCCTGTTGATGATATGCGATGGTTGATGTTCATCTTAAATTGTAAAATGTGACGATAAAGCCAAGCCCAAAATAATACATCGAGTTAGCAGAGTTGAGTATCAATGGTTGAACATCTTGATTGCTGTTGATTTGTTTCTTCCAGAGAGAAACTGAGAAAAGAAAAAGAAAAGAATCAAATCAAAACTTTGCTATCATTTTAATCATTACATTGGTTGGGTTGGGAATTTTGTTATTAACATTACTGATTGACTTGTTTCATTGTTTAGAAGAGGCAATTGCATGAAAAAATTCATTTTTTAATAACTATCTGTGTAAAATTTTTCAAGCTCTCATATTTACATAGAAATTATTATTTTAGAATCTTTATTTTGTGATAACTAATAATTTATTATCATAAGATTCAATGTGTCAAACTGATGATGATGATGCTGAATGTAATGGCGGATGATCAACAATCTACAAATTAAAAAAAAAGCTAATTACAGGTCAAAAATTTTGCGATAAATCACTTTCCATGTAATGGTATAAACATTTATCTCTCAAAAAAAAAGTTTATCGGACTAAATTATAGCTTAAGCAATCTGAATATCATCATATTCTAACGATTAGTTATCAAGCTCTTCATCATCATCATCATCTTTCTTCTAACTCCTCATCTTATTTGCATTTCAACCTCATTTCAGGTAAGAGTAAAGTGCCTCAAGGACATTTGATGACTTAGAGGACTTTGTATCTTTATATTATTATATTATGAGAATTTCTCATTGAAACAAAAACAAAATCATCCTATGGTTAGTAAGGGTATTACCAAAAATAATAACCATGTTATTTCAGGTAAAGGGCCAAACCTTATTTGATACAAATAAAATACATCAACAGAATAAAATATGGATAAAGAGGCAACAAAAAAGGGAATTATAAAAATAATAATGAAGAAGCTGGTAAGGAATTAGAGAGAGATGAGATTGATGAAAAACACTGAACAAAGCAGATAGAATGCGAATTTATCAGAGAGAAAACTATTAAAGTAAATGTAAGTAAAAAATTGAACTCACCAATGTTTACCATAATCTTTGAGTTTACCAGATTCCAGTGCATTTTGATCAACTTGAACCTTTTTTCAACCGTTTTTGGTTTCTTCTCACTTCTGATAAACTATTTGTTAACCCGTTAATCATCAAATTACAATTTAACCAGAAATGTAAAGATAAAGTTGCCTAGCAACAAATTATTTCCCACACTTTTTGGTTAACTTATTGTTTTGCCACAAAACAATGGCGACATAAGATTCAAAGTGTCTTCATTTGTCGTCATTTTATTTTACTTTTTGATTTTGTTCCAATTTTGTTTTGATTTCTTTGTTAGTTTTTTAGCATTAAAGTCCATTTGGCCATTAAATTCTGCTTGATTCAATTGTCATCTATTTTAGAACTTTTATTTCTTGTGCAATTTTCCGTTCTACATGCATTTTTATTTTGTGAAATAATTGAAAAGCAACCTTTTCTTTGTTGGTTTTTCTTTCTTCAAGAATATCATAGTGCCTGACAAAATATACACTTCACATGTTTGCTTTATCTTACTCTTTGATTGTTGGGATAATCAATCCTCTTCTGACCTGAAAGGTTCATTGGTAATTGAATCTCATCATGGTTTTCCATCAATAAGCTTGATCATTGATTATTTGTCCTAAAAGTGGTAAAAGTTAAACTACAAGAGTAATCTGTTTTGTCAATGATTTATTACCATGAAAGTTCAATCTGTAATGTGAATGTGGCTAATTTATTAACAGAATGGTACAAATAATTTCACTCCAGAAGAAAGTTGTTTCATTTATTTTCTTCATTATTGTTAGTTAATCTTAATTATTAATGTAACAATCATTCAAATGGCCGAAAACACAAAAGATTTATCTATCAATCAAGGTGTATGTTTTATTTGCTGTTATTCATGCTTTTATCATGTTAAAATGAATCCATCAACTTATGAACAGGATAAAAAAACTTGCATGGCTATTGAGTCAGCAACATTTTATAACAGCATGAACAACAACGGAACTGACAGATAAAAGTCAGGGCAAAAAATGGATCCTTTTTAATGGCTTAAATGATTGTTTCATTTCAATTATCATTATGAACAATCATCAGGGATAACAACATAACTCTCATCATTATGATGGATTCATGATTGACTGATCTGCAACAATCTCATTTGTTTATTTCCAATAAACATTTGGGCCTCAATCAGGCAAGTTTACAAGCTAAATAATTAAACATTATTATTGTGAATAGTAATGATAATAATTTGTTTCATGATTATTGCTCATTATTATTGATTTTTATTGTAAATCATTTCCTTTTACAGCAAATACCTTTTGATTTTTCATTCAAACCATTCCAATAGTCTAATTAATGATCAGACCAACTGATCATTACTTCATTTTGATTGGTATTATGATTTTGATATTTCACATATTTGTTAATACTTTGAATGATAGGAAAGCATTGAACAATCAAGGTGTGTTCAGGGAATCTAATATTTCATAGATAATCTCGAGAAAAGTTGAGCAATGAGATGAATGCTTTGCTAATATTTGAAATCTGATTTACCAATCTGAGTAAACAAATGAATGAATAAATGAAATGCAATAAAAGCAAAAATAATAAAAAAAATATGAATGAAAAATATTTCAAGGAGTGTCTTGGAACTGAAATAAAATCTGATTTCACTTGATTCAATTTGCCTTAAGGTTTAATTGAACAATCAGTAATCATTTTCATAGATTAAATAATTGACATTAAGGTAAAAACAAAATGGTTAATTGTAGCTGCTGATGATTAATACAATTTCATTGTTATACTGTTCACTGAATTTATCATTACTTAAATGAGTATCAATATCGATACGTGGGTGATGATGATGATGATGTCGATTTAATATTTATTTGTGCAAAAACAAAAGGTAAATCAAAATCAAAATTTCTAATAAATTTTTTTCTTTTTTTCCTTTCAGGTTTAATTACAATCAAGATGCTTATTCAATGTATGGCTTCCAGGTTCATGGTAATTGCGTTTCATGGTGATATCACAATTCAAATATATTCAAACATGATGAAGTCACAAATGAATAGTCAATTTGATGGCAAATCACGTACCAGACGACTAACCATTAAACACCAATAATCATCGGACTCAAGCAATTGGAAACTTAATCATACTCGAATCGATGCTCGAATTGAAAGTGAAAAGCTAAAAGTCGATGATATTAAGGCAAATGATCATCTTTTTGGCTTCGGTTTCAAGTGGATCAACCTTTTACTCTCAATCATATATTCCATGGATCAATATCCGTTCATTTTGCATAACAAGTATTGTCAAGTTTCTAGTAAACTAACTTCCGTCGGTTAAGTAACAAAAAAAGGTTAACAAGGAGTCGATTGATTTTCGAATTCGATATCGAGAAATGTCCAAAAATGCAAAGATATTGAAAGATTTCAAAGTAAAAGTTATGATAATATTAATCAAATTAAAAGGATAACAACGCAACAGGAGACTTTCCGTTTTCATTATTAGTACCTGTACTATTAACTTCCGCAGTGTTAACCGTTTCATAATATGGACTTTTTTGCGTATTACTTTTAAATTTCCGTCATTTTTACTCTTTTTTTGCCAACTATTACTTTCTATATCATTTCATGTAAAATACACTTATTGTTATCATTATTACGTGCTGATAACTTGCTTGTGTTGGTGTTTAAAGGTATATACGCATAAAAAAACTGTTATTGTTATTGAAAGTGAAATTAATTAGTCTATGAGTCTTAAAACCTAACCCTAGGTTAACCCATATCAGAAGCTGTATTTAACCCAACCTTTCCTCTGATTAAGCACACCTAATAACTTTCACTTAACCAATTATTTGGTTTATAATGAGCTTACCAATGTAACCGGAAATTTTTAGTTTCCTACTTCTGTAAACTGTGATTTACTAATCTTTAATAATAAAGTCAATTTGATTAAAAAATGAGGTTTTACTCTTGCTGTTAACCAAATTGAATGCGAATGAATCTGATCAAAATGAAATGTTGATGCATATTTTTTGTTGACCAATAATTACAGTATTTTTTTACCATTTCAAGATTATCCTTTTTGCTTTCCTTATTGGTTATTAATAACAACGATAACATTTAACAAAATGCTGACCACAAATAGCCGCAAGCTTTTGTTAACTGTAACTACAAATTAAAAATCTGTGGTGAGTCAGTGAAAAAAGAGGAAAAAGAAACGAAACAACTCAAAGTTAATTTGAATTTTGGGTAACAAACAAAACTACAACATTGATTACATGTTTACAACCTTTAATTCAACTAATATACATGACGATTACAACCAACAATTAACTGGTCACATTGAAAGACAAGGGTCAAATTTAACAACAAGTAAACCCACAGTTAAACCAATATTGTACCCGTGTAATGACAGAAAGGCGCAAAGGCATGTTGAACGCAAAAAAGAAACGCTCATCTACAGACATCCAGAGTAAATGTTGATAATTTAATTGTAAAGAGCAGGTAATGGTAATCATCTAAGAAACTAATTATCCTTGATGGTTGAAACAAATGGAAATAGGTTTCTTTTGCTTTACCTGTTGAACCTTAAACTGTAATGAAAGTGTAAATGCACAATATAGGATGATGATTGAATCAAAAAGATGATAATGATGAGCCTGTTGATGATGATGATGATGATTCCTAAGAATCCGGATCTATCTTATTCATTTGTTTGATGGCCAAACCTTAAAGAAACCACGCAACAGTCTAATTACATTCCATTGGCATATACAACACATAAATAGGAACACCAAAGTGCCCAATATAACAGCCTCCAGGCACAATGGCACATCCCATTTATAAGTCACTCTCAATCTTCACCATCATCTTCATCATCATAATCATCATAATCATCATCATCATCGTCTTTATCATCTTCTTATCCATAAATATTCATCGTTTCCATTTATCTGTATGGAATATTGATATTCAATGATACTGGTATGGGCCATTGTATATGTAAAGACTCGTGTCCAATCACCTCTAATGGTTTACCAGTATTAGGTTTGATTAGTTGCCATTTATTCCGTATTTATTCACCAATTTTATAACCATTTACCATTTTAATAAGCTCAATGTTAATTAAAGCTGATTGTTGTTCAACTGTTGAAACAAAAAGAAATGCAGAAAAAAAAGTAAAACATTTGACCTTTTACATGAAAGCTTGAATGTAACTTAAAAAGCTTTACTCACCTTTACTTTGTGTGTTGACCAAGGTAAGAATGGTTCCTTGTATTATCATTGAAAACTGATTAACCTTCAGGTCGATGATTTAATTGATTACACTGTTTAAGGTTAATTTGTGTGTATATTTGTGTGTTTACATTTTTATATTTGAACACAGTAACACATTGTGTTACACATTTACCTTTTCCAATTTCCAAGTAATGTTAACTTGATCAACATAATGTACTTCTGTTAATGCGGGTTATTATTGTTGCTTGTTATTGTCTATTGATTCATTGTTAATAGAATCAGTTAGTTGAAACACACAAAAACACAAATTACACAATTATCAACAACAATTTAACTATAATTATTGTTGCTTTGTTATTGTAAAGATGGCATTTTGGTTTGTTCAAACATGGCGGGTTACAGTGTTGAGGTTAAAACCGTAACATTGGCAACAACAACGCTATTTCACAGTGAAATTTTCATTCTTGTTCAATTTTTAAATGTTTGTCAACCTTTACCATTTATAAATCATCAATCATTAATTTAACGATTTAGTTCAACATTAGTTTCACTTGTTTCATTCAATTGTAACCTTCCACAATAAACCAATACATGAAAATGCTTTCAAACAAAATCAAAATGTTTATGAATATCAAACAAGTAAATACATCTACATAACCAGGTAAAGTTAGAAAAGATATGAAGAAAAAAATGTTTTTCACCTTTTTTTTCTTCATTTTCATTAATTTACTGACTTTTTGCCCATTCTTTTATTTTGCTTACAGGTTATTATGAACATTTGTCCACATCGATGTTACATTGAATTTCAACCCGAATTTGGTTTTGCATGAAAAATGGACAATATTATCAACAATGAATGTGTAGTTTAACAGGTTACAAAAATATATTAACCAGTAAAATATGTATTGTTGTCCAGTTGGCTTTTTTTATTTGCATCTTTGGACATTTACATAGCTTTTTACATGGAATCCAATGTAGCGTGAAAAATTGTTTACCTTTTTTCGCTAACTCCAAAAATGGTTTCTGTTTATGAATTATTATTGAAATGAGCAGTGAGAAATTATGATTAGTATATTGCTACCAATGTTATTGTTACATTTTTATGTCCACGAGTCACTGAGGTTTTTGTTGAATTAACTTTACATTTGTTGTGTTTGGTGAATGAAGCAAATTATAAATCAAAATTATATGATCATGTGTATATTGATTAATGAATTATGATCATTTGGTCATATCCAAGTGTAAACAATCTCGATTGTCCGATATTGTACATTCAGTAAAAAGTTGAGTTGCAACTTCAATACAATAAACTTTGTCTCTATTGTATTGCATTTTATTAAAATGATAATGATAAAAATTTCTGAATCAAAATTGAAATGATTATTAAATGTAAAAAATATTTAGCAAATGTAAATCTATTCTGAGCAAAGAATTACAAATCTTAATTAGCAAATCTTCCCTTGACATTGTCGTTTGTCAGCTATCGTCTGCATCTCTTAAAGTCTTACTTTCCCTTTTGAACTTCAACTAGGCATCAGTTTCAGTTATAATTGCTCTTGACTTTAGACATTTTAGACTAAATTGTTCAGTATATCTGATTGTCGAATGTGATCTGCTGTGTTTTAAATTGTTTCCTTCATGTGTTGTAAAGTTAAACGGTTTGCATTTAAAGTCGTCATCTTTGGGTTGTAAAAGGATTATATCTCCCATCTACTTGGTTTTATTGACTATTGACTTTCTACCTGTTGCTTAACCTTTTTCCATTCCATGTTATAAGCTTTGAAATAATTGTGTCTCACTAACGAGTAATCTTCAATGTTCAAGAAAAGCCCGACTGAAATGCGCTGAGAGATGATTTTATTAATACATGAACAAGTTTGCTTTGGTCAAAATATATAGTTTCATGTTGTATCTATTGCATGGAATGGCAATGAAAACGAGGCAATGTTGAAACAATTGATACATTGATTGGAAAATAGCGAAATATCACTTTTCTTCACATTTAAAGTTGGACCACCATGACCATCTATTTTACCTGAAACCTAAAGACGATATCTAAATGTGCGGGAGTAAATAAGGATGGTGATGATGAAGCAGAAGAAGAAGTAGAAGGAGATAAGAATTGATAAAGTGTAAAGTGAATTGAGCGACTATTTATTGGTTTCTTCTTTCTCTCCACTGGAATATGTGAGAAGGTCAATGAAGCATAGAAGTAGCAATGAAGATGATGATAATGATGATGGAAAGAGAAGTATTTGACTACAAAAAGACGCGTTCAACTATGAAGTTGTATTGAATAGCATTTTGTTTATCCGATTTTGTCAAGGTAAAGAAGGAAAGCCAAAAAAATGTCTCCAAGCCGTTCCCTGTTTTAACAGGTAAACTTAGCGATTTCTGGTTCAACTTTGATATGATTTATACATTCACCAGTGAGCGTTATATTCCTCTCTATCTTGGATTCAAATTTTTTTACTTCTTTACTCAAAAAAAAGTGAAGCAAAGTAGAGTAATTTAATTGTAATGATGATGGACCATACAAGTAAAGCTGATGCAGAAACGGTAAATGCAGTGAGAAGATAAACTTGAACTAAACCAAATTTAGAGTTGGCGGAGATATTTATTATTGTTTTGCCTTGTTGTCAACTGATCCGTTTTAATCCGCTAAACGATGACCGAATTAACGAAATGAATAGACCAATGGATAATCCGATATAAAAAAAGGTAATAATATACACATAAGACGTGTACAAGAAACACTTCTTACTTTTACCTGTTTCCCTCACATAATCTTAATACTCACCAATTTATCATAATGTTAACTTTAAATCCGACTCAATTGATTCTTGATTCACTTCTTATGTTTACAGTTTAACCTTTCAACTTGCGATCAAAACAATATTCAATCAGAAAAGGTCACATGAAAGGAGCCAAGTAACCAGACCCTTCCGTTGATAAACCTCCACATCATTCAACCTCATTGGACCGGATACATTGATCAAATAATTAATAATCGTGTGGCTTTTCCTCATCCCAGGTAACTATTACACTATTTTTTTGTGTATAACCTTAAATAATACTAATGATAAATAATTTGTAACCTTTCCTATTGAACTAAGTTTACCTTTTTTTGTTACTATTTGATTACAGGTTGTTCATCTTGTTACCTTTCATTGGCCTTTATTGGGTATTATTTCATTATTATACCTTTCATCGATATCATTATCCTCATCAAAGGCAACATCAACATCGACATCATCATCAGGAGTTAATAAAGTTGACTGTCAAAAAAAGCAAAAGGAAAAAAGATTAACTAAAAATTAACTTCCGAGAATAATATAATTCGTATTTAGTTAAATGTTGAACCCTCCCAGTGTTGATAAACTTGTAAAAAAAGCGCTAAACGTAATGAAAATGATAATGAAACGGAAATCACGTTGAAATGGGCTAATCAATGGGCTCATGCCAAACGGGTTCCGTTGATCATTACAATAGCTCTTTAGGTCAATGGGCATTTACTTTAATGTTAAATTAATTTGATTCTGTTAACATTAGCCGATTAATTTTTCGCACTTTGATTCAATTTGGACCGGGCAAAGTTGCACTATTTCTGTGCCAACTTGACCAATCAAATTGAATAAAATGCAGATTCATACAATATCGCATTCTTATTATTAAATATACGAAACATTTTGATAATAATGATTGCATGAGCTTAAATAATTTGTTAACTGGTTTAGATTTAGGTTATTTTTATCTGTAAACTTAATCGGTTAATGATGAATTTTTGTTCCTCAAATGATTACACTTTTGCCTAAATATTGCATTATTTTTCTTCCTAAGCCTTTCAACATTTAACCAAACGATCAATTAACCTGTTGCTAATCAAATAAATGAATAGTTTAATTGCACGTTGATGATCAATAACCATCAACACAATTGAACGCTTCATGATAGTTGACTGGTTCAATGTTAAACAAACACACAAGTTTCAAATTAAAAATGTATCTTGAAAGGTTTACAATTATGATAATAATGATGGTGAAAAAAATCATTTTTAATAAGTTGAATTTCTTCTCATTTGTTGAATAACAGAGAAAAGGAGAAAGAAATATAATAAACTAATTAAAATGAACATATTATTATTATTATAGATTGTATTATTAAACTTGTCAAGATAATTTGTTGTTTGGTTATTATTTTGTTGAATGTATATTTATATGATTAAAAAAGAAACAAAAGAAAAGGTAAACTCAGGTAAAGTAATGAAACAAATTGATGTTAAATCAAGTTCAACAACAAGAAGAAACAGCCAAAAAGATCATTATGATATTTATAAAGTTAATGTTAAAAATAATAGGAAGAGATGTCTCATGATAATATTTTTTAATAATAATAATAATAGTATTAATAATGATGATAATGTTGATAATAATGATGAAAATGATAATAATGATAATATACAATTGCCTTTGATCTGTTGTTATAGCTAAACTGATAATGTGAACAAGGCGGACTTGGTCTTGATGCTTGTTAAATTTATTCAAGAAAATGGGCTTTACTCGAGATTCAAGGAGGAGTTTAAAGTGGCCTGACGAGAAGCCTGAGAGAGAGAGACAGAGAAGGAGGAAGAGGAGGATGAAAGATGATAATGATGAAAGAAGTCAAGAGAAAGAGAAAGAGGCAAAAGAAAGAAGAGAGATGAAGATAGAAGAGGAAAAGAGAGTGTGAGTTACAACGGCAAACCAAAAGTGACCTGTAAACTTGTTTCTCAGTTGCAAGTTTGATCTCTTACTATCAACACGGACAGTTTGAAAGTTATCATTTAAAGTAATCAATTTGAATCGGTTTAGCCTTGCATCTTTAAAATTGAACAACGCATCGATTTACCTTTACAATTTGTTTACCATCTCAACTTGATCTTAATTTTCATCTTAATTTTATACTCATTTTTAAAATTTGTTTTTGTGAATTGTGATTAAATTGTCTTAATTGTTTTCCATAGATTAACAATTATAATCTTACATTGGATACATTGGAAACGTGAAATGTTATGGAAGTTGATTTGGAGCGTCGATGTTCATCCAATCTGATTCCTGAATGGACTGATAAAAATTTGTCCGCTGATATGCACTCTCTTCACATACAAAATTGCCTCTCCGGGGCTGCAGCTCTAGCTGCATCGGTACACCATCACCATCACCATCATCACCATCGAGGTCGACCTTATCTGACTGAACGAAATGATCCTTACTTTGATCCAAGTGCCAATGGTACACCAAGTCATCATCCCTACCATTCGCATCATCCATCACACCATCACCATCCAACTCATCCACACCATCCATCATCCCTTATGTTTGGTCATCACTCGTCACCATTCACACCAATTGCACCTCCACCTCCACCAGCACCATCTCAGGTTACCTCTTCCTCGTCAACTGCAAGTCCTGGACTTGGTTCTTCATCATCCCCTTCTTCTGCAAGTTCACCCAATGGGTTTCGTGTTCCTGGTGGTTCCCATCACAATTCATTTCATGGTCTCACTTCTTCATCTCCTTCCTCGTCATCACCCTCCATGGCCTCAAGTCCCTCATCCCTGGTCACAACAAACGGAAATTACACCAATAATAATAACAATCTACTTGCACCTTCAACTGATTCAATGTGGGAAGATATTTCAGCCAGTATTTGTGATGATTTTCCAGTTGAAGTGAAAAGTGAAACTGATAATAATACTCATCAACATCATCTTCATCATCACCTTTTAAACCCTTTAACCTCTTCAGGAACAACAACAAACCATCATTCCAATCATTCACAATACTCATTTCGTTCGGCTCATGTTCCCCTCATTCCAAGTCCACCTTCATCATCAACCTCTTCAACCTCATCCTTCCTAACCTCAACCAATGGTACCGGTTCAACATTCAATCAACACCAATCCTCATCCAATAATAACAACAACAACAACTCTAATAGTAATGTCAATAATAATAATAATAATAGTAATAATAGTTCCAATAATTCCTCATCAAACTCATGTGGATCTGGAGCTCAAAATTTGAATGGACGTCATCATTCCAATGGAAATGGTAACTCATCCAGTGATAATTCTAGTGGAACAATATTCAATAATCTGGGCTCAAAGGGTAACTCAGCATATCATTCAACCTCTTCAAGTATGTTATCACCATTGCATGGACATAATCGCATGTTACTCTACATGCCACCCACACCACCCAATTCCGAGCCAGGTTCACCATCAAATCAGCTTCACTTGACTCACAATGGAATCCACCATCAACAACAACAACAACAATTAAATACTCAAAGATGTGTAACTCCCAATGGTAGTTCATCAACATCAGCAGCTGCCCCACCTCCACCACCTCCATATAATCCAGCCTCCGGTCATCCAATGAGTGGACCCACTCCTGGTTCCTCTGTGCCTGGACATGTTCACCTTTTATCAGGTCCAAATCATCATCCAATGCACACCTCTTTGGGCACACTCACATCATCCTCGTCCACCTCATCTTCAAATGTTTCATCAAATAGTCATGGTTTAATGAGCCACTCAATCAACTCAAATCTCGGTGAGGGATTAACACCGGTAACATCCAATACGGGTTCAATCATTTCACACCACAACCATTCTCACCATTCACATCACCATTCCTCACTAGCTGCTCACCATTCCCATCATCACAATAACAATACTAATCATCATCATCACCATTCTCATCATCCTTCCAACCGACTAATCAATGGATCAACGACAACAACCACATCAACCTCTTCCTCTTCATTAACCACCACAACTTTATCCTCTTCATCCGGACAATTGATTCTCGGTACACAAAAGTATAACCGACGAAATAATCCAGAACTGGAAAAAAGACGAATCCATCATTGTGATTATAATGGTAAGTTAAACAATTAACAATTCAACAATTCAGTTAGTTGGTTAGTTACGGTCAAACATTCATTTCTCTCTTTTTTATTTCACTCATATTTCAATGAAACAAAAATTGCATGCAAACATTGATTACAAGCATTTGCGTGATAATTCAAAAGAAAAGTCGAACGAAAGTTAAACAAAAACAACGCTATTTTTAATGATGAAATGCACATGAAAAAAAAGTGAAGCTTCCGTTCATCTTGTAACACTTTCATTTTTGAAGGTAAAAACTTGAACAATCTGATAAACACGCGAGTCACAGTAAAGTTTATCATGTCAACAAGAGACACAAAAAATAGTCGAGAAAAGGTAAAAAGAAGGAAACCAGAAAAAAGAAGATGAATATGAAGATGGCGATTGATGGTGAAAAGGACTGAGCAATTGTAAAAGTACAGAGCCAATTATTAAACGCACCTTAAGGTGACTTGAACAGTAGAAGCTGAAGCAAACTGAAGAGATGACAACCGCAGTCTCCGATGAGTATAATTGGCCTGTAAGAAGCAAACTGGCAAAGCGAAGGGAAGATGAGGAAGAAGGTGAAAAAAGATGAACATCACTTACTTTTTTATGCTGTAAAATTGTTATGAACGTTTAGTTATCGGACTGGTCTGACCATTTAGACCTCTTAAGGCAATCGCCTTCACATCTTATTTTTGTCTCCTTTTCTTAAGACCATTTTGTACCTCAATTTTAAGCCTATTATTGGACATAAACTGTCTTGTTTCCTTACTTATCTTTATACCTTTTAAAACTGTGTGTCCGCTGGTCAACCTTCATTCAAACGTATCTTCAACTGTTCAACAGTATCCATACTCAATGAGTCAAATGAATAACTCCTATAACAAGTTATATCCTAAGGTGTAATTCAATTATGAGGAAAGATGAGTGTAAGATGAAAATTATGAACAAGAGGAAAAATGTATTTCCAATTGTCGGATTGATCTTTACATTGTTATACCTTTGATACAACACTTAACCTTGTTAGGTCAATGGACAAGTTACATTATATTATAATAATAAGTTACCTGCTGTAAGTTTCCGGTTACATTGGGTGATCAAAAAAGCAGGTAACATGCAGTGAGAAATGAAATGATAATAACGAGGTAAAGTGAAATTTGTTTTGAAAGAGAAAAGAAAATGTTTTTTCTTTTCTTTTTCTCCTGTTTTATACTTTTCCTTTCCTTACCATTTCGTATTCAAGTTTGTGTGTGTCTTTGACGTTGAGAAAAGTTGAATTAGCAAAGGAAATGAATAAGTTATTTAGTGATAAAAGGAGTGAAGGAGGAGGGTGGGAGTGAGAGAGGGTAATGGACATTAACTAAGGTTAGTTAATTGTTATGATGAGAGTTGGAAAAATGTTAATATCATTGTTACCCATTGGTTGGTTGTATTTGTATGTGTTTAAGCATTAACCTGTTCAAATTAGAAGGTTTAAGAAGAGTAAAAAACAAAAATATAAAAAGTCTTGAATGTAAAAAGGTTTACTTTGATGGAGTGAAAAGGGTTAAGACATTTTCTTGAAACTTGTTGATCTGCATCACAATTAACGTCGAGAGAAGTTCTTGTTGATTCATCTTCTTATTCTTGTTTAGTCTCTTGACCGCACCTTAAACATCATCATTTCCAGTTTCGATTAAATGTTGACCATCAACATTCATTTCCCAGAGAAACAAAAAAATATGAACAAACAAAACGGACAACAACGGACAAAAAACAAAACCAAAGATTTAAGGTAAACATGAGTTGACAATTGTTATTGCACTAAATTTGAAACAATTGTTAATGATACAAATTGTCGTTTCATTGTCAATCCTGTTGTCTGTTATTGTAACAATTTATTGTTAATTGACTAGTTAGTTGATTGAAATGATTTGTTGTCTTCAAATGATATCTTTTTGGCTTTCTGTTTTTTGATAACATTTTTTATATGCATAAAGGTGTGTTAACTTGAATTATTAAAGGTAAATTGAACTGGATTCAACTGCTGTTGGACCCTTTAGGCATGATTATCAAATCAAAGACTAAACTTTTCGTTCATCTTTTCTTATTGATGATCAACTAAAGGCCTTGGGACTTTTAGTAACGGAAAACGTTTCAAGTTAATTGTAACTTCGTAAGCATTGAACTAATAATATTTTTGTATCTTAAAATGGCAAGCTCAATATTAACCTTTTGCTTTGCTTTCATTTTTTTTGTCATTTCGCATGAAATTTTTACAGGGAAATCTGGGAAAAATGACAATGAAAATGATGAAAGGAGGTAAAGATGAATGAATATCAGGAAGATGGAAAGAAAAAGAAAAGTTGAATTCAAGTCTCACGAGACTGAAGTTTGGACAATGTTTAATGAACGTATAGTTGAAGAGGAAGACGAGAAAAAAGAAGAAGATGAAGAGGATGAGGATGAATGGAAAGAAAGGGAAGAAAGAAACCAGTTGACAAATTAATTGTCCTCTAAAGGTTTCTCCTTCGTAGTTTCGCTGTGAAAAGGTTATCCTAAAAAATCGTTGAATGTTCAGTTTCATCTTCCACCTTCTTCTCTTCTTTCTCTTTGTTTACTTCCTCTAATTAAGACTGATTGAAGACTTGAAGAGACGAAAAATGATGTGTTCAAGAAAAGCTCAGCATGAAACTTTTCCCTTTGCTTTCGCCATTCTCTTCCAATGCTTTTTAATACCTTCAATTGTCCTCAAGCTGATGCTTATTAACTTTACCCTTGGTTCACATTACCTGTTCCAATAGTGTTAATTGTAAGGTAAAATAATCAAGTGAAAAAAAGTCATTTCAAATGAACAGGTAAACAACAGCAATGTTGAGTTGTTTGTGAAGGTTCATTATCAACTTGAGCTTTTCCTTTTTTCTTCTCTTCTTTTTCACTTTATCATGGTTAACTGATTTATCCCTTTGATTCTCATTATTTGCATCAAATGACAATTTATTAATAAGTGTTACAATCTGTAAGAGCCTTTCAAGATTCACTTTTGTCATCAACTTTAAGCGTAAAGATGAAACATTTATTATCAACAAACAATGCACTTTTAATTTAATGAAGTTTCCCTTTGAAACAAACCAAAAGTCAGGTTAATTGAGGTGGAGCAGACTGTAAATTTATCATTATTCATTCACCAATTACAATTGATGCAAACCATCTGCTGATCAACGAGAAACTTGACAATAATTAACTTTAATTGATAGCATCAACATTACACTAGAGTCAACTTTCTAGGTTAGTCTTGAAGGAGTTAAAGCAAAGCTAAATTTATCCAAAAATGACACTTTCTTTGAATCCCTTTTTTTTGAACCGGCAACTTTGAAAGTAAAAACACATTTTTAAAAATGATTTGGTAAACAGTTTAACCTGATTTGGGTGTTAATGTTGATTGAACAAAGGTGAATAACAATGTTTTGAAAAAAAGAGAGAAACTTGAATGGATAATAATAATCAAATATTTAACCAACAAAGTACAAACTGATAAAGTAAATTGAGTGAATCAGTTGAATACACTGTTAATATTTACCTATTTATAACCTTGTCTTTTCATCTGTTTCATATCATTCAGGTTGCACCAAAGTGTACACAAAGAGTTCTCACCTTAAGGCTCACCAGAGGATCCACACAGGTAAATATACCTTTTCAATTGGTTAATCAAAAGCAATAATGATAATGATAATACTATACAACAAGCAAGGCAACCAAAACAAAAACAAACTCCTATACAGCAAATGTTGAGGTTGTACTTGAGTAAGTCAATGTTTCAAGTAAAAGTCACGATGTTAGGCCTTCTTCAACTACTATTATCATTACTATCATCATTATCATCATTATTATCATTGTTATTAACATTATTATTATAATATCATCCCATTATCATATTATTATTGCCATTAGTGTCTTTAACCTGCACCATTATCACTTGTTTTTGCATCACATTTCACCATTTCCATTGTGTTTTATCATTTATTTATTTTCCTCTTTTTTTTGTTTCTTTTTTTCTGCATTTATTTTCACCTTTTTTTGGCTCTTTTCTGGTTCCTCTTTGCATGATGATTCTTGCTCTTTGCATGGTTAGGCGAGAAACCATATAGATGTAATTGGATGGAATGCCAATGGCGATTTGCTCGTTCCGATGAGCTTACTCGACACTATCGTAAGCACACTGGAGATAAGCCTTTCAAGTGTAAAGTTTGTGAACGATCTTTTGCTCGCTCAGACCATTTAGCACTTCACATGAAACGCCATTTACCCAAGAATCACAAATGAATTTTCATTGCACATCTTTTTTTTTGCTTCATCCCTCATTTGTCTGGCTACTATCAGACAGTCAAATAATCCTTCATCTTCATTGTCATTCATCAGATCGTTACAATTCATTGGGAAAATTGATGATCAAGAAACGCCAAAAGATGCTCATTATTATTCCTAATATTTTGGTTACCTCATTTTAATGCTCATTATCATTATCATCTTTGATTATTATGTATTAAGATTATCTGACCACCTACTTACAAATTGTGTATATATTATTATATTTTACACCAACTCTTAAACTCCCGGTTGATCAACAATCAGAAGTCAAGCTTGTCAATCTAATATGTTTGCTTTTTTTTAGAAAAAAAATTAACATTTCTCTTGTATTATATTGACTATTTCAATCATTTACATCATGATTAGTATCAGTTTTTTCTTGGTATTATCATCGTCATTATAATCATCATTTTTTACCATTTTTATGCTATTTTTATTATTACAAGAAACGTATATTTTTAACTCTCTCTCTCTCTACTTTTTTTGCATTATTATAACAAGCTAATTTGTATGGCTTACAATTTATATAAGAGAATGGTGTATTAAAATTAAATTTAAAACATGATAATAAAAAAACAAAATGTCATCAATTGATTTAGTTTTATTTCTGGTTTTTTGCTCTGGTTCATTCAAATGATTGTCAAATATCTAAAATGTATTTATAAAAATGATGTTAACTTGTTATGTTAACGACTGTAAATTTAAGGGAACTTGTTTAATCAATTAAGTTTAATTACTTACTCAAGGTTAATCAATGTTAACAGCAAGCGTGTTAACATGGCATAAATTACAAAACAGCAAATTGATTAATTTGATTTGAAAATGGCGGTAATCGAAAGTGAACACATTGGCATTATTAAGCAGTTGTTGTGGTTACTATGGTGGTTGTTGGCGGTTTTTCATGTTGCTCTTGTTTTTAGTCTTTTTTTTACCATTTCAATCATCAAATGGATTAGTATTTAAAATTAATGATTCAATTGATTTTTCCCTTTTTTTATGCTCATTATGCGTGATTAAATAACATGGAAAAGGATTTGGTTAGGTGATCTTGTATTGAAGGTAAGTACATTTCTTTTTCTCTCTACTTTATTTAGCTGGGTTAATAAGTGATTAGTGAAATTAACACCATACCAATATTTATGGACATAGCTATTATCAAATATATGCATGTATATGTACTAATTTGAATAGTGATAATCATAATACAGTAATACATTTAACAAACTGGTTCTTCCCTTTTTATGTTTAGCTCTCTTTCTTTCGTTTCTTTGGGCCTCAACTTGATGATGATCATCACCCTCCAGTTGATTCCAAGTGAGTGACGAGTTTAACAAGTTTAATATCAAGTTAAATGGATTAAAACTGGATAAGGAAAAGGTTGTTTCTTAATGGTTAGTTAATTAGAGTTGCCAAGACACACACAAGGCGAAGAGAAAGATGGAGATGGAAAGAGAAGACCAAAAGGACCAAGCAGGCTAAAAAGACTGAGAAGATCAGAAGAAAGATGATGAAGAGAGTAAAAATTGAGAAGGACACACTTTCTTCTCATTCTCCTTTTTCGGGTTAATTCAACCACGAAGAGAGGGCCTTGATTAAGGCCTAGGGGCAATCTATGGACGATCTTTCTTACCCTGTAACTTACAGAGTGTCACAGTGTGTTGTCTCAAGCTTTACCATAATTTTGTTCAGGTAAGACATTTCTTATGTCTATATATGTGTGTATAAATAAATACATAAGAAGATGTTGAAGACATCGGTTTTTTGTTGCACTTGAGACATAACTAATTAGCTTTGACTTAACTTTGTTAAAAACAAAGCCGGCGACAATGTTGAAAAGAGTGAGATGATAAATGATGATCAACATGATATTGATGATCATTATGAATGATAGACGATCATGTCTTGAGGACACTTTCTAATTTTCTTGTTGCTTTTACTTTTCCCCCGAAACATATATTTTACCTTTAGCCTCTTGGAACCATTTTTTTGCCAGATGAAATATCAAAATCAATTGAAATCAATTTTATACCTTTTCCTGAATAGCCAAGGGTTAACTCCACACATATGCTTTGTATACATACATTGGTTGTTCATTACTTCACATCAAAACTGCAAATTTCAATGTCAATCTAACATGTTCAGAACCATATTATTTTCAGATTAAGACTTTAAGATGTCTTGAAGAGATTAACTCAAAGGTTTACAGAAAAGACATTTTCACCTTTCATATTTTTGATGGGTTAACTGACAATCAACTCTGAACACCTTTGACCTTAAAACCTTGAACTTAACAAAAAAAACTAACCCTTGAAAACGCCTTCAAATGAATTGATAGGTACTATTTATTTATTCATATCTCTTTCTCTGTTTTTTTTTTGTTATGAAAACTGTTGATCCGTAAAAATAGCTTTTCTGTTGAAAAATATGAAAAAATATGATATTATTGCAATCAATTGATAAAGCAATAAGTCAATTGATAGCTATTTTGTTAAAATCAAAAGCATTTATCTTACTCTATTTAAATCGCATCTTTCAACCCGTTAAGAACTATTCAATCTCTATTCATATTACTGACAGATTCCTTTCCAATGATTAAGTTAATCTTGTATTGGCACTCTTTATTGTCAAATCTTTCAATCATTATAGAGTATTATCGCCATTTGATTATCATTATCTTCATCAGCTATTCAATAATAATTAAGACTGCGATTATTTCCTTTTCTATTGAGCTTTCAATTTCTATTCAAATGTGATTTTGATTTTACAAATACAGAGCCTTGCTTTTACATTTTTAAAAAAGACATCAAATTAAGTCTTATCATGAACTGAATCAGAGCTAATTACTCTTTTATTTTCTTTATTCACAGTTAATCTTCACAAGTTTGAACAATTTCTCAAGAATGGCATGAACAAGTTGAAAGAAAATTGAAGCGTTATTCATCAATATTGATATTTCCTGATATAATTGATTAACCATCAACAAATGGAATCAAGGTTAACAAATGAATGGTCAATTTAATTTCCATGCATATAAAGTGAATCTTGGAATAGCTTTGAAAATTTGCTGGAATTCAGTGAAAGCGGTCAAATTTTTGGCTAATTATTGGGAAAATGATTCGACGTTTATGCTTATGTATACATTTGCTGTTGAATATGCTACCAATCGAGGTGAATGAAATTGACTGGCAAACAATTGGTCTGAATAGTTGGATTGAATGTATGGTTATCGTTATGGTTAAATATGTTTAAAGAGTTAAATAGATTTGGTTAAATAAATTATTACAAACAGTTTTAACCTTCATCTGTGACCATTAATAATGGATAAAGATACTAACAAAGTTAACCAGGTTAAAAAGGTAAATAAAACCGGCCAATATAAAAGGGATATAAAGATGGACTTGAAGAGAAAAGGTTTGTTGGATGCAAGTTGGACACACAAAGGTTATTATTGTCAAGCTCCACAAGTAAAGATTCATGAAAGCAAAAAAAAACGAAAGAAAAATCAAGTAAAACTGAAAAGATAAAAGGTTAACCTAGTTGGAGAGAGAGGTAAGTAAAGGTAAAAAGGTAAAGGTTGAAGGTTGAAAGCCTTGAAATGTTGTGTGAGGGCCAAAAGGGAAACATTTTGCTTGTTTCTCATCTTGTTTCAATGTGAAAACGCGAAAAAGGTTTACTTTCAAATTACAGGTTACATTGAGTTTGTAAATGAAGTTTTTTCTTCTCTCTTTTTCTCTTACTTTCCTCTTCCAACAACAAGTGAAAAACGTTAGTTGATGAGCATTTGAATGGGAGGTAAGAGGGAGGATGAAGTACATGATAATGATGAATAACCAACTTATTGGTTATTTAGTCAATCTTAACCAGCATTTAATTTAAACAGACGTTATCATCGTGATTTGAGCAATTTAAACATACAATCACTGAAAGCTGACAGTCTATGGGAATTTAACTATTTAACCTTATGATCAGTTTGCAAATGATTTAATTATACGGGTTTATTATTGATTGTTGATTTCCTATCCGGGTATTTATTGTTAATTTCAATCAACATCATCCATTGAATATTCTGTATAATTGTATTTACAATTGCAAATGTAACTGTCCAAGACAACAACAAAACCATTACCTTTTTTGCCCGTTTCAAGCGCAACCATTAGTATTGATATTTATTTTAATTTTATGTGTGACAATTTAAAGATGTTGCCATTGAATAGTAAATCAATTTTAATTCATATTAATGAAAGATTAACATTTGTATTGCTCTGATTTACAGTTGTTAAACAGTTTGACCTTATTGAACAAGTTAACAGGTTAACTGTGAATTTGGATGTGAAAAGTCAGCCTAAAGGCCTTTCAGTTGATCATTCATGTTGAATGGAGCAATTAAATTGTTCATCTTACATTGATTATCAGTTATTAAACAATGTAATGGTTGAGCTAAAAAGATTGAATGTTAATAGCAATTAAAATTGAGAATAAAGTGAAACAATGAACAAAAAAACGGCAAAATTAAAGTCAAACACACATTGAAACATTGAAAAGCATATTGTTTGGTTAAACAGTTTTTAATGTAAATGTTTAGTTGGTTAATTAATTGGCCAGTTGAGGTCAACAATTTAATTACAGTATATTGTTATCATCAGATTGTCTGTTAACCCAATTGATAAACATGAAGCAATACAGTCAGTTTTTGCATGTAACTCACAAAAGTCCATAAATAAACTGTTTTCATGTCAACAATTTAATCCTTAATGATTATCAACAATCTAATTATCCTTTCACTTTCACCGTCATCAAGTTAATCATGGAAATTCATCAGGAAAATTATGGTCAACATCATGATATAATCAACAGGTTGATTCACATTGAGTGAAACAATTTTCATTCATCTTATTTTTGTTTCAGTTTTTTTGTCAGTTAACCATTTATCCTTACACTTTTGATTGCTCACAATTGCGGTTCATTCAATTAATTAACCAGGCAATCTTCAATTTTCAGACTCTCTTTTAATGACAATCCTGATGATGATGGTTAGTTAACATGCAAACTTTCATTTGATTAGCAATTCATTTTATTTTTTTTCATTTCATTTCATTAAAGTCATAATTTACGGCAAATAAGCAACCACAACGAAAAATGTTGACAACAGCAACAATCATCAACTTAATTTGATATTTACAATTACTTTTAAATTAACTAATATATATCAAGTTAATTAGTTAGTTAATCAACAAGTAAAACAGAGGAAAGTATAAAAAAAATAAAATAAATGGTGACATCTTAATAACATTGTAAGGCTATTTATGTGCAATTTATTCAGACTGTTACAACTGTTCACAATTTCAAGCTGTGAAATACTAATCAAGGTTTTTTTCATTAAAATGCACCAAAATCAAGTATTTAACTCACAATAATCAATTTTAACAATTAACTAACAAAATTTATTTATCTCTTAAAAATCGCGCTTCAGTTGACGGCGGTAATTGCCATAGTGATTATTGTTGCCTTCAATTTGTAAGAGATAATTTTTTTCCGTTCAATTTGGTTCAAATTTTCATTTTTTAATTTTCTCTGTACAATTGTAATGGTTTTGGTGACATTTTGTTTTGGACAGTTTATCAGTTAACTTATCATTGACTTACAATTAAATTTATAGCTAAATCAAGTTGACTTAATCAGTGCTTCTTCAATCTTTTTTCTCAATCAACATCTTGGCAACTCTGTTGCAGCAACAAACATTGACTATTGGCCTTCCCAGTTTCCTAACAACATCAACAATCTCTTTTGACAGGTTTTATCAAAACCACAATTCCTCTTACTCAGGATCATCATCATCGTCATTCTCATCCTCATCTTCATCATCTTTATCATCAACATCTTCTCATTCTTCTCCCTCTCATTCTCATTCTCCTTCTTCTTCCTTTCTATCTCATCACACATTAATTCATTGACTTGAAAAACACTTAGACTCTTTGGTTAATATTTTTTACCTTAAAGAGAGTAGAGAAAGAGCCAATCCCTTCTACCTTAAGAAAGCTGTCTTCTATCTTCCTCCTTCTTCGCCTTTTTATCTCGCATTTTTTTCAAATTCTTACATCGGATAAATTAACTTATTTTTCTTCTTCTTCATTACCTTCTTAACCATTATTCAGGTGTATTCATGGGACAATTGGACTTCCAAACAAATACTGTCGACATTCTCGGACCTGTTATAAAATGAAATAATGGAAACAAGATATTATATTTAAAGGGTTTTCACTTGTTCCAATCCATCTTAAGGAGTGCCTTTGATCAATTGACAAACATAATTTCACTCAATAATTATTTGTTATGTTTCAGTGAAATAAGTTGTATAATTGGAGATACAATTATCTGATTGCTCATTTAAATGAAGACGGAAGACAAAGTGTCCATCAAATTGCTAATAAGATTGAACACTTTTGATATATTTTCATCGATTTAGTTTAAATTTTGAGTTTACTTTAAACACAATCAATATTGTGAAAACATTTGTTGATCATCTTGAATCATTTTGTTCTCATTGACTAACTGATTCTTCCTGTATTGTTAACTGAAACTTATGATGAATGTTGACCATTTGAGAGGCTAGGCGATCATTAAATGAAGCTCAAAACAATCAAGATCACTTTCAAGATTCAGGTTAACAAACAAATGATTAGTTAACTCAACTGATATCATCACCATTATGAGTAAAAATATAAAATTAATGAGAGAATACAAAATTGTTGATAAAAATATATCAAAAGTGGTAAAATGAACTCTCGTTATTGGTCAATTTGTAAGGTTTGCAAATGAAAACCAAAAGTCAATCAAAGTATCCAGTTAAAGATGGTTCCTTTCAACGCAACTCAACTCACATGTTTCCACCTTCTTCAATGATTGCTTGATTGTTTGTTGGATGTTAACTCTTGTATAGCTGCAAGGCTCATTAAGCTCAAGCTCAAGACAACACTAATTGTTGGGTCCAACAGTAGGCTGACCCAGATTCAAGTTTAACCTGTAATTGTTGATGAAGCAAAACAAAAAGCCAAAGAAACATGTTTTTCTGGACTAAAAACAATACTTAAATGATAAATTGTTACAACCAAAAAGTAACAAATAGTTCCGTTTACAAGTGGAAGATACAAAAACAATCAACAATCAACAATAATAATGATGATAATAGCAAACACCCCAAGCTATTAATATATGTTATTACAAATTGTACGAGAAAAAAATGGCAAAGGTACATCAAAATGTTGGTTAAGGCGAAAGTAAAAAGATAATTGAAGGATTCCCGAACAGTTCATACTAATTGTTTACCAGTTATTGGCTTTAAAAGGTTAATTGTTTTGTTGAATGGTTAAACAATCGCCTACAATTGGTAAAATTACCAATTAATCAGTTTGTGATAATTAAACTGATTGATTAGCAGTTACGATAAATGGTTCATTACATTTCCAAACACAATGAAAATGGTAACAAGCCAAATGGCGGAAAATATGAAATATTGACAAATTTGGAAACAACATTTTGCTCTTGATTTGATATAATTTAAATAAATAGATTAGTTGATATTTTGCTTACAGCTATTAATGTGTTTATCTTGATATTAAATCAAGGTTAGTCAAGATGATCGTAATGGTAAAATGATGATTAAAATGATGATGATGATGAAGATGATAGTTTTTTAACCATGGAAAGCATATAATTTCAATGTAAGAATGCATTACAACAAAGTTGTATTTAACAGCCGCAAGGTAACATGATAGATGTAAGGAGTGGTTTTAACAATCAAAATGAAAATGAAAGAAACTAATTATTTAACTAACGCTTTGTTAATTCAATTGCAATCATTATTTACTATCATATTTTAATATAACATAGAGTTCACTAAATGTAATAAATATAATTGTATATTAATAATGGTTAAACATTGAATCCATAGATATTTGGATTTAGCCGAGAGCTTTTTTTTAAGATCATTTTGATCAGCTTCACTTTTTTTCATTTCTGTTTTATTTTTCCTTCTCGCCATTCAATCCATTATTTTGAATCATTAAATGAATTATCAGAATCAAAGTTAAATGTCATAATCAAGCTTATTAGCTAAAATTGTAGCAATCATTTGTGATTATCAACAATAAATTGTTTCATCTTAAATTGATTGTAAATTGATGTTTAATCAGCTTCAACATTAATCATGATTACTTTGAGGAATCGGAAAAAAATGTTAACTCAAATCAATTTAACCAGATTTTTTGTTCACTCGTAATTGTAACACTTTAAAATGATTGTTAATGGTTAATAGCGTAAAGGATTAAATTGCTAAAAGCTGTTTCATTTGACTGGATTAAAAAGCTGTAAATTAATAAATTGTAACAATATGTTGATTTGAGATTCATTTTGTAACTATTATTTGGTTAGAGAAAGTATTTTGATGAATGGAAACTTGAATTGTCCAGAGTCTTTATTTATGATTACGGGTTAATCTAGCAATGATTATTAAATAGTAATGGTTACAATTGAATTGATGAAAATAATCATTTTTGATTTACTAATAGTTCATTTGAACCCATTTTTACCTAAATTGTCAATAAAGTTGATCCTTAAACTTGAATCGTCAGTTGAAGAGATGAAAGGAAAGTTGAGAAAAAGGTTTCCAATGATAACTCTATTTGTCTTTAATTAACCATGATTATTGTTATTTATGACCAATTTAACTGATAACTTATCTTATGGTGAAGCAAGTCAAAAGGTATGCTAAAGCTGAAACTAAATTATTTACTCACAATTTAGTTTCAATTCCGTTTTTGGACTCAACCATAAGCTTGATAAAAGCCAAGCTTGTCAACATAAATTTGTTTTAACAATCAAGGTTAATTTCTTTGTATCGTTGTATGTTATAAATATAGAGAGAGAGATAACTTAAAGGTGAAAATAACAAGTTAAATGGTTCCAGGTAATTTTAAAATCTTCAATCAAACAGACACAGGTAAGGTTAAATAAGAAGAACCTTGAAGAGAGAAAAGAAAACAAGGCAAAAATAAAAGTAGACAATATGTTGATTATGGACAAGAGAATGACCAGAAATGGTTGACCTAAAAAGCCAATGTTAATTGTGACCATTGTGTCTTTATTACGTTACATTCAAGTGTAATTTGATGATAAAAGTGATACCAATTGTTTGTGTTAAACTGTTAACATCAAGTTGATCCATAAAATTGTTTAACAGTCCGCTTTCATTGTCAATTGGCATTTCATTTGATAAACGACGGAAAAAAGGAATTCCTTTAAATTGATACATTTCATGAAAAATACGACAATGGCCTGAACAAATTGAACTGCTTCATTGGATTCAATTGGGAAGCTGAACAGATGAGGTTGACTTTAATCATTTGGCCATCTTAATTCATATCGACTTTTATTGTAATCTAACGATAGTCACTGAGCAATTGATATTTCATGAACATTTATACGAAATGGCAAACGTGCTTCTCTGTAATTCATTGATTTTCATATTGTCCTGAAAGAGATTCATTAACATTATCGTTTCATTTCCAATGAACATTGTCTGCAATCATAATTGAAATGAAGCTATCAGAATCTTTAATATTGAGACTCTCATGGAGATCTGTCTGTTTCATTGAATATCGTGAATAAGGGTTGACTTTAGTCTGAAATGTTGTTTATCTCTGTGATGAGTGAATCTCAGCTGATATTGGCTTTGGTTTATTGTTTGAGTCAATTTAGTTTAAAGTTGTAATTTGATTGACCACAATTTGAAAGGGATTTGGTTAAACTGTGAAACTGTGAGAAAGTTAAGTTTATTGTGAAACGGAAATATGATTGACTTTAAGGGTAAAACGGAAAAAGGTAAGATAATGGTTTTGATGAAAGGGAAAAGAGGAAATGATGGGTTACATGATGATGATGACCTCAACTTGAGGGTGGACTATGGTTTTATAATAACATCTTCTTGTCCATAACAAGGATTCCGTATATCCTCTGACCTTATGTCATCTTCAACCATCTCCTAAGTTTCCGTATCTTTCCCTTATCCTCCATTTACCAACAAAATCAACAGCAAACCTCACATCGCCTGGTCTACCCTTAACACCAAACTAATTTCAACCTTTCTCATCTTTCCTCTAAATTGTGGCCAAAGGCTAAATCAATTAATATTATTGTACATCTTTGATACTCTTTGACAAACTTATTAACCCAATTCTGGACGACTGTTATATCAACTTGAGAAGAAGAAGAAGAAGAGAAAAGGATTGGAAGAGAAAAATGAATTTCTAAATAAGCAAACACTCGATTCAGTCTGATATAACCAATTCAAAGCGAAGGTCAATTTATGGCCATTGTTTGACTAACCTTATTTAATGGTTTAACCATCAAAACCTATTAAAACCTATTATTAGACTGTTTGGGAAAAGTGCAAGTCTTGGTTTGTCCGAAAAGTTGATCCTGATCAGGTTAAGGTGAACAACGTTTAAAGATAATCAAGTCACGTTGATTGTGGTTAAGAAACCAAAGGAAACTTTAAATTATCTCATTTAAATTAATAAGATAGGCCAGTTATAGAGGTTAGATTTCCGTTTCGTGATTAACTAATTTGCTTTGGTTTGCTTTCACTGTCCAAGGACAATTGTATAACAATAAGGTCCACACAATGAGAATTGACCGGAAGTTTAACTGATGAGGATCAAACAATGAATGATGAAGGAACACTTTATTGTCTCCTTTAACTTAATCAACCTTTTTTGTTAATCACGTTTTATTCATTCAATCATTCAAACAAAACATCATTTTGAGTGAACATTTTTTTCTTCTTCTTTTCATTTACTTTTCATACAAACATCTCAATTCAGTCTAATTTTGGTCCTTTTTTAGAGCTAAATTGTGATTAAAGCTCGTGACATTTTACCCATTAACTAATCATGGTTTACTAATGTCATTTAATGGTCATTTAATATTGTTTGATTCCCTGTTTAACCATTGTTATTATTCATTGTTTTTAGTATTGTTGATGTTTCTTTCTTGCTATTGTTGATTCCAGTTGTCTATTGGATTAGCATTTATTATCCATTATTAAGATTATCAATTTATCGGTAAAACTGTTTTCAGGTAAATGCTGGGAAATTGGATAGTTTTGTGATTTAATAAAATATTGGCCAGTCAGAGTTGATTCATCTTTTGGTTATTGTTATCGATTGTGAGAAATGTTGATTCAATGAAATTGAGATGAGTATAAATCATAACATTGGTCAATATGGAGTGACCTTATTTTTTTGCCTTCATGTTGTCAGATAAATTATAACCAGTGACCAACAAAAGGGGTTTGGACAATTGTAGGAGTGAGTGACAATTTAGTTTAAATTGTAAATTTAAACGGAACATGTTTTTATCACTCCTAACACATTTACTTGTATGATTTATGTGTGTAAACCCAAGCTCAAGTCAATGAATTAATCTTGAACAATTATTATCTCAAGCTATGAATAATAAAGCCTTTAGCACCCAAAGGGCAGTTTTTTTTTGATATCCAAAATTTTGTGGGCGACTTTAAATTGAAATGAATTATTACTTACACCGAGAAAGAGAAAGGTTTATTGATTAAAAGAGATGATGAAGAAGACAAAACATGAACGGTGAAAGGTTGGTAGCTTGTTAGAGATGAAAAGGTAAGACGATGAAAAGATGAGATGAAAAGGTAAAAGGAAAGGGTAGAAGAAGACAGTAAAAGTAGTTTATGATGAGAGAGGAAGAGAGGAAGAAGGTGGATGATGAAGAATGTGACAGACAAAAAGGCAGACAGTAAAGAGAGAGAGAAGATAGCAATTTAAGTTTACCTGGTGCGAGGTTAGTGTTTAATTGCAATGTAAGCTAAGGTTAAGCCCAGTTAATTCCATTGATCGTGGGTGTTTAACAATCCCTGAGGCTCTTTTTTGTTCAAGGTAAAGATGAAGATGAGCAAGATGATGAAGAAGATGGAGAAAGGAGAAAAAGTTAAATTGTTTTCTCTTGTTCCTTGCGGGTTATCAATGGCTATTGGTCACTTTGACGCTAATTCAATTCATTTGATTCTGCAACAATAAATTAACCAGCCATTAAGTGATAGGCCATTTAAGTTAAATGATCATCTCTCTTTATCTTCCAGCTTTTTGTCTTTTTCATCTTCTTCTTCTTCTGGCCATCATTTGGCATCTTTTAGCTCAACATTTGGATTGAAATCAGAATGAAATGTTAACCCTTTTCCTTCAATGTTCAACATTATACAAAATGCACTTTTGTTTACTCAGTATCTTTTTTCCTACTCGACCCTAGCTTTGACCTGACTAGGGTCATTTGGATTCACATATTTTGTCAATAAAATGGTTATAAAGAGTGACAAAAGGTTACATTGAAAAACAATGTCAGTGTTAGGAGACGGAGAAATGGCATCTTAGATGTTGGTTAATGTTAAAGAGTACTAAATGGCTATTCATTGTCCATTATTTGAAATTTGTTACTATTACTATTATCACTATCATTTATATTAGGCTTGTGATTGATTTGGACAGTAATGAAAATGGTTTATCCGCTTAAATATTGTAATAAGTTAACTGTGTTTGCCAATGTTTGCATATATTTTTGAAAGACTTTTTTTTTCTGGTCAATTTTGTTGAAATTAAATTCCAATTTTTTTCTTCTTCTTCTTCTTTGCCTCCTTTTTACTCTTTAAACAACATAAGATGAAACTTACAGGTAAGATAATCCTCAAATACAAAGTAAAAATGGAAAGGTAAATTGTTTGGTTTCTCTGTGTTTACATATCATTCTGTATGCAATCCGTTTGTAAGATTATTTCCTAAGATTTGTTTTCATCATCAACATCATCATTTTGCCCAAAAAAAAGGATTATCCTTTCACTGTTTACTTTATCCTTTTGTTGGTTCACCTTTTTTTTACGAGTTATATTATCAAAATATTATTACAAATAGTTGGTGTTGGTGCTGTTTTTTGTTGTTGTTGTCGCTGGTCATTTGTTGAGCTCATTTTGAGGATTTGAATTTTGATTATCATCTTTAGCTTATATTTTGGCAGTTCCTTTGGCTATTCAGGTCAAGCAATCAATTGATTATATTGACCAATGTTGATCAGGATCAATGTTGACATCTTGAAAGGGATAAAAAAATGAATGAAATATCATTGGATTTACCTGAGAAGATTAAAGGTTGATTTGTGATTTAGGCTTAAGAGAGAAGGAAAATGAAAGAGAAGAAACAGATTAAACAATGATAATAGTAAATAATACAATTAAATGTTATGCTTGTCGAAAATTCTTTAGATTACAATTTGATCAACACGATTAACTTTATCGATTCATCTCATTCTTCGTCTTAAATACATTATATGTTATTAATAATGTTATAGTAGTTTAAGATGACCCATTTTGATACTAATTCATGTTAGTATCTTAGTTGCATGCGATGTTGTTACTAATATCAACTTATCTGGTCAACAAGCATTTCAAATTGTATTCAGATATCTTCTTGATATACATTGATCATTGAACACTGTGATTTAGACTTTAATCACATTTAACATCTATATTGGATTATAAAATCAAATAAAAGGGGTAATGTTGAAGATTAATGAACTAATCTTTGGAAAGTTGATCTCTTGCAATCCGATTAATCGTCCAGAAATCGGTATCGAAAGCAAAATTGAGTCAATTTGGATTTCCTTGATTTTGTGGTCTCAAAGGTTAATCCAATCTGGTTCACAATGGAAGCTTTGAATTTGATTAAATCGATTTATACTATTTCCATTGGCCTTTTAAGACTTCTTGGTTCATCTACTTGTGTAATTGACTGGTTTATTTTGACAATAATTTATCAATCAAGTCGGTGAAATGATAATTGAATAAACATTTCCTGCAATCCAATGATGAAGATGACGATGAGATTGATCAGCTTTTTGTATCTAAGAAACGAAATGAAGAAAAAGGAAATATCAGTCATTGTCACTTAAAATATGTGTAGGAAAATTCATGTGATTGATCAGATTCTCGGTTGATTGATCTGATTGAAGGTCCATATGCTATAAGAAAAAAAAGAAGAGAAACAGTTAGTTAAATTTCATTGTAAATATTATGGGTAAAATGATGTAAGCCACCTACCACAGAAGTCAAAAAAGTCATGTTACATTACATTAGGTTGGTTAGTTGTGGGTAAAATTGTAGAAGAATAATCTTGTCAAATGTTGACACCAATTTGACAGGTTAAAGGTTAGATTGAATGGGTGTTGACAGGGATCCGTTACATTTCATTGAATCTTTGCGTTTACCAATGTTGGATGGTTTCTATAAGATGTATTGGTGAACAAGATCTTGTTAACACAATTGCCTTTGAATCTTAAATCGTGTTAATGTTAACCTGAGGAAGAGAAGCAAAAATGTTATTAACAGGCAACAAGCAACACCTTCACCTTCACACCAATGGTGAAGATGATTTGAAAAAAAATGGTGGCGAAAAATGGCAAAGAATAGGAAGAAGAAACTGTATTTACATTGATCAATCGTGAGGATCAATCACGGTTAACTTTTCACCTTCCAAGGTAATTCGATTGAATAAATTGACTTGAGGTTATAAAGGTTAAATGGTTCCTCGTGATCACAGGTATAAAAAAACAGAAACTGATTTAAAAAAGTGATAACCGAATGTAGCTTCTTAAGTTGATCTTTTAATCAAAAGCGCACAGACACTGCTAATACAAACCAAAACGGCTGAATGGCTGGCTTTTATACTTTCTATAACCATTCAAGATCGTTTGTCGGGTATTATACAATTCATTATACATTTAGAGGCTGATAAAAATTCCTAAGTGTACAATTCACTCATTGAAATTCAATCATTGAATTTCATTCATTTTACCCTTTCGGCTCAAAAAGCTCTCGGCTATTTTATTAATTTGTCATGATAGTGTCAATGGGTGTTAATAGGTGTCACCATTTTAAAATTTGAGATTTAAAAATACTGTTACTATCAATTGTTAAATATAGTTTGTTGCTTTGATTATCAGATTACAAGTTTATATTGTTATAAAATAAAAAGTGCAGTTTGACGACAAATTTAGCTTACAAGGTCACAAAAGGATCGACAAGAAAACAAGGAACAAGGAAGTAACTCGAATCGGGAAGGAATCAAGAGATGATTGGAAAGGATGTCCATAGGAGTGTTAAGATGAATGAGGGTGGTTTTGCTATTCTCTCTTTTTTTGACAAAATGTCAACGGATCATCGATAAAATGGCCCTGGACCATGGACTAAATGAAGGAGCAAAGACGAGGTAAAGAAGAGACAGAAATAGAGAGAGAAAAATATCAGTCACAGGTCATATAGAAACAGGTAGTCAACAACCTACGGGAGCTTCCATGAGAAATCAAATGCAAATTGGTAAAGCCAAAAAAGTATCAAACGCTGATTTACAATACGATCGTAGCAAATCGGTTTGAATATTTTTTTGTCTACTTTATTTTCCTGGTTATACTTGGTCTTGCTGTCCACTTACTTTGACTTACATTGACCACTCTATTGAGATCAGGAAGAAAAGGGAAAAATAGAAGAGGAATCAGTTTCTCTCTTTTGGATCCAATTGATGGTTCCTCATCAGTTTTATTTAAAATAAGAAACTTTATCCGTGAAGGACAGAGAATACTTTTTTAGAGTTGAGGGTCAAGTGAGGTTCCTTATTTCCCTAGTCTCTTTTTATACAAATTTACAACAAAAAAAAACAGCTTCTCAAGTCTTTCTAATATATACAGCAAAAAATTGGAGTTACATTTTGACCAATACCTGCCAATCATAAACAATTGTTACAATTTTATTCGTGTTCAACACATTTTTTTGGTTAAATTTCTCTCTCTATTTTTTTGTTTGTCAAAAATCTCTTCCTGATTCCTTCTTATCTTTTTAATACTTTACCTTTCTTCCTTTACAGGCATAACTCTCTCAAGATTTTTGGTCACTCTACATATGTCAATGTTGACGCGCGACGTTGACCACTGCAAGATATACATTTACAAATCAACAATATCAAATCAAACATATTGGTAAGCCTATTGTCTGCAATTTACCTTCAATTTGGCCGATTTATATAAAAGGAAAGGGCGGAAGATGTGAACCTTATTAACCCCTTGGATCAGATTTAGAGGTTATAATGTTTCCAAGCAAATGAAGATCAATTTTCAAAATTTATCCTACTTGATTAATTAATGAACCATCACTTGATTTTAATGATCATTTTAGCTTAGACAAATTATATGTTCAGCCAATTGCTTCAGTTTCAGCGATAAAAAAATTACCAATTTTTTATCATCCAACTTTCATTATTTTTAAACATTAGTCTAGTGTTTTAATTTTGTAAATAACATGGTTACCAAACTAGTTTCTGTCAGGCTTTCTTCATTCATGAAAAAGCCACATATTTATAGTTAATAATGCAAACCTGTGAATAAGTTATCGATTGAGTTTAGACTAATTTTGAATCATGAATCAATTGACAGAGCTATTTGGTTTGAAATTTGAAGGAAAAATTCATAGTCAAAACCATTGAGGAGAGTTTATTCGATAAAAAAGGAGGAGGGTAAAGGGGAGTTCAGGTAAATTTGGCCTTAAGCGGGTAAAGTCAATAAGAGAGTAGGACGATGATGATGGGCTGAACAATCTCTGAAGGTAGTTAGAATTTTCTTTCATTGATAAATTAGATTACTATAGAGATGAGATTGAAATTAATAGATGAATGAAATAAAAATTGTTTACAGATTGAATGTAAAGCTTTTGATAACTTGGCTTCAAGGCATTTAATGTGTTACGTTTTTGTCTGATAAATTCATTGATTCAACTTCTGATTATTAAACATCTTTTTTTTCTTATTTTGCCTCTCATTTTCAGGTTGATTACAAATTTGGAATTGAGTGAATTATTGATGCGATAAGGTTGAAGAATCAATTTCAATCAAAGGAAATGAAAACTTGGCCTCCTGTTCATTGACTTGATTAAACTCAATTAATGGTTGAGACAGTCTCATCACGTCAAAAGTCAAGTTCAAGCCATTGGAAGAAAAAAGAATCGTTGTAACCCTTTTTCAATTTAATCAGCAATTCTTGTTAAGGACTCAACAAGAGATTGTTGAAAGATCTCATGATTGCTCAAACCTCATTGATTGAACCTCGCTCTTGATTAGCTGCTAATAGTTTTACAAGACTTTCATATGATTATATTTTTTAGTTTTACATCGAAATGAATTGAAGGATTTAAATTCACATTTTTTCAGTTTAATTTAACTGCTATTTAGTGTGAATAATCTTGAATTTTTAGAGTGTGGTCAACTAATTGAACTTTAAAATTATCAGTGATCAAAATATATTAAGTTTAACTGATTATTTGAAACTTTCCCGATTGCTTTGGCAAATAACAAGATTAAATGATCAATTGGAGTCGATTTTGATTTACATAAACTCAAGTAACATTGCAAAGCTGTTTAAGTTGCATTTAGATTTTTTCGATGAGCTAGTGCCATCTATTGTTTCCGAAATGAACTACTCTATCATTAAATGGTCAATTCATTCAATTCAATTTATTAATATTGATAATAGAGTGGTCTTGGTTAGTCATCAAATTGTTTATTATTAATTTAGCCATTGAAAAACTGGTTCTCTAGAAATCTTAATAGCTTGTTAAACTATTAATCGAGCAGCATAATCTCATACTCTTCCTCTAAATTTTCAAATATCATTGCAAACTGATTTTTACTTGATATTCAGGCCAAAACACGATTTAGCAAGGTTTTCCAATGTATGACTACTTCATCATCATTCTTTTACGATACACATCTCATATAATCATTCATATTTGCTTTTACACCGTTTATGCAAATTTCCATTATGTTTTATCATCTTTCTCATGTCCATTTTCATCATATCCGCCGCCTCAATTTTCAATCAATTCTAGCCAAACTTGTTGGTCTTGTAAGATTAATTTACTTTATTTAACTAGTTATACACTACTTTGAAGCAATATATCAATTTGTCATATTTATTTCACCCGAAGAATCGCCTCATCATGTTGAATCATACGACTTTGAAAAAAGAGGCTAACTTTGTAAGATATTGAAAGGTGCAAATTCATTAACAGTTTTTATGAAGGATGGTGTATATTTTGTCTAAGACGCTCCAAGGAGCTTGTATCCATTTTTTGTAATCATCTGACTTAAATTATTGACCGAAATGTTCAAAATTTCAGCAATTAATGTGTTATAATGGTGCATTGCCAATCAGTCGATTTCTTTCAGGCACTCGAATCTTTAAAAGGTAGATCTCGTTTAATACTCGATCTTTTTTCTAGTCTCACGTTGATCTTTGCATTACCAACCTGATAATACATTCAACCAAACCAAATTAGCCTCCCAAAATGAATTCACATTAATAACAACGCATAACTAATGAGTTTAGTTTGATCTCTTCATTTCATGATTCACTGATTCACCATGATATTCGCTAATTTTTGCTTTATCTAGAAAATAGAAACTTAAGGTGATAGATGTAGATGACAATTTATGATTATGAAATTTTGATTAGCACAGATGCAGCAAAGGTAATGTTTAATCACGTTTAAGATCACAATATCATACGGGTAGATCTATCTGGAAAGGCTGTTAAGTTGATAGTCAAGAAAAAAAGATTCTTGGCAATGAGAGTTGATGTGATTTATGCCATTTGCAGAAAAAATTACTTGAATAAGACTTTGCTGACGGCATTATAAATCAGAATTAAATAATCGCAGCCAAATTGCAGAAAAAAACACTTTCTTTTTATTGTGTAATAATCATTCAAGACTTGATTTTATCAATGCTTAAATATTAAGACAGAAAGGCTTTATCAGCTGTTTTTTTAGGTTAAAACTCACAGTGAATTTTTTCCTTGCCTTAGTCTTATTTTTTCAAACCAATTCAATGTAATTACAATTTGTGTATAAACCTTTTCCCCAATATTAGTAATGTGATTTTATTTTTGTATTTAATGTGATAATCTTGAATTAATTTATTGTTTATGTTCAAAACAATCATTAGTTTTATAATTTACTGTACTAATCGATTTGTGATATTGATATTATAACCAAACATCTTTTTTTACTCTTGTGTTTATGTTTGTGCCCGGGCTGCAACATTATATCAACTTAATAATCAAATAACTTCAATTTCTATTAGAGATATCAATTAAATAAATAACATTCCCATTATACACTTATTTATTCATCGGATGCAGCAATATCAAGCTAATTAAACATACCTAATCAAAACAGAGGGTCAATCTTGAAAGGAAAACAACAAACCATACAAGCAACTTAGGAGTGTACAAAGCCTGTTATAATAAAATATTCAGTTAGCTATATTAAAGAGCAGGAAATGACGGAACGAATGGAGGTGTTGCCAAAATTTAACGATGAAGATACTACTTTAGTATCTTATAGCTCGTTCAACAGTGATGATGATTCAGTTGCTTGTGTAATATACAAGATGCATCCATCGGACAGTTCACCGCCTTGTGGAAATGATCTTACTGTGGATATGAAAAGTTTTGGAGGAAAGCCGACCATTAAATTGTACAACAAGAGATTCTTTATTTTGATTCTCTTCTGTCTGTATTCAGCTTCCAATGCATTCCAGTGGTTACAATATTCAATCATTACAAGGAAAATAGCAACTTTTTATCAAATTGATGATCTTTCCGTTAACCTCACTTCACTTATTTACATGTTTGTTTTTGTTCCTGGTATGATTCCTGCTTCATGGTTACTTAATCGTTTTGGTCTCCGAGTTACTGTTTTGATAGGATCCTTTGGTACCTTTTTGGGGGCTCTTGTAAAATGTGCAAGTCTTGCTCCAGACAAATTTTGGGTCACCATGGTTGGTCAAACTTTGGTTGCCATTTGTAATTTGTTTGTTCTCAGTTTACCGCCAAGAATAGCTGCTGTTTGGTTTGGCGAACGAGAAGTTTCAACTGCTACCTCGATAGGTGTTTTTGGTAATCAACTTGGTGTCTGTTTTGGTTTTTTTCTCCCTCCTTTGATTGTCACCGCTGTAACTGCACAAGGCATTGCTTATGAACTTACTTTTGTTGTATATGGAACGGCAGCTTTCACTGGATTGCTTTTTATCGCTGTTTTGGTGTTTTTTGAAGATAAACCAGAAAAGCCTCCGAGTAATAGTGCAGCGCAAGCAACTATTTTACAAGAAGATGTGAATTTTATGGATTCTCTTAGGATTCTCATCACTGATCTTAATATGGTTATGTTGACTATAAGCTATGGAATCAACGTTGGAGTCTTCTACGCTATATCAACAGTTCTTGATCAGATGATTGCTTCAGCCTTTCCTGGTTATGAGGCTGTGGCAGGTAATATTGGTGCTATTATCACCGTTGTCGGAACAGTTGGTTCTATGGTCAGTGGCTATATACTTGATAAAACTCATAGATACCAAGAAACCATTCAAGCTCTATACTTATTTTCATTCCTTGGTTTGATTGGGTTTACCTTGGCTCTTACATTTAATTTATCAATGGTATACATAGTTTCAGCTTTTCTGGGTTTTTTCATGACTGGTTATCTTCCAATCGGGTTTGAATATGCTGCTGAAATAACTTATCCTCAACCCGAAGGCAACTCGGCTGGAATACTCAATGCATCAGCTCAAGTGAGTTTTTTTAAACATTTCCAGTCTATATGGCAATTTTACATAATCCTTTAATTTTCGATTCCACAATTTATTTATTTCTTTTTTAGTTTTTTGGAATTATTCTTATTTTTATATCTACTCTGGTGGTTGATCGTTTTGGTCATTTGCCTTGTAATTTAATGCTATGTTCAACTTTACTCGTTGGTTTAATACTAGCTGCTTTTACTCGTGGTTCCCTTAAGAGACGTGAGGCTACAATGAAAACCAAGGAATTCAGCTAATAAATTAATGTGATTGAAGTACAAAGTCTGAAAACAATCAAAGCTAATAATGTGAACGTCTATCGATTTATGGGGAATGATTTAAATGAATGTAAACTTTACCGTCCTCTTAACAGTCAAATTCTAGCATGTCTTCCCTGAAGCAAGTGTAAAACACTGAATTGTTCATATTTGTCGAAGTGCCTACCTAATTGTCATTTATTTAAACAAAAACACGTATAATATTTCTCAATTTTACTGGATTTCTACTATCAAGGTTTTTAATCAAGCAGCTCTAATGAACAAGGCAAGCGTGTCTTTCAATTCTTTCTGTGATTCTCCTAACAATTGTTCACGGAATTTGTTTATTTACCTCAAAACAACTGAATCATTTATATTTTAATGTTATCCAATGTTTTTCTATGATTCTATCCTGGTTATTTATTAATCTTATTGTTGACTCTCAATTATTTCAGTCAGGAAACGAATCTCTAATCAACGAATCAATTTTTTTCACAAAACCAAACTATCAAATTGTTCAAATTAAATTAAATCTAATAAAAGTAAACTTTTATCACCGATAAATGATGTAATTTAATTCAATTAGCTTCAATTGGACTAGATTATTTGACATAGAAAGTTTGCAAAGCATATTTTTCATTCAAGTACATCTTAAATTAATTTACGCAATTTTACACGAAAAAAGCTCGACGCGGGAGAAATATAATATAAATTTCAAAGATAATCAAAGGGTGAACTTAATTTAGGAATCGAGGTGAGCTGTATGAATGTCGATAACTTGGTCTTCACTGCTGTCAAGACTTAGAATATATCTCTGTGTAAAGTTCATCTTTAAAAGCAATTCAACTCTAACTGCCATTCAATTAGCTCGTTCTGAGAAGCAGTTCTGAGAAACAGCAAAGCAAACAAAAATCTCATGTGAACATTTATAACAATCTCATTCATCTGTGCCATTAGTACAGTTTTAATTACCGCCATGACTGTCTTTGGGAAAAAAGTAACAAGAAACTGACCCAAAACCTTTATTAAATGTGATTCTTCATCCAACCATCTATTCTTAAATCCTACCTCTGGATGAATTGATAATGACAATGTTCTATCAGAATTTCTTGTATTTTCAGTAAAGGTGTACTCGAAACGTGAGGTTATATATCGTGTATATTGTGTAATACACGATAGAAAACTGTATATAACGTTACATTAAATAATAAAACCTGCATAGTCTTATCCCGATTGATCCGTTGCGTTTACACATAATACTGAATGACAACTAGAGTTCACCTCCACAGAAAATTATTATTTATTAATAATTATTTAATAATAGTTGACTGATAAATTAAATACAGAGTATAATCATTAATTTCAGGAGATTAACCACGAGATCTTAAATAGGGCTGAACTACAACAAATGAAAAAAATGGATGTAATTTGCAGCACCAGTTTAAATATTGTAAAATATTGAATTCTCTGTAGAGCTCGTATTGCTGATTATAACTCAATGATCGCATCCTATGCGAAATTTGTGCATTCAATTCATCGTTATGGACGAGATCTTTTATCCTATTGATGAAAGCTTTAGTATTCTTGCTTCGACAGACCAATTCGCACCTTCCTTCTGAACTCTCCTCCAGATCCTCCATAGCTCTTAGGATATAATATATACCAAGGTGTTCGATGTGCATATAATTCAATTCTGTTTCGAGATGATAACGCTCGCCATCACGAATGCATGAATGATTGAAAGTCCTCTCCGGGAACATTAAAAAGACGCCAGAAGGGCTTGTACGAGGGCTAAGTTGAGAAAAAGAGTGATGTGAATTGGTGTAGATGAATCTATTAATGAATTGTTTCGGTATATACACTGGTAGCACTTAACGTAACAAATTAAGGCTTCAGTCAACGCAAAGTGCAACACCTTAAATTTCGTTGATTGAAGCCTTTGGTATTTTATTTCATGACCTAATAGATGGCAAATATGGTAAAATTGACCGATTTGCTGTGTTGAGTGCAGCTAAATATGTATAAAGTAAGCTTACATTAAATTGTTAAAGAAGAAATTACCACGATCGAGTGGGGTTCGTTTAATTATTCCGGTTGTATAATTGATTGATATTCCAGTAATTGATGCAAGCTATTATTTAATGGATGAAAAATAATGGGGTAAGTAATTGTGCTGTGGTTGATAATACTTTACTTACCTGTTCAATTACTTGTTGTTGTTTGTATTTATATTTCTCATCATTCCAATCAATGACTATTTCATGATATTCACCTAAGAATCTCACTTGGAATTTAGCTATTAGCAAAAAAATGGTAAACAAAGAGTTAATTATTTAAAATTAATAAAATAAACTTACTTCTATCAGAATTATTGTTCAGCTTTTCCATTTTAACAAGCATTGAAAAACATACGATAAAACAAAAAAAGTGTTATAAACCCAATGATACAAGCGCTGAGAAACGTTTGATTTTCTTATCAGTTTCACCTATTCACTAAGTTTAGTCTTAGTTTTTAAATTCTGTGGCTTTTTTGAAGCATTTTTTGATATAACACGAAGCATGTGCGTGATGGAAAAGTTTGTGATACTTTAGAACGTTATTACACATTAGAAAACTCATAAAACTATGCTAACAGTCAAAGTAATTGGCGATAGAATGATGATAATAACTTTAAGGTTATGATTTTTTAGTCATATTATATTTTTATAATATTTAATTCATACTTGATAGGCCTTCCTAACCGGTTAAATCGTGATTACTATTTGTTATTTAAACAATGCGCTTTTATTTATATTGAAGATTTTTAGATAATATCTTTCGCAAACATTAATACAATCACAGAAATATTGCTGATTAGAAATAAACAGGCTTGAAAACCCATAGATCAGGATGTCCTTTATGGACTAATTTATCTTTCATCGTGAAATTAGACCAAGCGAATGGAGGTACATTATCGTATGTTGGTCCACTGATCGCGTACATTTGTTGCTTCGCAAATAACTCAAATGAAGTTACTTTTGCATCAACGGCTGCTTCATTAATTACTCCTTGTGATGGTATGTGATATAAGCCATTTGGATCATTGAGATCACCTCGACAGGCAATACTCATTGATGCTGAGTAAGGAGGAGTACAGTTACATCTTGATTCAGGATCTTGAGTATAATTGTTATATCGAAGTAATTGAAGTAATGATTTGTGATCATAAGCTTCAGTATGTTTACGTCGGAATAGTTTTGCTCTAGGATTTTGTTCATGCACATAAAAATCACCATATTGTTTGACTAAATCAGGATAACCAGCTATTTGATAAGTTTTCTGGAAATAAGGAATATTATAACTCGCCCAATAACCATTTTTAACCAAAATTGAGCTCATGTCACCATAAACCATACTTCCAGGCATTTGTTCAACAATCCATAATAAATTAGTATAGTTTCTTGTTGATCCAGGAACAAATTTGGAATAGTCAACAATTATGAATTGATTATTATAAGTTCCACTATTATATCGCTCAAAGTTTTGTGCCCATGATTTACCATCTCGTGCCAATCTGTTAGCAACCATAGTTCTGATCATAGTCAAAACACAGCCTTTGGGACGGATCAATTTGAGACTGGTTGCATTGTGATTACCATTTGTTGTCTCGGCAACTGCTAATCCTGATGAAATGATGTAAAAATCGTCAATAGAAAATATTATTCCTGGATAAGATGACATTGAAATGGTTGAACCTGGAACAGTTTTATCTGAAGATTGTACTTGCTTAAAGTTGAACTCATATTTTTTCAAAACTCGAAGCATATAACTAAATTGAGTCCATGTATTATGTCCAATCAATAAATCATTACCAGAGTACCGAACCAACGATGAACAAAATGATTGACCAACAGCAAGAGTTTTAACTGTTCTGTTTAATGCACTTTCTAAATCCATTATATCAGCAACTGTGTTAACTAAATATACTTTGCCTGTTGTGTTAACTCGATAGCCAGGTTGATAGCTCGACTTTGAATTTATCGCTTCTTCCATGCCAGTCAATTGATCCAAAATGAGACCTACATGATGCCAATATGGATCAGTGTCTCGTTTATTATTTGCTTCTTGTTCAATATAAGCTTCATTTTGGGCGAAAAAGTTGAATGCTCGTTGACAAAAGGCTGCTTCAACTCCTTCACAATATTTTTCCCATAAATTGTCATAATGCATATTAATCAAATCCTTTGTTAGATATCCTTCAATGTAACCAGCGAGGTAGGCAAGAGTTGAATCGTTGTAGTTTGACTCTGGTTTGGTCCAAACATGAAGTCGAGCCCATCTATTAAATCAAGTAGAGATTGAATCAATCAAAATATTCATACTAACATATTCACTTCAATTAAAGTGCACTTACCCTGTGGCATTGATTTGATTCTCGAATGAAGCACATACTGGATATGAACTGGTCGACCAATCCTCTTTATCAACGGTTAAGAAAGATATTTTATGATCGTTGGCTAAATCTATACATATGTCTCCACATTTAGCTAATTGTGAAAAACTTAAGGTTAGTATAACAAAATACAAAATCATATTTCTGTCGATGGCTAAACTATCCATAGATACAACAAGAAGGAAATGGTTTTTCATGCAAAGCAATACAATTTATAAGGTATTTAACATCATATCTGATCTTGATATAACACTTGAGTTACCAGTTATCATCGAAAAAACACAACCTAAGATCAACTTGTTATTATAATATTTTATTTTATGAAAAACAATAAACCTTCCATGAAGTTGACTCTTTACGTATCTTACAATAAATTTTCTGAACAATAACACAATAAATAATAGCGAACTGGACATTTTCCATAAAAAATAAAAACTTGAGCATCACATGACATTGTATTGTTGGAGATAAAAAATGATTTAGTTCAATAACATTTGATTAGGTTTTTGCTCAATCCATGAAGCTTAGTTAAGATGACGAGAAGAAAATTCTAATTCTAGAAAACAAACAATTGTGGAAATAAATGAGTTCCGAAATGTCAAGTGATTCAGATCATTCCATTGAAAGAAGTTCAATGAATAACATGCCTAAAAATCTTGTCCGTGCGAGTTCAAAAAATAAGATAAAGGTTTGTAATTCATACAGAAAAATCAAATTTATTGACACTAAACATCGAATCAAACCTCAATGGATGACTGAACTAACTCAAATTAACTCAAACAAAATGACTCTGGTCATCTGAATTCAATTGAAGTTAAATGCTTAAAGCTGATCTTTGAAAAAAATAGTAGAAGAATTTTCTTATCACTTGTAGATTTTGACAGTAAAGTTCAATTATTTTGAAGCAGAATGTCACACCGACGTTATCCAAAGACCGATATTGATGGAATCACGGTATTTAAAATAAAGGTCAAAGATGCCAAAATAGTCGGTAGTAATACTCCAACAATTGCTATAGCTTCATCTAATTAACACTTTACACTGCTTGTGGTCGAAAAACGCAAGAAAATTGGGAAAAATTTGTACAACCAACCTTGGACATATGATTAAAGGTACCATTTTCCGACTTTGAAGAATTGCCAAACAAATAATCCGATTTTCTGTTGACTACTTTAACGGGGTAAAAAATTTTACATTTTCTTTATCAATCGATGTAATAAAAATAATACGAGGCATGAGAAATAAGCTTTTGAAAGTCCGAACCATTGACTGGCACGCTCAGTATAAATTTGTGAAGTGAAGCTGCAATAATGAAAAGATAATTAAAGATACTTATTAATAAATCGTTGTTGGCAGTGGCCTAAAAATTGAAGTGTAAAAGTATTGAGATAAATATTATGAGTATTACCATCTCATTTGAAATTGGATCATTGAAGTTGTCTGATATTGAAGAAATGAGAATTTTTAAAGCTAAAAAAGCTTTGAATGAAAGGTTACAACCGAAAATAGCTCGAGGAAATGTTAAAACCATTGAAAGTTCCCTTTAAAAGGTCATCAGGTGACCCGAGTCATATTTTTACTGGAATAAAGGTTACTGTTGGTTATGGCTAACACAAAGAGCTCATGAAAGTTTACGCCTTAACCATGCTAAACCATGTTCTGTTTTCAACGGAAATTTTAAAATTTGAATTGATTGGCTACTATCTATCGATTAAAATCGATTTTTTTAATCGATGATCCAGATATCGATTTATATCAACCGCCAGAGGTCCAAGCACACGTTACTCTTTGCACAAGATTATTATCAACCAAAAACAAGTGAAGTGTCACCAAAGAGTAGGTTACTCTCTGTCACTCACTCATCTCACCTCATCATTTTCCTGATATCTCTTTTTTTTAATTGATTCATTTTTGTCACCCGGTAACCACCATTTTTATTTTATTGTATAGATCCAAACATTTTATAAAATTCAATTCACCTGTGTGCCTTATTTCCATTTTTCCTACTACCTGTTGCTTAAAATTCTAGTTTTTTAAGTGTACTTATATTATATTTTCCTCTTCTATTCTGTCTTAATTGTGCATATTTTTATCCACTTCAATTTTTTAACCCGACAACAATTTCCATTGTCTTGCATTATCTATCAACTCACCTGTTTCCTTGACACTGCATCTATTGTATTACTCTTGTGTGCCATAATACCTAACCAACTATAGCGATGACTCAACCAGTACTAGATCGTTATATGGAAATTATTTTAACCAATCTCAATCGTTTGATTCCTCTTATTAATGGTAACTTTATTTGTGATCTTATTGCTTATCGTGAGGTCCTTACAGAGGATGATTGGAAGATTATCAGTGTAAGTTTTTTTGTTTTCTTAAAACCAATACCGACTATCTACTACCTTAAACCTCTTTTTGATCAGCAATTAACGGCTTAAGATTCAACGATTATATTAACCGTGGCGGATTCGCCGACCCTTCTTAATTGAGTTCGTATTAATCAGAGAAATGTTGCTGACTTTCAAATTTACGACTCGATTTAAAATTTAAGCTTTAACTCTTTTTTTCAAACAAAGAGAACTGTTACCAGATTTAAAACATTTTTACTCGGGACAGTTAAATAACTAGTCTTTAGATGTCAGGCAAGTTGGGTTCATCTCATTGTTAGCTCTTAACTGATAACTTTTTCCAGGCCTTCACTTTTTTTGTCAAAGGTCTAATCATCAGCTAATTCAATCTCTCCTTCAAAATTCGGTACCAAACTGTTTTTTGAAGCTATTTTTGTCTTGTTCAATCAAGCGGTAATCTGTAACCAAAACCTTCCCGGTAAATGTTAGTCTATGTGACGAAAACGGAATGTGGGTAATTACAGGTTCATTCACATCTAATTTACGAGAAAATAATGACCACTTGCCTGTAATCACTCTGTGAGACTTTAACTCCTACCCTTTAAATACTTATTTGTTAAAAACTTCTGCTATTCGATTAGTTAATTTTTGTTTATTATCTTTACTTCAATTAGTCAAAAGAGGACAACTACTCCAAGACTGAGAGTCTTTTACTGGCCATCGGACGAGCTGGATCAGAAGCTATGACTGCCTTGAAAGACATATTGGCGATAACTGAAAACTATCGAGCAATTGAGATACTCAATTCTGGTACTGTTCACGATGAAACGTGTACTCATTGTTATTCAGTGACAGATTATTCCCAAGATGGTGGGAATTGTCCAAATTCAAGTCGTCATCTAGTTAGCGAATGCAGAAGGCCTCGTAGTAGGACTATATCTTACTTTGATGTCAATGACCATGGAGATCCAGCAACAACTCAGAATGAAATCAATCTTGCCAGTATAGAGGAGGAAATTTTGCAATCTACAGCAACCAGAACAGTTTCCCTTAAACCCGAACGTCAATTTATTGTTAAGGTAGATGGTGAGATGAAACAAGGAGAGGACATCTATGACCTTAAATCGAATCCTAGGGGCTACTGTTTGATTGTAAACAACATCGACTTTGAAATTTTCGAACAACGATTATCAGCTGAAGAAGATGGAGTCTTTCTCGCCTCAATATTTGAACAACTTGGCTTCGAAATGAATTATTTTAAAAATTTGACAGCTAGTGATATTGAAGCTATATTTCAAAAGTATTCAAAAATGGAGGAATTGAAGGAACATGATGCTCTCGTTTGTGTCATCATGTCCCATGGAGCTAAAAGAGATATTATTGTTGGATCTGACGGACTCTATGTCCGTCTTGAAACTCTTTTATCTTACTTCAATAATTTTAACTGTCCACATCTGATGAATAAACCAAAGCTTTTCTTCATTCAAGCTTGTAGAGGAGGTAAGTATTTGACTTTTTTTTTCATCAGAATTACATTTAAGTTTATCCATTCTGAGTCATAATTATGGCAATATTAATGAAAAACAGAAAAAAATACAAACGTCATCCAAAAAATCAACAACAATCTGACTAGTATTCATATTTTTATATTTATCTATTATGTTACATCATAGTGAACCAAAACAATTGATCATTTTGTTGACTATTAGGTTTACTTTAAGCCATTTAGATGTCATTTCCTAACAAATCAGATTGTAGGTGAATTCAAATCAAAGAGTAAAACTTCAATCTTTTGTATCTTGATAAATTATTGATGTCCATTTTTTAATTGACCAACAAGTGTTTTTAATGCACATTGATTATTAAAATTTATATTCTTTTATATTCTATTCATTTGATTAGAGGAATACGATTTTGGCACATTAGATGAAACCACTACTGCTGATGCTGGTCCAATCCCTGGTCCCGTCGTTTTCGCAAAAGGATTTGATAAAGATCGTGTGCCAACATGGAGTGACATGTGTATAGTTCAATCAACAGTTCAAGGTAAATTAATTCTTCATTTTTTTATTGTTACATAAAAATTAATATCTCTTTTCTTCATCAGGTTATGTTGCATTGCGAAGTCTTCGATCTGGATCGTGGTTTGCTGAAGCATTAGGACAAGCTCTGGTTGATCATGCATGGGAAAAAAGTCTCCATGAAATATTAATGGTCGTCAGTTCTAAACTTACCAAGAGACAGGGTAAAGATAGTGTTAAACAAGCCATTGAAGTTATCTGGCGTGGTTGGAATAAGAACTTTTTCTTCAATCCAGGATTATATTCTTCCGAATAAAGTGTCATAATTAACATTGCTTTTTGTTGATCTCAAAAAAATATCTTTAGCCCTGATTTTTGTTGATAATATGTAAATTTGTACATAATCACTGTTACATCAACTCATTACTAATAACAGTTTTACCTTTAGTAAATTTTTTTACCTTTCTATTCCATATTCTAACTAATATCATTTTGTCTACATTTTGCATATTTATTTGATACTTCGCTCTTGTAAAAAAAACAATAAAAAACGGTCCAAATTGTTGAATTTGGACCAATTTACCAATATTTAATTGTAATGATTTATTGATCAAGAATCAAATTCAAGCATTTTTCAAAAATAAATGTCACTGTCAATGTTACTTGAAAAATATCCTCAAATTTATCGATTTCAAATTAAAGTAAATAACAAATAATAATTACAATCAAAATTTAAAATTCATTTACACGCCAAAATGATGAGCAAAAGAAAGTTTGATATCTTGTAATAAATTTTGTGAACATAACCTTTTGTTATCCGAGTCTCAACCAAATCACTTTTCGAAAAAATCGAGTACAAAATTGAAACTTCGATCGCCTTTTGTGCAATAATTATTACAAGCACATTTTTACATGAAATTTATTTCTGTGTTGAAACTTCTTATTGCCAACCAGAAAATACACTTATTCACAGGGATGAAATTTTCTGTTTCTTATAAAATAGATCACTTCGATTTTGAGTTTGACTTGTTTCTTCGATTGACGGAAAGAGTTCGAGAGCTGAAATTTATTTTTTGCCCATTAAAATTGTTCCTACACATCAATTTTGAAACAATTTTTTTCAATTTATAAATAGTTCCTCTAATTTTGGCAATTGGTCTTAAAACTTTGCGACTCAATATTTCGAGAATCATAGCCCCTAAGATCCCCGATTTTTTCACCAATTCAATTCTTTACTGATGAATAATTCAATGCAATTTAATAAATTTCCATTAAGGCCTTCGACTAATGATATTTTGGTTGTGAATGTGCGACAAACGATTTGTTTTAAAAACAAAACTCATCTCAACCCATTTCTTGATAAATAAACCAATTTTCTGGCTAAACTTTCAAAGCAAATGCAAAGAGTACTGCAAAAGACTCGATAATTTGAATAAAGAGTTCAGACATTGTGGGTTTGTAGGGGCATAAAAACTTAGTCTATTGGTTCTATTGAATAATTCTTCCGATAGACTGTTTTCGAGAAAATCGAGGCCAAAGTTGAAACTTCGATCGTCTTTTGTGCAGCTGCTCGACCAGATTTTCTCATCAAAATCATTTTAACTAATGTACCTTTTTATTGCAAACCAGAAAAAAAACTTATTTCGTTCCATAAAATTTTGCAATTCTTGTGAAGAAGATAACTTCGATTTTAGGTTTACCTTGTTTTTCGAGTGACCGTTAGTGTTAGAGACATGAAACTCATTTTTTACCCATAAAAATCTTCTCTAAATGTTAATATGCAAACATTTTTTTCAGTTCATAAACAGTTCTCTTGATTTCGGTCATTATTATTAAAACTTTGAACATAGATATCTCGAGTTTCATAGCGCTTACAGTCATTATTCTTTGACTAATCATTAGACATTACAATAAGCACTAATATGCTATGAAGGAATCCAAGAGATGATATAACCTCATTCCTGTAATAGCGAATATCCATCTAACACATCATGAGGTTTGTGTTTAAGTAACCATTTAGCTTTATTCACTATTGTAAACCAGAAAGCAAATCTAATGACATTATTACGATGGTTAATACGATTCTAGCACATTTCGTGGAATCTTGAATCACCCAATATTTCAATATAACATATCTTATGATAGAAGCTAATGTTTGATGCGAGAATGGGGATTGCAAGCGCTACCATTCTCGTAATATCGATGTTCAAAGTTCTAAGACTAATGATCGAGATTAAGAGATCTGTTTATAAAATGAAAAAATTAAACGCATATTGACATTCAGAAACAATTTATAAGAGCGGAAAATGAGTATCAGGTCTCTAACTCTCACAGTCACTCGAAAGACCAAGTTAAACCTAAAATCGTAGTTACCTCTTTTATGAGAAATAGAAAATTTTATTGAACGAAATAAGTTCATTTTCTGGTTGGCAATAAAAAGTTACATTAGTTAAAATGATTTTGATGAAAAAATCTGGTCCCAAAACTACACAAAAGACGATCGAAATTTCGAATTCGACCTCAATTTTCTCGAAAAATATACATCGGATGAATTATTCAATAGGCCCCATAGACACAGTTTTTATGTCCTTACAAAGTCTCAATTCTTTACTCAAATTATCGAGTCTTTTGCAGCATTCTTTGCATTACATTTTCAACTTTAACCAGAAAATTGGTTTATTTACCAAGAAATGAGTTTAGAGGAGTTTGTTTTGTTGAATAAGTTGTTTCTTGTCTATTTACAGCCGGAATATCATGAGTCTAAAAGGCTAATGGAAAGTTATTTGATCAAATTGAGTTCTTTATTAGTTTAGAAACGAATTGGTGAAAGAATGGTTACCGTCGGTGCTATCGTTCCCGAAATATTGAGCCGCAAAGTTTTAAGACCTATAGCCAATATAAAGAGAACTGTTTATAAATTGAAAAAAATAAATGCACATTGGCGTACAGAACCAATTTTTACGGGTTACAAAAAAAATACAGCCTGGCAACTATCACGGCCACTCGTAAAATCAGCTTAAACCTAAAATCGAAGTTATCTGCTTTACAAGAAACATGAACCTTTATTGAGAAAAATAAGTTCATTTTCTAGTAGACAGTAAAAAGTTACGTTAAAGAAATGATTTTACTGAAAAAATCTTGTAGGGAAACTCTAAAAAAGCGATCGAAGTTTCAACTTTGACTTCTATTTTCTCGAAAACAGTTGACCCAAGAAGTTTTATAATTACACCAATGGATTCAATTTCAGTGTCCCTGCAAACTTACAGAGTCCAAATTTGAAGAAATTCATTTTTGCCCGGTTTTTCTCATTTCTGTTTCTCGTAAAGGAGGTAACTACGATTTTAGGTTTAACTTGGTCTTTCGAGTGACTGTGAGAGTTAGAGACCTGATACTCATTTTCCGCTCTTATAAATTGTTTCTGAATGTCAATATGCGTTTAATTTTTTCATTTTATAAACAGATCTCTTAATCTCGATCATTAGTCTTAGAACTTTGAACATCGATATTACGAGAATGGTAGCGCTTGCAATCCCCATTCTCGCATCAAACATTAGCTTCTATCATAAGATATGTTATATTGAAATATTGGGTGATTCAAGATTCCACGAAATGTGCTAGAATCGTATTAACCATCGTAATAATGTCATTAGATTTGCTTTCTGGTTTACAATAGTGAATAAAGCTAAATGGTTACTTAAACACAAACCTCATGATGTGTTAGATGGATATTCGCTATTTATTAGATTTGCTTTCTGGTTTACAATAGTGAATAAAGCATATTTAGTGCTTATTGTAATGTCTAATGATTAGTCAAAGAATAATCACTATTACAGGAATGAGGTTATATCATCTCTTGGATTCCTTCATACTATATTAGTGCTTATTGTAATGTCTAATGATTACTCAAAGAATAATGACTGTAAGCGCTACGACATTTAGAGAAGATTTTTATGGGTAAAAAATGAGTTTCATGTCTCTAACACTAAAGGTCTCTCCAAAAACCAGGTAAACCTAAAATCGAAGTTATCTTCTTCACAAGAAACAGAAATGGGCAAAACCGGACACAAAACAATTTTCTTCATAAATAGACTTTGTTTTTTTGCTGCGACAACAAAACTGAGTAGATTAGTGAAATTCAACAACTTTTTTGATAAATTGTGTTCGAGAAAATCGAGTTCGAAGTTGAAACTTCGAGCGCCTTTTGTGGAGCTGCGTGACCAGTTTTTTTCATGAAACTTATTTTTCTGGCGTAACTTTTTATTACCAACCAGAAAATGAACTTATTTTTAGAAATAAAATTTTCTGTTTCGAAACAAATAGATAAGTTCGATTTACATTTAAACCGATTGATTTCTGTGACCATAAGAATTAAAGAGCTGAAACTTATTACAGTTAGATAAAAATGAAAGGTTCACATCATGCATCAGCTAATTTTTCATAGTTATTGACAGTTCTCTTGATTTTGGTCATTGGCCTAAAAACTTTGAGCCCCGATATTTCGAGAATGGCATCCACAGCAGTCACTATTCTTGGACCAAACATTAGCTACAATCATATTTTATGTTTTAAAATTAAAAAAATATCTGATTAGTTTGAATGAAGAACATTCAGGCTCGTTGATTTAACGCAATTATCACATCTGTGAACGAATTGACACAGATTTATACAAATGGCCAAAAAAGGGTAAAAATTGATTTTATTCAGATTTAAACATTGTTGGTTTGTGGACTCATAAATGCTGAGTGCATTTGTGCGATTTAAAATTTTCTCAGATCAACAGTTTTCCAGAAAATCGAGTCCAAAGTTGAGCCTTCGATCGTCTTTTGTGTAGTTTTTGGGACCAGATTTTTTCATCAAAATCATTTTAACTAATGTAACTTTTTATTGCAAACCAGAAAATGAACTTATTTCGTTCAATAAAATTTTCTATTTCTCATAAAAGAGGTAACTTCGATTTTAGGTTTAACTTGGTCTTTCGAGTGACCGTTAGTGTTAGAGACCTGATACTCATTTTTTGCCCATAAAAATTGTTTCTAAATGTCAATATGCAAATACTTTTTTCAATTTATAAATAGTTCTCTTTATATTGGCCATTGGTCTTAAAACTTTGAAAAGCGATATCACGAGAATGGAGTTACTTACAATCGATATTTCTTGACTAACCATTAGACTTTACAATGGGCTATAATAATACATAACTGAAAACCAAAGAAAATCTAACCTCATTCCTGTAATAACTAATGTTCATCTAACACACCATAAGGTTTGTGTTTAAGTAACCATTTAGCTTTATTCACTATTGTAAACCAGAAAGCAAATCTAATAACATTATTACAATGGTTAATACGATTCTAGCACTTTACGTGGGATCTTGAATCACCCAATATTTCAATATAACATATCTTATGATAGAAGCTAATGTTTGATGCGAGAATGGGGATTGCAAGCGCTACCATTCTCGTAATATCGATGTTCAAAGTTCTAAGACTAATGATCGAGGTTAAGAGATCTGTTTGTAAAATGAAAAAATTAAACGCATATTGACATTCAGAAACAATTTATAAGAGCGGAACATGAGTATCAGGTCTCTAACTCTCACAGTCACTCGAAAGACCAAGTTAAACCGGAAACATCTATCGGAAACATTTTTAAATCGAATAGATAAACGCAGTTTTGTTAATTGTGTCGTTTTTGTAACAAAAACCTGAATGCCATTTATTCAGACTAGTAAAATATTTCTCTGTTTTAGATCTGAAATGAATCTTCAATCAGTAAATCAATTTGACACAAGACCAAACTACCAAATCGTTTAATATAAATTTAATTTAATGCAAATAAACTCTTGAAGTTAGTACAAAGAAAAACTGAAATATTGCTTATTAAAAATAAACAGGCTTGAAAACCCATAGATCAGGATGTCCTTTATGGACTAATTTATCTTTCATCGTGAAATTAGACCAAGCGAATGGAGGTACATTATCGTATGTTGGTCCACTGATCGCGTACATTTGTTGCTTCGCAAATAACTCAAATGAAGTTACTTTTGCATCAACGGCTGCTTCATTAATTACTCCTTGTGATGGTATGTGATATAAGCCATTTGGATCATTGAGATCACCTCGACAGGCAATACTCATTGATGCTGAGTAAGGAGGAGTACAGTTACATCTTGATTCAGGATCTTGAGTATAATTGTTATATCGAAGTAATTGAAGTAATGATTTATGATCATAAGCTTCAGTATGTTTACGTCGGAATAGTTTAGCTCTAGGATTTTGTTCATGTACATAAAAATCTCCATATTGTTTAACTAAATCAGGATAACCAGCTATTTGATAAGTCTTCTGGAAATAAGGAATATTATAACTCGCCCAATAACCATTTTTAACCAAAATTGAGCTCATGTCACCATAAACCATACTTCCAGGCATTTGTTCAACAATCCATAATAAATTAGTATAGTTTCTTGTTGATCCAGGAACAAATTTGGAATAGTCAACAATTATGAATTGATTATTATAAGTTCCACTGTTATATCGCTCAAAGTTTTGTGCCCATGATTTACCATCTCGTGCCAATCTGTTAGCAACCATAGTTCTAATCATAGTCAAAACACAGCCTTTGGGACGAATCAATTTGAGACTGGTTGCATTGTGATTACCGTTTGTTGTCTCAGTAACGGCCAAACCTGATGAAATGATGTAAAAATCGTCGATAGAGAATATAATTCCTGGATAAGATGACATTGAAATGGTTGAACCTGGGACAGTTTTGTCTGAAGATTGGACTTGTTTAAAGTTGAACTCATATTTTTTTAAAACTCGCAGCATAAAAGTAAACCAAATCCATGAATTATGACCAATCAACAGATCATCACCAGTATATCGGACCAATGATGAACAAAATGATTGACCGACAGCAAGACTTTTAACTGTTTTGTTTAATGCACTTTCTAAATCCATTAAATCAACAATAGCATTCAGTAAATATACTTTGCCTGTTGTGTTAACTCGATAGCCAGGTTGATAGCTCGACTTTGAGTTTATCGCTTCTTCCATGCCAGTCAATTGATCCAAAATGAGACCTACTTGATGCCAATATGGATCAGTGTTTCGTTTATCAATTGCTTCTTGTTCAATATAAGCTTCATTCTGAGCGAAAAAGTTGAATGCTCGTTGACAAAATGCTGCTGCTTTAATTCCTTCACAATATTTTTCCCATAAATTGTCATAATGCATATTAATCAAATCCTTTGTTAGATATCCTTCAATGTAACCAGCGAGGTAGGCAAGAGTTGAATCGTTGTAGTTTGACTCTGGTTTGGTCCAAACATGAAGTCGGGCCCATCTATTGGATCAAGTAGAGATTGAATCAATCAAAATATTCATACTAACATATTCACTTAAATTAAAGTTCACTTACCCTGTAGCATTGATTTGATTCTCGAATGAAGCACATACTGGATATGAACTGGTCGACCAATCCTCTTTATCAACGGTTAAGAAAGATATTTTATGATCGTTGGCTAAATCTATACATATGTCTCCACATTTAGCTAATTGTGAAAAACTTAAGGTTAGTATAACAAAATACAAAATCATATTTCTGTCGATGGCTAAACTATCCATAGATATAACAAGAAGGAAATGGTTTTTCATGCAAAGCAATACAATTTATAAGGTATTTAACACCATATCTAATCTTGATATAACACTTGAGTCTTCAGATTTCTATCTGCTCAGCAGTTTATTAATAAAGATCAACTTTTTATTTTTATAAAAACAATAAAACTTCCGTATGATTTACTGTTTAATGTTCAATAAATTTCTTGAGCAATAACATGATAATTAATAGTAAACTGGACAATTTCAATAGAGAGTCAAAACTTGATCATCATATCAAAACAGTTCATTGTCGAAACAAGAAATTAGTTCAATAACATTTGATTAGGTTTTTCCTCAACCCTTGATGATAAGAATAAAAAACTTATTCATGAAAATAAGAGTTCCAAAAAAATTTTTTAAGTTAAAGAAGTTTAATTCATAATATCACATGCATAACAATTGTAACTTTGCAAGCACAAAAAATCAGAGAATTGATTTCTTGTAACAGAGCAACCAAATGAATCGATTTAATACATTGAATGTAATTTTTACAGATAAAAGAAATAAAACAATTTTTTTAAAGACAAACAAAAACAATCAAAATTTAAATAAAATAAACTTTCTTTCGATGATTCGAAAATGTAGTTAACTATCTGAATAGCTGGATTAAGTAAATCAATCAATCTGGATAAAAGCTATTGCAGCCAACAAATCTTCGGAGTTAAGCTGCGACAGAAACATGGTACGCATCGCCTTTTCAACTGAATTCAATTGGCGCCCATTGATTAAAGTTGTTCTTTGAAAAAGAGTAGAAGAGCAGATATTTTTTATCAATGGAATTATTTTTCCAGCTTTGATCGAAGGCTTTAAATTTGATTTGTTAAGACATCGAAGATGTACCAACTTTCGCTGATTAAGCAGTAATAATAAATAGCAAACATTCCGGGCTTGAGCTGGAGTAGGTCTGGATGAAGGTTTGCGATTAAGTATCTTTTTCAAAAGCAAATTGATAGTTTTCGATCTTTCAATCCGTGGTAGATCACTTTCATCATATGTTCTGTTATCCAAATGATTAAGTTGATCAGGATACTTGTAAAATGGATTATGTTGCCCCATTATCTCATAGGCAATGGCGCCAGCGCTCCAAATATCTGCAGCAGAGTAATTCAGATAAGAGAAAGAACCAGGCTGAGCCAAAATTATTTCAGGAGCCATTAGAGCTTGATTACCACCTCGGCTTATTTCATCAGAATAGAATGGCAAAATTAAAGATGTGGAACAATGGCCAAAATCCGTAATAACAAGCCATGGATAATTGTGACCTTCTCGCAGATCAATTAATATGTTGTCAGCCTTGAGATCCCTATGAGCGATGCCGTTTTTGACTAGATAAGAAATTCCATCGAAAAGTTGGCTTAAAAGAATCAAAGAAATCTCTCTGGTTGGATAGTATTTATCTAAATAGTTTCGTAAAGTGCAATCGTATTTTGGCATAGCTAAAAATAATGTCATATTTCTTCCAAAACCATGTTCACAAAGACGGGGAGGTAAAGCTGATGGAAAAAGTTTCTCTGCCTCGGGTAAGCTAGGAAGCATATCAACGGTGGTTCCTAAGATTTCAATTATGTTTGGATGGTATTTTAAAGGTGACCGTTCTTTTGAAAAAGAGAATATCTCTGATCCAAAGTTACCTTGGAAGGTCAAACATTCTTTGGCCATTGATTTCAAAATAATATCAGCATTTGACTCAGCGTCATAATTGAACATAACTTTGATAGCAATTGGATTAGGGAACTTTGGTTCAATCGAAGCATCGTAAACAGCTGCATTACATCCTTTAGCTATACAATTTCCGAACTTTATGTCCCTGAAAAACAAAATTAAAGAATGAATTGGTTAATATAAAAGAATAAATCAATTCTTATGTCTAAACATACTCTAAATTAAACATAATTGGCCCTTTCTGGTTGAACTGTGAACCAATATTCCAGTTAACTGCAGAAAATCGAAGTCGAATATCTTGAATTACAGCATCCAATTCATCTTCTTCATTGAATAAAACTGGAACATTATCTTTATTGATAAAACCAACTCCAACTAGACCTAAAGAAACTCCATTAGCTAAGTTCTTAGCTATATTTCGTCTAATTGATGCAGCAATAGCATTGTTCGTTCGTTTGCCAATGATTTTTCCAAGTAAAGAGTTCCAATGATGATTACATGATGTATCTCCTGTGAAAAAACAAAACATTCAAGTATGAGGAATACATGTTGATAAATGTGAGAAGAATGTTTTAATTACCTAAATTGCGAAGCAAAGGACGTCTATTTATTTGTATCACTTGAGATGTAACTCCACTATTATGAACAGGCACAGTCTTTGTTCCTTTGATTTCATTGACAAGTACTCTTAAAAATACTCGACTTCGAGTGAAAAACTGTCGAGTTATTGATTTGAGCTCAAAAAGCAAGAAAGGGTATCTTCGATAAGCGTTAAAATGGAGTGAACTATTTAAAAACGTGGTAATATTCATTTTGATTACCACTCAATGAACAGATAAGTAAAATTAGTTGAAAATTTGATTTTAAGACGACATTTAAAAACCAAATTATAGAGGAAGTCAGCTGTTTTTTATTTTGAGTAACTCAAATTGAGTTTGTTTAGCCATCATGTTTGAAAAAAGTTGCCCGACAAATAACAAGTTAATCTGAACTCAAAACATTTTAATTATTAATTAAAGCCATTTACACTCTTTTATTTATTTTCTTTTAATGCTTTGATTAGGTCTATATTATAATTTACTACTAAATTTCTAATAAATAAACTTTATTCAATAAAGACAGAATTATTAGACTACGCGACACGTTTGTAATTGGCGCGAACGTTTCATTTGCTCAGCTTTATCTTCATCTCACTGGAAATGACTCACTACCATACAGCACATTAAAATTGTTTGTTTTTATTTTTGTATTTCTTTCTCTCTTGTTTAAGTCTCTAATTAGATTAACAAAACCTTAATTTATTTGTTTAAAATTCATTCAAAATTGTATTTTCAATATGACTGATACTGGAAAAAAATTCGGCAGTGCTTATATTCCCCCCGCCAAGCTAAAGCTTATGCAAGATGAGCTTAAGGACCAAAATAGTGCTGAATATCAAAGAATTCATTGGGAATTATTGAAAAAATCAATCAATGGTTTAATAAATAAAGCTAATTTATCTAATTTATCACTAGTTGTGCGTGACCTGATGAAAGAAAACATTGTAAGAGGATCTGGAATCCTTTGTACCTCATTGATTCGAGCCCAAGCCTCTGGTCCCATTTTTACTAATGTTTATGCTGCTTTAGTGGCTGTCATCAATAGTAAATTTCCTAAAATTGGTGAATTGTTAATTTCAAGGTTGATTAACAGTTTTAGAAGGTGCTACAAAAGAAATGACAAAAAAGGATGTTTGGCCTCAGCTATTTTTTTGGCTCATCTAACAAATCAAGATGTTATTCATGAAGTCTTAGTCATGGAGATGTTGTCATTACTTCTTCACAACGCTACGGATGATTCAGTTGAAATTTCTGTAGCCATATTGAAGGAATGTGGAGCTAAACTGAAAGACTCGTGTCCCAAAGGCTTTTTCATGATTTTTGAGCTTTTAAGATCAATTCCATCAAACAAAACCATTGATCTTAGAACACAGTTGCTGATAGAAACGATGCTTGCCATTCGAAAAGATGGATTCAAAGATTATCCAACGATAGTTCCTGAACTCGATTTACTCGAGGAAGGAGATAAAATTACTCATGAGCTTGAGTTAGATGACAAAGTTGATACAAAAGAAGAATTGAATGTTTTCCGATTCGATCCTAAATTTCAAGAAGAAGAGGAAAAATATAATTGTTTAAAGAAGGAGATTTTGGGAGATGACGACGATGATGATGATGAAGACGACGAAGAAGATGATGACGAAGATGAGGACAGCGAGGGCGAGGGCGAGGACGACCAAGAAAAGGATAAAGTGGTAGATGCCACCTCAGCTGATTTGGTCCAATTAAGAAGGAAAATCTATTTAACCTTACAATCTTCTTTAGACTTCGAGGAAGCTGCTCACAAATTATTAAAGTTGGAATTGAAAGGAGAAAACAAGAAAGAACTCTCATTCCTTATAATCGATTGCTGTGCTCAACAGAGAACTTACATGAAATTTTATGGACTACTGGCTGCTCGATTTTGTTTGATCGATAGAGAGTTTGTGTCCATATTCGCCGAGATCTTCATCGACAGCTATACAAAAGTTCACAGATTTACAGATACGAACAAATTAAGAATTGCATCCAAGTTTTTTGCTCATTTACTCTACACTGATTCAATATCATGGAACGTTTTAGCGTGCATAAAACTCAATGAAGATGACACTACACCATCAAGTCGAGTATTCATCAAAATATTGTTCCAAGAGCTGGCCGAGTATATGGGATTCACCAAACTGGCTGCGAAAGTTAAGGATCCTGAACTCGAAGAAGCTTTTGCTGGCCTATTTCCTAAAAATAATCCCCGTGATACACGTTTTTCAATCAATTTCTTTAGTTTAATTGGGTTAGGTCCACTTACACATGATTTGAGGCAATTTTTAGATTCTACAGTATCCACTAAAAAAGAAGAAAAAATATGATAAAAGGTTAGTCCTAACTATTACTATATTTTTTTTATTATCCTGTCTACTTATTATTGATGTGACATGGTATCCAATTCATCTTTTGATTGTCAATAAACCATCTGAATCATTTAAATTTTTTAGTGTTAAAATTTTTTATTTTTTATATTTTCATCATTGACAGACACTTTCAGACTTATCTTAATTTATGGCCATGACATATTGTAATTTTTGAGATCATAAATAAGAATATTCTTATTACTGTGGAATCGTAAATATATTTTGACAGTGAAATTTGTTCAATCTTTTAAAGCAGAATGTCTCGCCGGCGTTATCCAAAGACCGATGCTGATTTTACTGATAGTAAAAAGGAAAAACAAAAGGCTGTCAAAAAAGTCGATAGTAATACTCCAACAATTGCAATTGCTCCGTCTGATTACGAACATCTCTACGCTGCTGAGGATCAAAAAAATGAAAGTCGAGGTAAAAATGTTCAACAAAATGTGGTTAAGAGATATGATAGCAATACTCCAACAGTTGCTATTGCTCCATCGGACTATGAGCATCTCTACACTACTGCTGATGATAGGAAAACAATTGACAGCACAAGAAAATATACTCAACAAAGTGAGGTTAAAAGGGTGAAAAGTAACACACCAACAATTGCAATTGCCCCATCTGATTACGAACATCTCTACACGACTGATGATAGAAAAAATGAAAGTCGAGGTAAAAATGTTCAACAAAATGTGGTTAAGAGATATGATAGCAATACTCCAACAGTTGCTATTGCTCCATCGGACTATGAGCATCTCTACACTACTGCTGATGATCGGAAAACAATTGACAGCACAAGAAAATACACTCAACAAAGTGAGGTCAAAAGGATGAAAAGTATCACTACAATAAATACTGATGACCGTGAAAGCCGTTCAAGTCGGGGTAAAAATGTTCAGCAAAGTGGTGTTAAGAGATATGATAGCAATACGCCAACAATAGCAATCGCTCCATCTGACTATGAGCATCTCTACACTACCGATCGAAAAATGAATGAAAGCACACGAAAGAATACAGAACAAAGTGAGGTTAAAAGGGTAGACAGTTATGCTCCAATTAATACGGCTGATGATCGTGATAACCGTGAAAGTCGGGATAAAAGGATTCAGCAAAATGTGGTTAAGAGATATGATAGCAATACTCCGACGGTTGCAATTGCTCCATCGGACTACGAGCATCTCTACACTACTGCTGATGATCGACCAACGAAAGATGTCTCAAGAAAAAATATAGAACAAAGTGAGGTTAAAAGGGGAAAAAGTACTACACCAACTATTGCAATTGCCCCATCTGACTATAAGCATATCTACGCTGCTGATGATAAAAAGAACCGTGAAAGTCGAAGTAGAAGTACTCAACAAAATGTTGTTAAGAGATATGATAGCAATACTCCGACAGTTGCTATTGCTCCATCGGACTATCAGCACCTCTACGCTGCTGAAGATCAGAAAATGAATGAGAGCTCAAGAAAAAATACTCAACAGAAGGGTGTTAAAAAAGTCGATAGTAATACGCCAACAATAGCAATTGCTCCTTCTGATTACGAACATCTTTACGCTGCTGATGATAAAAAAACTCCTGAAAATAGAAGTAAAAATGTTCAACAAAAAGGTGTTAAAAAAGTCGATAGTAATACGCCAACAATAGCAATTGCCCCATCTGATTACGAACATCTCTATACGACTGATGATAAGAACCGTGCAAGCCGAGGTAAAAATGTGCAACAAAATGTGGTTAAGAAAGTTGATAGCAATACTCCGACAGTTGCTATTGCTCCATCGGACTATCAACATCTTTACGCAGCGGATGATCGGAAAAAAACTGACAGCCCAAGAAAATACACTCAACAAACTGAGGTTAAAAAGATGAAAAGTAATACGCCAACAATAGCAATTGCCCCTTCTGATTACGAGCATATTTACGCTGCCAAAGATCAAAAGACACCTCAAATTAATATTGAAACTCCTCCAAAACTCGTACAACCAAATGTAGCTGAAACCCAACAATCAAGGCATGGAATCTCAGAAGAAATAATTGATTTCGTCAATGCATTTATTCAGCGTCAACCTCGTAAATATTATATCAAACGCAAAACATTCGACAATAAACCTTGATTTCAAACTTATTTCAAAACTTTTGTCCAATAAATGCCAATGTTTAATTCATTGTTTATACCACAACCTCAATAATAATAAAGAAACGAAAACCAAAAATAGCATCTGAAAACTCGGGGTCAATGTAAAAAAATCTTTAGTTACTAATATTGTTAATTGTTGATCCTATCTCTACAATTTACTCATAAATTTCAATTATTTCTTGAGCTTCCAAAGATGTTAGTTTGTCCATTACAACTCTCACGGTGTTAATTCAGAATTAGGACTGTTATTCATTAAAGGAAAAATGATCTTAAAGATGTCAATATTACCCAGAAAATGCCGGTTCGGCTTTAAGTATCGATAATATTATTCAATACATTGGTCAAAATTAACACTATGTAAGAGTCCCCAGCAGAGGGCATGTATAAGACATGGATGTCATCACAGGCAGTTTTTAATTAAATTATTCAGCTCTAAGATGAGAATTGAACAGACAGTCGATCCTCTTTCTAGCAATTTATTTATAATTTATCACGTTAGATTTGCCAATTGTTAACATAATTAATATATTTTGATACATTTTAAAGCTAAAGCCCATCAAACTACTCTCTATCATTTCTCTCGCATATATCTTCATCTTCCTTTCTTTCTGCTCTTTCTGCCTTTCATTCTCTCCTCTTTCTTTCTTTTTCATGTGGACCGAGTGATTCCTAAAATTTAGCTCGCCTTTTTCTTTATCTTACACCGACTAAATTGCTTCAGTTAAGGTTATTTCTGGGTTATCAAATGTTTTGTATTTAACTGGCTACAATATTAACTATCCATTATGGCAGATGAACAGGTAAGTCACAAAGATTTTGTTTTCCGGCTTTTGTCTTTGGTGGTTAAATGTGTTATGTACTATATACCTCTATTGTTACTTGCTATTTATGGCTCTTATGCATACCAACATGACTATGTTATTTCTTTAAATCTTTCAATTTATTTTACATTTAACTTGATTGATGTTGGTTACTATATCATGATCACCTCTCTAATCTCATTCTTTTATTTTATAGGAATTGACACAGTTGGAATTGTTGTGCAAACAGTTATATGAAACGACTAGTAGTGAGGAACGAAGTAAGGCTGAATCATCTCTGGTAGCTTTCAGCAACTCTCCTGATTGTCTTAATAAATGTCAATTGCTTTTAGAAAGAGGAGTGGTAAATATATATTGTTAAAACGATCTGATTGAGCTCAGGTTCATGTAATACTGTTACTTAACTCGTTTTTTCCTTTCTTTATTTTTCATGCTATCTCATCTGACTATTATTATCCATATGAATTGGAACTACTCTACATTGCACTCCTTGTTTGAATCTCGCTTGGAAACCTCGCTCTCAATTTAAAATAATCATGAAATGGAATATTTTATGATTTGATGCCTTACTAAATTATATTAATTTTTTAGTCCTCATATGCTCAACTGCTGGCTGCTACTACATTAACAAAACTTGTAAGCCGGACACCTAGTGCTCTTTCTCCTCAACAACGGTTAGATATCCGGAATTACATTCTCAACTATCTAGCCACTCGGGGTAAACTAGCGCCTTTTGTTACTCAAGCATTAGTTCAACTGTATGCTCGAATAACCAAGACAGGATGGTTCGAGTGTGTAAAGGAAGAATATGTCTTTAAAAACGTCTTACCACAGATTAGGCCATTTCTCCAGGTATGATTATTGCACAATCTTATATGCTCATACTCTGAGTTTACTCATATTTTCATTTTCAACCCTTTATTTTTAGGAATCGAACTCAGTTGAATATTGTATAATTGGTGTTCAGATTTTGTCTCAATTAACTTGTGAGGTTAATCAAATAAGTGGAGATGAAGCAAGTCGATCAATAGCTAAACAAAGGAAAATAGCCTCATCATTCCGGGATTCACTTTTATATGAAATATTTCAAATATCACATGATTATTTGAGGCGAGCTTTGGAAAGTTGGAAAAACACCAATTTTGAAGATCAAAATCAAAAAACATTGATTCATCATCTTCTTCGGCTTTCTCTTTCTTGTCTATCATTCGATTTCATCGGTACCTCACCAGATGAATCATCAGATGATCTTACAACTGTTCAGATACCAACTAATTGGAAGCCAGCTTTCTTGGATTTTAATACTCTCCAACTCTTTTTTGATCTCTACCGATGCTTACCGTCAGCTTTATCCCCATTAGTAAGTAGATTCTGACACTGATGTTTATATTTTTTTTGGAAATAATAAGACTCTTAACCACAAAATTTTCTTCATTCCAGGCTCTCTCCTGTTTGGTTCAAATTGCTTCAGTTCGACGATCACTTTTTAGCAACCAAGAACGTGCCAAATTTCTGATGCAATTAGTCAACGGTGTCAGATATATTTTGGAAAACCCAAGTGGCTTGTCAGATCCCAACTGTTATCATGAGTTTTGTCGATTATTAGCACGTCTCAAATCCAACTTTCAGCTTAGTGAACTTGTTAAGGTTGAGGGATATGCCGAAACCATTGCTCTAATCACAAAATTCACTGTAACAAGTTTACAGGTAAAATCCATTTTTTATGTCAGTAGTAACAAAATTACTAATTTTATTTTTTATCTCACTTTTTCTAGATGTGCCAATGTCCACCTAATTCAATTCACTATTTGCTGAATCTCTGGCAAAGGATGGTTGCATCAGTACCATATGTCAAAGCTCAAGAGCCACATCTCTTGGAAACTTACACACCTGAAGTTACAAGAGCATACATTACTTCACGATTAGATGCCGTAGCTCAAATTGTTAATGAAGGTTTAGATAGTCCATTTGAAGATGTTGGAATGATTCAACAACAACTAGAGCAACTTTCAACAATAGCTCGTTGTGAATATGAGAAAACATGTGCTCTTATCGTCCAACTGTTTGATCAAACTGCACAAACATATCAAGAACTTATTCGTGCAAATCCGTTATCAAGAGTCGAAGTATCTACAGCAGAAGGACAGCTTACCTGGCTTGTCTATATAATAGGTGCTGCTATAGGAGGAAGAGTATTTTTAAATAGCACCGAAGAGCATGATCAAATGGATGGAGAGTTAGCTTGCAGAGTCTTACAATTAATGCAATTAACTGATGCTAGGCTAGCTCAGGTATTTATTAATTTTGTTAATTTTCAAATGATATTAATCTTAACTAACTTATATTTTTTTTTGTTTTGTAGGGTGGATACTGTGAAGAACTGGAGTTAGCTATTCTCAGCTTTTTTGAACAATTTCGTAAAATTTATATTGGTGATCAAGTTCAAAAAACATCCAAAGTTTATCGACGCTTATCAGAAGTATTAGGACTTAGTGAAGAAACACAAGTTCTCAGCATATTCGTTAGGAAAATGTGAGAAAATTTATTCATCTTTATTAAATTTTGATGTTTTTCTAATATATTTTTCAATTTGCCACAGAATTACAAATTTGAAGTATTGGGGTATTAGTGAAATGATAATTACAAAAACTCTCCAAATTCTCAATGATCTATCTGTTGGATATAGCAGTGTAAGAAAACTGGTCAAATTAGAGGAAGTACAGTTCATTCTAAGCAATCATGCAGTAAGTAATCCATAGATATTCAAGATTCATAATCAATCAAAACATTGGCAATTTTTATAATATAATTTTTCCTTTTGTAGAGTGATCATTTCCCATTCCTTAGCAATGCAGCACCTATCAATCAAATGAGATGTCGTTCAACATTTTACACTTCGTTAGGAAGATTGTTAATGATTGATCTAGGAGAGGATGAAGAAAAGTTCGAAGTTTTCATGCGACCTCTCACAGGTAATTAGCAATTTGCTCAAATTCTTTCGTTGTAATTTTTCCATTCCTCATTATCTTGATCATTAATTCTAATCATTTTATTCTTATATATTTTATAATTAGTGGCCTCTGATGCTCTTGGTGCTATGCTTCTTTCACCTGATCCTTCAATTTATAACACAGAGGAAGCAAAGGTTAGTTAACATTTACAAATATATATTATTTGGTGAGCTCACTTGGAAAATTCATCGAAAATGATACGTAAAACGTGAAACTAAAAAACACAATTTAAGAACGCTCTTATACAAAAATTTAATCAATACTCAAATAAAACAAAATCAACATTTTTTCTGTCCTTATAGAAAGCTTTAATAGGTATTGCCAGAGATCTTCGTGGACTCGTTTATGCATTCAATACCAAAACCAATTACATGATGTTCTTCAATTGGATGTAAGTAATCTAAAACTCTTTATATTTCCGCATTATCTAACTTTCATTTTGTATTTAAATAGATATCCTGCTTATACACCAATTTTCCATCGAGCCATTGATTTATGGTATCATGACCCTCAAGTCACTACCCCGGTCCTGAAACTTATGGCTGAACTTGTCCAAAATAGATCCCAAAGGCTTCAATTTGATGTTTCATCTCCTAATGGTGTTCTATTGTTCAGGGAAACAAGTAAAATGATTGTCAATTATGGTAGTCGTGTTCTAACCATGGGTGATATACCAAAGGAACAGATATATCAAATGAAACTAAAAGGTGTATCTATATGCTTTTCCATGCTTAAATCTGCTCTTTGCGGTGGTTATGTCAATTTTGGTGTTTTCAGAATTTATGGTGACTCCGCTTTGGATGATGCCTTAAATATATTCATCAAACTCCTGCTTTCGATTGCACAAACTGATCTACTTGTAAGTCCAATTCTTGTTTTCCTCATACTTTTTCGTATCCTTTATTAATTGAGTTTTATTAGCCGTATTGACGTTTATAGTGGCACCGCAAATAGTTTGCCATTATATAAACGCTATAATGTTGTGTCAATTTTTTTGTTTTAGTTGAAAATTGTCTGAATAATTGGTTATAAGGGAATTCTCAAAAATTTTTGTTGACTTTTTAGTAACTAATTTTACAACTTACGAACTGACAATGTGACCAAACTTTCACTTTTTATTTCATCTCTCATTCTAATCGAGAAGGATTGAAGGGCTGCTTGACCAGCGAGGCATTATTAAAAACAGTGCTATTATAATTAGCTATTCAAGATGAAAAATTTAATTATAATCTATGCTCGAATTGCTTGAAGATTCCTTTATAATCGGTCAAAAATGCTAAATTCATTTTATTATTCACAGACACTCTGGCGCTTCTATTATGTCTTTATGAGTAACATTCTCACTCTTTTCATCCCTTTGCTCATTTCTCATTCTAATTCTCATTTTTCTTTTTTTGCAGAACTATCCAAAGTTAAGCCAAACTTATTATGTTCTTTTGGAATGCCTAGCGCAGGATCATATGAATTTCCTTGCACATTTAGAGCCTCATATATTCCTGTACATCTTGTCATCGATCTCTGAAGGCCTTAACGCTTTAGATACAATGGTGTGTACAGGATGCTGTTCAACTCTTGACTACATTGTGTCGTATCTGTTTAAAATGTTATCAAAAATGAACACTTCTTCTGTTGTTCGAGAGCAAGAAACTTGCCTCAAAGTTTTGAAAATGAGTCCAGAAATTTTGCAACAAATGTTAGCCACCATTTTAAATATAATCATGTTCGAGGACTGTAGAAATCAATGGTCGATGTCAAGGCCTTTGCTAGGACTAATTCTTCTAAATGAAGATTATTTCCAACAGTTAAGACAACAATTAATTTCATCACAACCACCCGACAAGCAAGCAGTTATGGCCCAATGGTTTGATAATCTTATGAGAGGAGTTGAAAGAAATCTTCTCACTAAAAATCGAGATAGGTTGGTATTTTTACTTCGATAATTATCCTTCTTTAATAAGCAAAGTCACTAAATCTTTTTTTCTTACAGATTTACTCAAAATCTTTCTTTATTCCGTCGTGATATTAATGATTCAATGAAAGCCCCGGCTCTATACAGCAACTCAACAATAAATTTCCCTGAAGCATCAGCAATGATGAGCTGTTCGTGAACCACTTTCAAAGTTCTTATTTTTGCTATTAAATTGAAACAAATTCGCGAAAAATTGCTCTGTAAGATTTCTGGAATAAAACTCAACGCAAACAACATAAATGCCCTTCTTCTGGACCACTGCGAACTCATTTTTCTCACTTGCTTTCTTATCCCTTTATCTGTTCTCTGTTTTTGTCTCTATCTCTATTGTACCATCTATGGATATTTTTTTAAAATTTATTTAATCATGATCGTTTTTCCTCCAGAAATAAAAGAAAAAGTTTATTGAAAAAAATATCTTTATTTATTGCCTTTAATGATTTTAAATTTTGTCGGCCTTACTTCGATGAATATGTTATTATGTTACATAGAATGATTAAATTGATTATATCACATATTATGAACAATCATAAACTTCTTTGGCTTTCTCGAGTTTTGGCCTTAAACAAATACTGATGAAGTCGTTTAGTAATTTTTTGTTTCCTGGATAAACCAACACGAATCATCGATTTACAATAGATTTCCTTGTCATCGTGATTTTCTTTATCCTCATCCTGATTTTCCTCTGATTCAGGAACAGGATCGGAAACATCTTGATCAATGGAGATTTTATTTTGAGATTCAGGAACAGGATCGGAAACATCTTGATCAATGGAGATTTTATTTTCAGATTCAGGAGCAGGATCGGCAACATCTTGATCAATGGAGATTTTATTTTCAGATTCAGGAACAGGATCGGCAACATCTTGATCAATGGAGATTTTATTTTCAGATTCAGGAACAGGATCGGAAACATCTTGATAAATGGAGATTTTATTTTCTTGCGATTCAGCAGTTGAGTCTCCGATCGGCTCGATAACCACGATATCACCTTCATCAGCAACCACAACAAATCCTTTGTTGTTGAACATTTTGAAAAAAATAGTAACAAGTAACAATTTAACAAGAAGCAATTTAACAAGTATTTATTATTATTCTATCTAGTTTATGAAAAGCAAAGAGTATACTCTTTGATGAAAAGCCTAGAAACAACAGTGCCATCTAGAGGAATTAAGTTGTTACAAGCAAGGAATTTTATAACCCCAATTGTTATAAAAACCATTTTTAATTGTCAATCATTTAAAATAATGACAAGTTTCTATGATGAGTAAAATTTTATCAAACCAAAATCAAACCAAAGTATTTCAATTAAGTGAGCTTGTGAAAAATGCAAGTTTATCTTTATTTTTTGGCTCCAAAAGGATTGATCTTGAATCTTTGATATTTTACCGTAAAATATTGCAAAGCCATGCTAAAAGATATCAAACTCGGTGTAAAGTGTTGAATATCTTAGGAGCCCAAGTATTTACTGTTAATCTAGTGAGTTTTCTGGTTTTGGTCATGTTTCAATTGGATCCAGTGCGTGTTAACTCAGCCATCACAATAATCCACGACTTTACAGTTATAGGTTTGGGCATATTTAAACATAAATTATGTAATTGTTTAAGGACTAAATCTTGGATGAGAAACCGTGCAATTGAAACAGGATTGCTTATACTCCGTGGGAACTCAGTGTTTTCATTAATTATGGAGGATATGGAGACGAGCAACAGTTCTCAGCCTTTATCAAGTTTGTATTATTGATACGATGTTTTAACCTTAATTATGAAATTTATTTATTTTCATTTTCACCAGATTCAACAATTTCGGAAGTCTACGATAAGAAGGAACAAATCAAGGATCGTTACCACTTTAGTTATCCTGTTCTCTATGTAGTTAATATAATCTGGATGGGTTACCATGCTGCTACTCTTTATTGTATCCAAAAGATGATTTTGATGTTAAATTTGATGAAAAAGACAAAAAGAATTTTCAAGGATCTAACTAAAGTACAAACTGATACAAAAAAGATTCGTAGATATGCTCAATATCGTCGTCCATCACATAGAACAACCAAAAGATCACCTTATGACCAGAAATCACCAAAATAAACAAAAATTTTTAGAAAATTTGAAAAACTCATTGTTTTGCTCAGAAAGCAGCTGGATGCCTTGGAATCCCCGAATATTGATGGCAATCAAAGTGACGAATCAGAGGGTTTGATTGTCAATATTGCTCTCTCTATCCCTGTTAGTAAGTAGACTCTGAAACTGATAATTATAACATTCTTGTTGATTATAATAAGACTCTTAACCATAAAATTTCTTCATTCCAGGCTCTCTCCTGTTTGGTTCAAATTGCTTCAGTTCGACGATCACTTTTTAGCAACTAAGAACGTGCCAAATTTCTGATGCAATTAGTCAACGGTGTTAAGGTTGATGCTGAAACCATCACAAAATTCACTGTAACAAGTTTACAAGTAAAATCCATTTTTATGTCAGTACTAACAAAATTACTAATTATTTTTTTCTCGCTCTTTCTAGATGGGCCAATGTCCACCTAATTCAATTCACTATTTGCTGAATCTCTGGCAAAGGATGGTTGCATCAGTGCCATATGTCAAAGCTCAAGAGCCACATCCCTTGGAAACTTATACACCTGAAGTTACATTACTTCACGATTAGATGTCGTTGCTCAAATTGTTAATGAAGGCTTAGATAGTCCATTTGAAGATGTTGGAATGATTCAACAACAACTAGAGCAACTTTCAACAATAGCTCGTTGTGAATATGAGAAAACATGTGCTCTTATCGTCCAACTGTTTGATCAAACTGCACAAACTAACCACGCAAACCCATTGTCGATTGGTTATTAATGATCTTGAACCGTATAAAATAATAAATGATTGTAACAAATAAAACATATACTTATGATTTGCAACGTTTATTAAACATATTGAGTATAATGAAAAGTATCAAAAATAAAAGGTAGGAAAATATAAATATGGCAAAATATTCTAAACCCAATTGTTTGTAGAAACTATTTTGAGTCGGTTGAAACTGCTTAAAATCTGAACTAAATGATTTTGTGATTTTAGAACCATTGTCAGCATAAAAGTTTGATTCAATGGTGACCACAATTTCATATTCACCTTCAACTGGTACATCATAATTAGCCACTACCACGAAATTCAGGCTTGTTACTGAAATGATTTTACACTGATTTGCACGCTGAGACTTATCAACCAGGGAAACATCGAGAGTGAACCTATTGTCGTTGATAAGCGCAAAGCCAACCAAGCTAAATGATAAAATATTGTTTTTAGGCTTTATTTGAATGTCAGTTATTGTACAGCATCCATCAAATATTGTTTCATTTATATTTTGCATAAAAACTGAATCAATAGCCATAATTAACATTAAGAAGAGATTTAACTTATTATAATCCATAATATTCGTGAAAATTAAAAAAAACAAAATTATTAATGAAATATTGATTTAATTACGCTTTTTAATGATTGGCAACATAACATCCTTCAAAGCAAAAGGATGTTAAAAATAATGATTATTGTTTCATAAACATTTGGCTTATATCATCAAATTTATTTTAAACAATACAAATCCGATGAAAGAAACAATTAGTAGCAACTCTTAAATCTACTTAAATGTACTAGACCTTTACAACTCTTCTCGAACCCAGATAAACAAAACTCTTGTTACTAAAACATCAAATTAACACAGTTGTCACATTTGTGAACGAATCGACACAGATTTATCAAATGGCCAAAAAAGGGTAAAAATTGATTTTATTCAGATTTAAACCTTGTTGGTTTGTAGACACATAAATGCTGAGTGCATTTGTGCGATTTAAAACTTTCTCAGATCAACAGTGCTCGAGAAAATCGAGTCCAAAGTTGAAACGTCGATCGTCTTTTGTGCAGTTGTGTGACTAGATTTTTTCATCAAATCATTTTAACTAATGTAACTTTTTATTGCAAACCAGAAAATGAACTTATTTTGTTCAATAAAGTTTTCTGTTTCTTGTAAAGGAGATAACTTCGATTTTAGGTTTAACCTAGTTTTTCGAGTGACCGTAAAAGTTAAGAGGCTGAAAATCATTTTTCGCATACCAAAATTAATTCCACACGTCTTTGTGCAAATACTTTTTTCGATTTATAAACAGTTCTCTTTAAATTGGCCATTGGTCTTAGAACTTTGCGCCTCAATATTTCGGGAACGATTGCACCGACGATAACCATTCTTTCACCAATTCGTGTCTAAACTGATAAAAGAACTCAATTTGCTTCAATAACTTTCGATTAGCGTTTTTGACTCATGATGTTTCAGTTGTAAATACACAAGAAACAACTTATTATTACAACTTAAACAAACTCCTCTAAACCCATTTCTTGGTAAATAAACCAATTTTCTGGTTAAAGTGGAAAATGTAATGCAAAGAATGCTGCAAAAAGCTCAAAAATTTGAGTAAAGAGTTGAGACTTGGCGAGTTTGTAGGGACATAAAAACTGAGTCTACTGGTTCGATTGAATAATTCATCCGATGTTTATTTTTCGAGGAAATTGAGGTCAAAGTTGAGCTTTCGATCGTCTTTTGTGCAGTTGTGTGACCAGATTTTTTCATCAAAATCTTTTTAACTAATGTAACTTTTTATTGCCAACCAGAAAATGAACTTATTTTGTTCAATAAAATTTTCTATTTCTTGTAAAGGAGATAACTTCGATTTTAGGTTTAACCTGGTTTCTCGAGTGACCGTTAGTGTTAGAGACCTGAAACTCATTTTTCGCTTATCTAAATTGTTTCTGCATTCCAATGTGCATTTAATTTGCTCAATTTATAAATAGTTCTCTTAATTTTGGCCATTGGTCTTGAAACTCTGAACATCGATATAACGAGAATGGTAGCGCTTGAAGTCACCATTCTTTCAACAAACATTAGGTTCTATCATAAGATATGTTATATTGAAATATTGGGTGATGCAAGATTCCACGAAATGTGCTAGCATCGTATTAACCATTGTAATAATGTTATTAGATTTGCTTTCTGGTTTACAATAGTGAATAAAGCTAAATGGTTACTTAAACACAAACCTTATGGTGTGTTAGCTGAACATTAGTTATTAAAGGAATGAGGTTAGGTTTTCTTTGGTTTTCAGTTATGTATTATTATAGCCCATTGTAAAGTCTAATGATTAGTCAAGAAATAGCGATTGTAAGTGTATCCATTCTCGTGATATCGCTTTTCAAAGTTTTAAGACCAATGGCCAATATAAAGAGAACTGTTTATAAATTGAAAAAAGTATTTGCATATAGACATTTAGAAACAATTTTTATGGGCAAAACATGAGTTTCAGGTCTCTAACACTAACGGTCACTCGAAAAACTAGGTTAAACCTAAAATCGAAGTTATCGTCTTTACACGAAAAAGAAAATTTTATTGAACAAAATAAGTTCATTTTCTGGTTTGCAATAAAAAGTAACATTAGTTAAAATGATTTTGATGAAAAAATCTGGTCACACAACTGCACAAAAGACGATGGACGTTTCAACTTTGGACTCGATTTTCTGGAAAACTGTTGATCTGAGAAAGTTTTAAATCGCACAAATGCACTCAGCATTTATGTGTCTACAAACTAACAGAGTTTAAATCTGAATGAAATCAATTTTTACCCTTTTTTGGCTATTTGTATAAATCTGTGTCAATTCGTTCACAGATGTGATAATTGCGTTAAATCAACGAGCTTGAATGTTCTTCATTCAAACTAATCAGATATTTTTTTAATCTCAAAACATAAAATATGATTGTAGCTATTGTTTGGGCTAAGAATAGTGACTGTAGTAGATGTCATTCTCGAAATATCGAGGCTCAAAGTTTTTAGGCCAATGGCCAAAATCAAGAGAACTGTCAATAATTATGAAAAATTATTCAATGCATGGTGTGACCCATTCATTTTTATCTGACTGTAATAAGTTTCAGCTCTTTAATTCTTATGGTCACAGAAATCAATCGGTTTGAATGAAAATCGAACTTATCTATTTGTTTCGAAACAAAAAATTCTATTTCTAAAAATAGGTTCATTTTCTGATTTCCAATCAAAAGTTACATCGGGTTAAATGAGTTTCATCAAAAAATCTGGTCACACGACTGCACAAAAGGCTATCGAAATTTCAACTTTGGACTCGATTTTCTCGAGAACTGTTCATCAGAGAAATTTTCAAATCACACTAATAGACTCAGTTTTCATTTCCCTACAACAATTCCCTTCTTGATTTGAAAGAAATCAATCTTTAATCGTGTTTTGTGAATTTGAGTGAATCATTTGAGGGAATTTGTGCATAAATGTGTCAATTGTGTCTTTTAAGTAACAATCTGGTTAAAAGTAAATCTCGCATTGACAATTGTTATTAGTAACAATGGTTGCAATTGAAAACTAATATTTAAAATTGGTCGTGGCCTAATTAACTAACATTACGCCTGTGTAAATACTCATGAAATTTGCAAATATTAATAAAATTACTAATAAATCATTTTGTCAATCAGTTAAAATCCAAGTCAAAAGTAAAATTCAAATCATTCCTTGTTTCGTAAAGCAACCTGATAAATTAAAAATGACTTCAATCAAGCCAACTTATTTAATCTTTCAAATTGGGATTCTCTTCATCTTGAGTCTCATGGTTGATTACTGTTCAGCTCAAATGTATGGAGGTAAGTATTAACTATTTATGCTTGATTTACTATTTAACTTTCCATTAAATAGACAGTTTTGTTCATTAAATCTTAACCACTCTGCTTTGTATTACTTAAGGTGGAGGTGATGGAAACTATGGTGGCTTTGGAGGCAATGGCGGCTATGGAGGTCTTGGAGGCTATGGAGGCCTTGGAGGCTTCGGAGGTAATGGAGGTTATGGCAATCAAGCTGGTTACGGTGGTTATGGTGTCTATGGATCAGGCTATGGGTTTAATCGGTACGGAATGAATCCTTATGGTCGAGCATCATATAACAACTACCGAGGAATGCGAAGATTTGGAAGTTACGGAACTTATGGCTAAACCTTTCGTTTACCACGAATCATTTCAATTGCTTACCCATAGTCGTGTTTCAACTTAGCACTCCACTCAAATTGCCAATTTACCCTCTTAATCAAATAGAAAATTACAGTTAATCAAGAAATGTATTTCATGTTATATTTTGTTAAATGAACCTCTATATCCTTTGAAATCATACATATTGTGATCTTTATTTCATTGCATTATTTATTGCTCTTACACTGAGTGAATGTTGACTTTCTCATTTTTGGTGTAAAAATGTTTAATTTGTTATTCAAAGAGACATTGACAATCAAATGGTTGAAAACTGTTATTTAATGACCATCAAAAATTTGACTTCATTGTTTACCTTGCAAACATGGAAATGCCATTTGTATTTGCATAGCTGGCAACTAATTGTTTTACTTGATTGTTCAGCATTTAACAATAAAAAATGATTAACAACTGTCAATTGTATCTGTAATAATATTTGTGAAACGTTTATTAAACGTATTAATGATGATTGAATAAACATGAGAAGAATCAAAACTAAATCGTTTTTATCTTGTATACATAGTCGCAATTGAATCATTAAAGGCTCGTTAAAATGATTTGATAGCTAATGGCCAACTCATTACAATTGCCGTATTATTTTCCATAATTAAATTGTGTAACTTATAAATCGATTTACGATCATCTAATGGCAGGGAATCAGCGTAACTTGATATTTAATTCAGTCACTGAAGCCTTTATTTACCCATAAAATTAGGGGTCAGATGTTACAATGTTTTGCCAATATAATCATTCCATAACCAAGTCCACATGAGTCTGTTTACGTTCATCTAATATTTATCTTAATTGTTCATTTGAAAGTAATTTGGTAAACAAATCATCTTCGTTAATATCAACATCTTTTAACTAATAATGTTGAATATATCCGTAAAGCAAATAAATGACTTTTGTAAAATACTGTTGACGACACTCCTGATATTTCTGGTTAAATAACAAAATTTTGTATAATTGTAACTTTTATTAGAACATTCAACTTTTAATAAGTTTTTTAGCTATTAATAATTCCTGGAAAACAACAACTGGGAATATAAAAGGCTACTTCAACTTTTGATTAAAGCTAAATTGCAGACAACATTCATCAGAGTAACTTTCATTTCCTCGAGACTCGCTCTTTGTTAATCATGTGCTATCAACTCAAATTTATGCTTCTGATGACCAGTGTACTTTTAATGTTGGTTGGATTTGATGGTTGCGTTCAAGCTCAATATTATGGTGATTATGGGTACGATAATTATAATCGACAGCGTTTCTTTACTAGAAGTGGATGTAAGTAGAGACCTTTTTGGAAGTTGATTTTCTTCTTGTTTGCTAAGCTTTCATTTATTAACTGTTGTGCTTCTTTGTTTTACCTCATAGTTCGGTATTCCAATGTTGGGATTGGGTTTCCAGGAATGAGAAGAAATTATGGTTCATTTCGTGGTTACAATCAATTTGGAGGATACAGTACTTCTGGTGGAAGATATGGTGGTGGCGGTGGTTGGTGATAATTCGAGAGTCTGTTAATTCCATTGAAAGCTGCTATTATAATGATAATATTTTATTATTATTGTAATATTATTGCTTCTCGTCTGCAACACTAAAATTTTAGATCTATGACCTGACTTTAAGGGTTTTTATGGCTTTGGAAATAAACTTAATCCAGATAATTAGACTCCAGATTAAAGAAAAGCTGGTTACGTTTGGTGAATTGGTATTGACACTTCTCTAAATCGATTTATTATTGTTTCTCTGAATAATTGGATAAAAACTTGTTCATCAATTTGTTAAAGAAAAGTGGAGGAGATGAGACAACACCTTACTGCTGGAAAACTGGTAAACATGCAGTTGGGAATGAAGTTTCTTCTGTATCTTTGGAGTTAACCAAGAGGGAAAGCTTGATGTCAACTGCCCATTCAGCGGTTAAACCAACAACCTCTGATATTAAAAGAGCTCGGACTCCATCGCCAACTGATCAAGCATCAAGTAATGAGTTTGAATCTGATTCCTCTGATGATTCTGCTGGATTAAGTTCATTTCAAATAGGCAAAGCAAAGCAACATAAATCTAAGCAAAAAATAAAAAGAAGCTCAAAGCTGGTGGTAAACACGAACATAAAGCAGACGATGAAACATCTGAAGATAACGTAAAGTCAATGGAAACTGCGCCATTCTCGAATACTTAATCTGATTATTGTTGATTTCAATAGACAATTTCTAATTCTGTTCACAACCATTCTGGGTGTTTGAATTATTTTCATTTCTAAACAATCAATTATTCCGTTATATTGTAATAAATTGTTTCCAATGTTTAGTTTACTTTGATAATAGCAAAGTGCTTGTTGAAAAGTCACTTTTAATCAAGTTTGATTGATTCAGGTTAAGGCTAACTTTTTTTAATAACGTTGATGGGAAAATTAATAGATGGGTTAATCAATTGTCCTTGAACTTGATCATAATCAGGTAAGATTGTTAAACCTTTGTTAAATATTAATGGAAGGCAAGAAAAACTAACTCCACCTAAAAAATATAATTATGTTGATAAGGGAATGTTTAATTTGATTCACTCCCAAAACATCTTTAATCAAAATAATCTAAGGCAGGTTGCTATCAATCAGAATCAGAACTAACTGCTAACTAATCGATTGTTCAAATCTTACTTTACTTGAAACTTCATTGGACATGCATAAAAAATTTTACCTTGAAATAATATCAAAATGGTCAGAATCATTTGATTAATATCTTTTAATTCGATGTTTACAATACTTTCAACATTTACTAATATTAAATACTATATTTTGATTTTTATTTAAATAATTTGACAAAGGTAATTTGATAGCGAAACAAAGATGGTGAAAATAAATGAATTACAATTGATTATAGCAATATTTCGAGAAGAAATAGGCAAAATCAGATGTCGGAATGTTAAATATTGCGATGAATGTTTCCTTGTCAATCAGAAGCATCAAGTAATGATGATTGAGTCGATATAAGAGCTTCTCGAGAATTGGATAGGCCAGTTTCAGAGTGATTCCAGTTAATGGAAGGATTATCATTATTGCTATCATTTTCATTGTCTTTCAACTTGTCTTCGTCTTCTTTTGACCCATTTCCAGTTATTTTTCCTTTCAGATAGTCGATAACATTATTACACTGCTCTTTGTTGCTTGTAAGATTAGAGGAACTTTTAGGATCATTGATTAAAGAATGATAATCAGTATTTTTAACAGCTTCATTTGAGGATTGACCAGAAGTTTTTGGTATTTTAGTTAAATCTTTTTTGAATGACTCTGAAGATGATCGACGTGCTATATTGTCTGAAGTTGATGAAGATGATGATGACGAGGAAGAAGATGACGATGATGATTGATTAATTAATTTGTCTCCAATATGACCCATAGAATTTTTGCGATAAGTATTGAATATTTTTGGCGGTGATTTGATTGACAGCGAGTGCGTTGATTGGAATGTTAATTTATCGGCAAGAGCTTTAGTTGATAAATTAATTGCACCTGATCGATAGTCTGATTTTGATTCTGATCGATGATCTGGACTCAAAAAAGCACCATAACGAGAAGATATATTTCTTATTGGACTATTTGGCAAAGGGAAAACAAAGTGCGATAATTTAGTCGGAAATTGAGGCGGTGGCGATCTAATTAGGTGCTGGTGGAGATTGGAATCATCTTGGGTAATCTCTTCAATTTCTAAATTATGCAAAGAAGGGTTGATGAACGATGATGAACCAGTTTTATTTGATGGAGAAAAATGTTGATGATAATAATCATTGGATGAGGTTGTAGGGGTCGAAATGTTGTGGTCTTCCTGTTGAATTGTCAATGAGGATGATGAGGACAGCAGCTCTTCTGAAGCTGACAATTTTTCCAATTTAGATGCGATGAAAGGATTGTCTTGGCGCGATAGTGTTAACGCTTCCATGTCTTCATTAATATTTTTAACTCTCGGTGAAACTGGTGAGTGTGGAGGAATACCAAATTCAGATACATAAAACGACGGACTTGATACTTCCTTCCGAGAGTCAACGATTGAAGCAGCAACATCAGTAGGTTCACTTGGTGTATTATTCATGGTTGGAACTGGAGGATAATTTTCAGTTTCATTCCAATTTTTCAAACATTCTTTCGATTTTTTCCTGAAATGACAAAAATATTCAAACACATTTTAAAAGAGATAAAATTAACTAAAGAAAGAGAAGTGATTAAACCTATTAAGTAATAACCGTTAACTCATTTTAATAACAATGCAAAAACAAGTTTAAGCGCCATCTTATCGGACATGAGGGGTTCAACGACCCTCTCAATTTTAATTTAACCAAGAGATGGCGATGCCTTAAAGCATTAATTTAACCCAAAAATACAAATTACAAAAATTGAATTTTTACCAAAATTACAATTATTAATAAAACCACCAAATCTATGCATGAAATGCATGAAAAAATCTGACTTTCGAGTTAAGAGTAGAATTAAAAAACCTAATTATTTGTAATAAGTGACTGGATTAATTAATATCTTATTTGTTTGGAGTTGTGAAGACATCAAATTAAAGACAAATTCATCAATATTGCTGTTACTATGGTAAAAATCAATTTCATGTTTGCTTCATTATTGGGTTGAAATAACAATTGATCAGCAAAAAGGTAAAATGTAAAGGTTAAATGACAATTCTCTGCTTGTAAATTAATGATGGTGACACTCATTGAAGCTAAATAATGAGTAAATATAAGTCTATCAATGATAAATAACAAACAAACCTACGTAATCAAAGTGGATTATTAGATGAATAAGGCCTACGCGTAACAACAATTTGATTAATTGCTTGTCTGCATAAAATGGAAACATTTGAATGTTGATCAAAAATCAATATAATGATAAACAATAATACAAGAATAGATCTTCAATGATTACTTCAATTGACTAATTCATTGCAGTTAGTGGGTTAACTAAATGTTGAAAATGATTAACTTTAGCTTTGAGCCTTCCATTAATAAATAAATTGACCTTTAAATTAAAGCTGATTCCAGTTAATTCCTAAATAGCGTTGATAGCAATTCAAAGTTGAAGTTAAGATTAGGAATCTCAATTGAAAAGTTAGTCGAGACAAACAAAAATTAAGCTGATTCAGTGAAACGAAAGTTAATTATTTCCAACCCTTTGAACAAATATGTTATTGATTTGTGTAGCTTATGAGAGATAACTTAATTAGCTATTTGAGTTATAAAAATATGATTCTAATTTGATTGTTACTTCAAAAAGGATTCAAGTATTTTATGATTTATGCAACATTTTTAAAAATTGATTGCTTGTAAAATAATCAATTAAGGTCAATGAATTAAATGTCAATCAAGCTACCATTGAAGTGCTTAGTTTTATGATTTAATCAGGTAAAATAAGCTTCACATATTTAATTGTATTTAAAGATGCACAGCATTGGATTTATAATTCATGATTCACTAAACTTGCAGTTGATTGTTGTAAGATTTTCAGGTTGACAGTAATCGAAATACAAAGAAATGAAATAAACAAGAAATTTCTTGTTCATAACTTCTCAAGGGAATGTTGACTGGGAAGGAAAAACATTCTCATAAGATTTATGGCAGAATCTTTTATTTACTAGAAACAGGTCATGGTAAATCTGGGTTTCAATATTCATATTAAGGTTATAATGGAGATTAACTGTCATTCAAAATAAGGGATAAACATTGAGTTGATGTTTAACCATTGCAACTGTAAGTGTCTAAGTTTGGGTTTGACAACAATTTGGGGAAATGTTGAATTACATTCATTTGTATATTCATTATTAACAGTTTACTGGGTGAGTTAATAAAAATAAAAAGCACAAGTTCATTAGTAATTTAAGGACAAATGATGATTTGATCAAGAGGAACCTTTAGAGTTGTGTTTTGGTCTTGTTTGCAAATTGAATCTCAATGTGAGATAATGAGAATGAGAAGTTAATTACTAATTAGAGTTTATTTTTTCAATGAAATCTAATAGCTGAAGTTTCAGCAAAGCATGATAATTGCAAACTAATCTCACAACTCGACAATCAAATTGCTATTGAAAATTGATACAAAACGGTTGATCTGTAATAACTGTTATAATCATCAATAGGAAATGATCAACCATAGTAACAGTTAACATTTCAAAGGACTGAGGTTAAATGATAAGAAATTGGTTGAATTGTAACGGAATACAAATGATTTGATACTGATTCTGCTAACAATAATATCCATCAATCTTATGGCTAACATAAATCAATGATAAATTTAATAAGGAAAGCAAAAAAAGATATCAATTTGTTAATGGAAGAGTAAAGTCTTACCTGAAAATATTGGTTATTAACTCCAAAGCTTTTCGCTTAGAGTTACTTGTTTCATCTATATTTGTACACATGATTAGATTGGTAATTATTTAGTAAAATTAGGTAAATTTAAATTTAAATCATTTTGTTATACAATTAAATGTATATCAATAACGGAGGAATGCAAGGTTTTCACTGTTGAAATGACTGTGGAAATGGTAAGCAGTAGCAATGAAAACAATAACAATACTGAAAGATGTGAAACAAACTGTAAACAAGAAACTGTTCTGGATTAATTTGAGTGCACAATTTAATAATCAGATGTTTCAATTGAGGGATAATTTAGTTGGGAATGGTAAGGAATAACATTCATCCATTCAAGTAGATTCATTAAATGAGTATTTGCTTTTAATCCTTTTCTTGAACCATTCAAACTGCCTCACAGGAGAAACACAAAAACAGATGAAAACATAAGAAAGACTGAAGATGATGGTGATGATGGAGGATGAAATATCCAGAGAGACACACACAAAAGCAAACGAAGATGAAGCTGAAAAAGAGGAAGAAAATGATGATGAAGAAGAAGAAGAAGAAAAAGGAACAGAAATAAAGATAAAAACCAAGATTGATTGTATAAAAAAACCAATGGATTGAACAAACTCTTTGGATTATGAGCAAACGCTTTGATTCCCTTTGCATGTCTCCATAGTAACACAGAAAGACGCTTTTCTATTGATTTTTTGTCATCATAATCATCAAAATCATCGTCACCATCATCATTACAATCATTATTTTTGTGGATGTCTCAATGAATCTTGCTTTGCTTTGTTGAACAGCCAAAAATTGTGAAAATTGACTTCAAAAAAGGCTTTTATCTGCTTCTTGTTTCATCCTTAATCAATGGCCTTTCATTTTCACAAGTCACTCGCAATAACTGTTGGCTGTAATTGCTAATTGTGTCAAATCCAAGCCATTTTTGGTAGTCAATTAACATGTAATCACAGTCAACCTACGAAAATTCAAGCTTAATGAAAGTATGAAATTGACAATGGTTGAAGCTTTGAAGGGTATTAAACTGGAGTCAAATCATCAGTATATTGATATAACTATTGCTATTTATCCCTTGCAGTCATTGATTGATTAAATTATTTGATAGATTCGCAATGATTAAATGGTTAATTAACTCTGATTTTTTTTGAATCTGAATCAAATCCTATTGCAAGTTATTACATTAGAGTGTAAAAATCAAGTTACAGTTGTATTGGATTTTTATTGTTGAAAATCCAACATTTATATCCATTTATTTCATTGGAGTTTATCTTTTAAATCCTCCATTTTATGTATAATATGTTTTTGATTTAACTTTCGTTTAATCAGATTGGTTTGGACACTCAATTTTGAAAGGGTTTACAATTTGAAAGTATTTTTTGTTGAAGATTAAGCTTGTTTTGAATATTTACAAACATGTATAAATGAATCTTATAAATCTCTAGATTATATTTAAATGTCATCATATTGGATCAAGAATAAAGATAATGCAGATAAAAATAGGGATTACCGAAGGATGGGATTTGTACGATGTAAATTGAAGCGGAAAATTCCTTAGTGCTTTTGGATCAGATAATTTTACATCATCATCATTATTAGAGTTTATTGATTGATCAAAAAATCGATTATCGAAAATAAAAATTGATCAAGATGAACGTCAATGAAATAGATCGTTACGATTGCTCGTCTGCATCAAGCTAGAGGCTTGATTAAATGAAGATTTACATGTACATTTCAATGCACCTTATTCATTCTAGTTTTTTCCTTAAAAAAGGATTCTTTGGTAATCTTTGAAACAGAATAAAAAAGTTGAAAATGGAGCGATCGTGGTTGTAAGTTGATGGTTTGCATTTGCATGGTTTGACATGTCAAGCATAAACACCGATCGATGATATTGATGCTCGGTAAAAATCGCCATATATCGATTTATACTTAAAAACTGATTTTCTATTATTATTTCAATAGCGATCAATTTCAGGAATCATTTTCTAGCGTTATTTCAGTCAATGCCTGTGTAAATTGGTATGCATTAAATGTTAGTTGCTTCAGATTTGCTTTAGTTGCTGCAAAATCAGCCATATCGGCTTTTAAAATGCTGATTTGGATTTAGGATCACGAATATTTTCAAACACTTGAACAAGAAAATCGTAATTGATTCGATTGATCAATATTGATAATGACAAGAAGTCATAGATATTACAATCATTGTTTAGCTTTTTAAGAATCTGGTCTCAAGCTTTCATGTCTGCGATAAATTCTTGGCGGAGCAACTCAAATTCTGGAGGTTTTGACTCCAGACTAAATTATTGGATTGGAGTATGAAAGAGAGAAAGTTTTCATCAAGAAGAGTAGTTACTGGTTACTTGATTAAAGGAAAAAAAAGTAACGAGAACTGATTATGACAGAAGTTGTGTTTTAAAAACTTTTGATGTTAACCATTAAATGTTTTATTGTAAAAGACTTGCATTTCGGGTGTTAAATTCACCTAAATAATTAAAAAATTATTGCACTTTTGCTCAATATTTTTAATTTATTGATATAGTTCTTATAAAATAAGTTAATTTGATTTTTAAATTGATAATACAGGGTCCGCCACAATACATGTCAGCCTGTATTTTTTGAATAACTTTTTTATTTTTTCGTCAATCAAGCTCATTCTCACAGAAAATAATCTTGAATAAAGGGGAAACAAAGATATGGACCGGTCAAATTTTTCGGGTATCGCAGGTCAAAATTGCGCCTGCGCGAAATGAAGGTACAATTTTCGGGCGTCGTACGGGTTTTTGTTCTATCTTTTTCGACTGTACAGATATTTTTAGCTTTTTTGCACTGTTTTACAAACTTTGTTAGTCACTTGCCAATGTTCTGAAATAATTTTGTCATTGCGTTCTGATAAAAGCAATTTATAGCCGATTGAATAGGACACTTCATCATGCGTGAATTCGAGCAAATTGAAGCATAAAGCATTGATGGGATGGAGCAGTATTATTTTGCTACTCAATAGGTGCCAGGGGCAAGAAAAGCCCTATGGAGTTATTCTGGACTGAAAAATGTGCATAGTATCTCAGAAATCTGTCTATGAAAGCCTCATTGAATAACATTGGGTCTGAAAATGACTTTTTTTTGCGCAGTCGCCATTTTGACCTGCGATACCCGAAAAATTTGACCGGTCCATATCTTTGTTTCCCCTTTATTCAAGATTATTTTCTGTGAGAATGAGCTTGATTGACGAAAAAATAAAAAAGTTATTCAAAAAATACAGGCTGACATGTTTTGTGGCGGACCCTGTATTTCTATGAAATTACTATCGCAATGTTTTATCACTGTAATTCACATAACGTATGGAAAGTAAAAATGGAAAAAAGTTGAGTCCTTATTATATCTTTGGAAATCTAATTTCCAGATAGATTTAGCCTGCATTCTGTCGAATCGCCACGTTCCCTGATTAGATCAGCCACAACGCTACCAAAATATGCATAAGCTTCATTAGCTGCTAAAAAACTATGCTTCCAATAAGGATCTTGAATTATATGATCAGTGTCAACTCGGTCTGGAGATGGAAAAAAAGGTTTCATTATTTATGGTTGTAAGCAGATGAATTGATTAAATATTTTGATTCTTACCACAGAGTGAATTTCTAAATTTTTGGACGTTTCGTTGATCTATAACCTGGTCATTCAAGCCACTCATGAATATCAATTTATTTGGATTAATATTGTAATAAGGAAACTCTGGAGGCTCAGCCGAGCCATATAAAGCGTAATTCTTAACTTCACCATAATCAAAGAAACTCAAGTGATCTCTTTCAACGGATTGGAAGATGTGGAGTAAATTTTTTTTCGAGCTTCGGTCACGTAGGCTTATATAAACACTAAGTCTTGATGCGTTAAACTGATTTCGATCAAAACCTAGATTCCCGAAAAATGTTACGCAAATGGGACTGGCTAATTGGTTCACACACAATGCAGAAAGTGAAGAATAAAAAAAGGCTGAATTGCTCGGATAGGGTCCATTGCTCGAACTAAAAAATTCTTGTGCAGGCTTATTCGGTATTGAAGCAAAAAAACCGTATTCACCAACAAACCCAGCCGGTGCAGCTAGAATGACGATATCGTAATTATCTTGAAACCATGGCATCAGAGACATTTGAGTAATCATTTGAATTGATCCTTGTGAATAAGCGACTACAGTTATCTTTTCTGCAATAGGAAATTATGAGTTAATTGTGTTTAGCAAAAAATTTTAGTTTCTTTTTCTAATTGCTTGGTTTCCTGGATTTGTGCAGACAACTTGACGTAAAATTGATTTTCGATAGGAACTAGAGTTTGCATTTGTATAACAGCCATATACATTGAAAATACTCTAATTCTTGATAAAATCAGAAAAATAAACTGATATAATTTGGTCAAATTGATAAGATCAGTGTTCGTTTAAAGTAAAAGCACCGAACAACGGGTGAAAATAATGAAATCAGTTGTTGTTCATAGAGATCAAGCAAAACTATTAAACAGAGCTTCTTCTGTCTTAAACTTTGATCAGAATATTTTCATCATTTGGATCCTGGTTTTTTCATTCATTGATCTTTTCGGCATTTCAACTTGATTGCCATATAAAATTTTCAATCATCTAAGAAATGAAAAAAGGGAAAAACTTACCGAATCCAGTTTCATTTTTAATGTGTTCAACTGTTGATGTAACATCGTAAATTCCAATTTCGTAGAAACTGTAATCCCAAAATACAGGATCTAAGAAGAAAGCTAATTATTGAATCACATTGAATCAATTTTATACACAAAAACTGTTACCTTCAGGATCAAGATGTGTGTGATTAGTTGAATAAGATGTTCCGCGAGCATTAATCAACCAAACATCATAACCCAAGTTGGCCAAAAGGAATCCAAGTGAGGCTGAAGTGTCATTTGGTGGATTACAGTTGATCCATGGCTTTATGTGTCCACCGGGTGAATTGAACAACCAGGATGCACACGATGCCAAAATTGGATGCACTAGTAAGACAGGTTTAAGAGTATTTCGAGCTTCTCTTGCATAAGGATTGATGATTCGGAAATTTTGAAGGATATAACCATCTTCTGTTGTCACATAATAACGCTCATATTGAAAGCCTCGAGATTCAATGAGTTGACCACAACTTGCTGCTTCATCTGGATCGCCATTACCAAACAACTGAAGAAATGCTTGTTTTTCAGCAACAGTTGGATTGGTTGATTCAACCGATGCTGGACCTGCTTTTTCAACGGTCACTCCACAACATTTATGAAAAATTGAAATATAAAAAGTTATGTAAAAAAAATAAATCATTTCAAGCTGATATGTAGGATTATTTGATTGAAATGAATGTTAAGTCAAACTTCAAATGCAAGTTCATCACAATTAAAAGTAACAATTTAACCATTTTGTAACTTGAGTCTTTTATATAATTGTTATACAAATAGTAGACTTGTTATGACTCCAATGCATTGTTTTTAAATTCAAAAACATTTGTACAAATGTACAATTACCATAGCCGCGTGTATGTCTCAAGCATTATCCATAATGTCTCTTATCGCGTCATGACGACCGAGATCAGAAACTCATAGTCAACTCAGAGCTAAAAAAATTGTAAAAATCGAAATCGATTAAAAGAGAATTTTTTATGAAAATTTGAAATTGTGTGATTCACTTTCAGCGTTCGGTAAATTTTGCTAAACCGGTCGATAAAAAGCTCAAGTTGAGCATAAACAATGGTCCATGAGTCATGAGTAGGCGCTCTTGAATTGAGCGAGTTCATTTTGCAGCACCGTGTCGGATTGGTGATGTATTCATTTCAGTTCTGTTCAGTTTGACATTAAAATATTTTTAATCTTTTTACTCTTCTTTATCTTTTCTCCTTTATCCCCATCAGAAAAGAAAGATTCAATCTTAAACCGAGACATTGGTGTGTCTAATAGCAAGATATTGTGATTTCCGTGAAAATTGTGAAATTTCTTATGGCTTGTTGCCTGAATACCTCAAGTTGGCATGAGATGCCTCCAAGTTGACGCGTGAGTCGGGATATAGTTGTCGATTCTGTGAAAAAGATTTGTCTGAACGAAGAAGTGGAATTTGACAAGAAAGGAAAAGTAAGGCAGCTAGTACACCACTCGAAAAGTGTAATCCGAAAAATTGTGATCCTAATTGTGTTGAACCAAAGCCATACGTAGCTCCTCCAGATGGAATGGACAATCTAGAGCGACCATCCAGTTCTAAGGTTGTAAGGATGAAGACCAAAAGAATTTAGAATAAAGATAAGAATTCTAATATGTATTTTTGATGGAGATTTAATATACAACATTCCGTCTAAATATTTAAATGTGAATGGCGAATAATTTTGTGAGAAAGAGTCTTATGAAGTAAAGAAGATTTTGTTGTTTCAGAAGTTAAATTTGAATTGAGATTAAATAATAGCAATTAACTTTGAATGTAAAAAATGATTAGAAAAAGTTTTAGCTTGGATTGGAATCCGAGGAATCGTCAGCATCATCAGTATTCCTTATCCTCCTAGCGAAGTTGTTTGGATTCTGGGATTCGTTCGCCATCCCATCTAGCTAAATCAAAGCATAGTTAAAACGCGCAACAACAGCCCATTGTTCGCCTTCCTGCTTTACAAGTGCAGTAATGCTCAGATATTTTCTATGTCAGATTTTATCGCTTTACAGAAACTGGGATTTCATCAGACAAATTAAGCTTTTAAAATCACATGCTGCAAGTATGGATGAGGAAGACCGTGTTTGTGTTTTAAGTTTCTATGAAACAGAATTGATTCCATCTTTAAATTACTTACCAAGGAGAGATATTGTTGATGATTTTGTAGATATGGGTCCGCATGGGCGTAGAGATCAAATCGCTTAATCTGTTCTTGTTGTGGGCTTACGGAGCGTTGTTAACTGCAATGAAAACACTGGAAGCAAGTTTTAGCGAACTATTTAGCGGTCAAAGGAGGGAAGAAATGGAATACTGCTCTTCGATACAGGGTGTAACTAAAGTTCGTGTAAGAGGCAAAAAAATATTTCCCCCTGCGTAGAAACCAATTTTAATTTGCTTAAATTTATCGGTTGAGAAACTGATTCCCTCTCTTAAGCCCTCCTACCTACACGAACTTTAGGCACACCCTGTACACATCTAATGACTCTGATGAAACATGTAATTTTAATCATTTGAAGCTATTTTGAAATCTTTTAGATACAAAATCAATCACGTTTTTAGAATCTGTTGATAATCCGAGGCCAACAAGATCCGTTTATTGCTTAAATAAAATGCTGCCAGTTACCATCCGTGCTATCCTATCATGCTCAGAAACTCTGAATAATCTTGGAATCGATTATATGTTCACCAACGTTCCAGTCTTTGAGAATCGTTTTTGCTGACAAACTGCCTGCTGGTTCGAATTGTGAAGATGATGAAGATTGTCCTCTTTTCGCTTTTTCTGAAGATAACTCATCATATACTTCAGATAGCACGATCGAAAATGAACTTGCAGAATATTTTGGCTCTTTCAATCCTACAATTAACGAATCGGATCCATCTCTTTTATCAAGTTTTTTCTCAAGTTTTGTTCCTGGGGATTTGAACCAGGGTCTGTACTTGCGCCGTACAGACTCACTGTATTTTTACAATTTTAAATATATTTTTCATTACCAATTGTCCAACTTATGAAGCATATTTGCATTGATATTGCAATTAAATTTCTTTTTACCTGAAAATCATTGTTAGTCGAACATTGGCAGCAAGTGTTGATTTTTAATTTCTAAATTAATTTATTAGCTCAAGTTAAAAAATTAAAGGTTCAGTTTTCAGTGGGCAATTTGATTATCTATTGGTAGTTGTGCGGACAAATTGTGTAAAAATGGGTCAACATGAACATTTACTTTTCTCCACAACTTCTTCTTGTCTATTTGCTGTTAAATTAATCATAGCTTGTCTTGTCAATACTTTGACATCACTTTGTTTTGGTTCAATCGTCTTTTCATCTCCATCAATTCGCGCTAGGATCTTTCTAATTAAAGTAGTGCCTTACGGCTTAAAACCAGAGGACCATATTCTAACCAAGAATTGGGACGCAACGGAGGTGGCGGTGGATCAGGATGACAGCTTTCTGTGCCGTTGGTGCAAACACAAATTATCGTTTCGCAAAACACAGATGCGTCATGAACGTAACAACTGTCCTGAGCCAGGATCACCATCTCACGATTGTGCTAAACACCAATGTGTGATGCAGAATTGTAGACAAGCAGCATGGCTATTTTAAGTATAGGGTGTATAAAAAGTTTATGCAGGGGAAAAAATATCCCTCAATTGCGTATAAACAGAAAATTATTTTTTTCCCCCAAAATTGAGCATAAACTTTCTATACACCCAATATATTGACAGTACATCAAAAATCATTGTCTTTCCTCTTTTCTACTTTATTTGTAGTTTTCTTAACAATGTACCTCTATAACTCTACAAAGAATGGATTTAATATTCATTATTAGAAAATAGATTTTTTATGAAAATATTTTAACAGATGATCCTATTCATTCGTCGATCTTCATTGTAGGTGAATTGAAAATTGATCGAAATGATAGTTGTTGAAATAAAATAACAAGTTATCAAGTGGCATAATCGATTGAAGTTGATGTAAGTGTAAAAATCCACGAGAAAAAACCCATGCAATCAAATCAAATCAACGAGATGGGTAACAATTTGACGTCTTAATCAATTTATAATAACGAGATTGGTGATTGAACAAGTCGATTATTTGTAGCAGCCATCAGTTAAGTGAAGATTTCATCAGTAAATGATATAATTCAAGTAATTAGTTATTGTTAAAATCTTGCTGTAGTCATCAGTTTTTTATTTATTTGAAAGGCTTAAAGTTGTTTCCATGGCTGGGTCGATAGTTCCGTAAATATCTATCAGAACGGATTATATTTCAAGCCTAGAAGGTTCATGTAATCAGAATGCAACTCAATAAGTTTCCATTTGTTGAGACATTATTCAAGATTGTTTGTAACCCTTCGTTTCGATTTAACTTTATCGTCGCTATTATCATACACTTGACTTATTAATGAAGATCAAAGCCTTATAAAAATAGATAAGATAAAATAACTAAGGATAATTTCCATGGCGATAATTAAGATTCAAAATCCATAGTGATTAAAACCAGACATCGTTAGTGTCAGCTTTGACTGAGTTATAAAGAAGTTGGTGAAATAGTTTCTGAAACATTGCCGTAATTTTCCATCATGTCAGGTTCAGAGCTTGTGAAGAGTCAATCAGAGAGTCCATGGTAAGTTATTTTTTATGTTCATGGTTAATATCTTTGACTTAATTTCTCAATTCTTTTCATCCACCGAAAGGGTTGAATATGGAGATCTTGGTATAAATTATGATCCAGTTAACCTATGTAAAGGTTTCCCTGACTTCCCTCCGCCTAATTTTGTGGTTGAGGCCTTAATAAGTGCCTCAAAAAATCCTGCAGCTCATCAGTACACAAGACAATATGTGAGTATGTAACCATTATTCTTGGTTCCTTGTCTTAATCTTAATACTTTACAGGGTAACCCTAGATTGGTTAAAATACTGTCAAAGATGTACGGTCAATTAATTGGACGACCAATTGACCCATTCAAGGAAATATTGATAACGATTGGTGCATATGAAGCTCTTTTATCTGCTTTTCTCGGTTTGATTAATCCTGGTGATGAAGTTATTATCATTCAACCTTTTTATGATTGTTATCCTCCAATGGTTGAAATGGCTAAGGGAATACCCGTTTATGTATCTCTTAAGCCGCCGGCTGACTATGAACATAGACCAGTTTCAAGTGCGGAATGGAAGTTAGATTTTCAGGAATTGGCTTCAAAATTCAATGAGAGGACCAAAATGATCGTTGTCACCACACCAAATAATCCAACTGGAAAGGTATCAGGTGATAATATAAAGCGTTCCTTTGAAGTAACCGTTAACTATTTAATTGATTTACTTTTCAGGTTTACTCAAAGGAAGAATTGCTTGAAATAAGTAAACTTTGTCGCAAATTCGGAACAATAGCATTGATGGACGAGGTTTATGAATGGATTATCTATGACAGTGCGAAACACGTTAGAATGGGTAATTTACTTAAACATATTTTATCTCATAACACTTTATATGGTTGGATGCTTGACTCTTCTCCTCGTGTTAAGACAGCACCAATTCATCAAAATGTGAACCGATAAATCTAAATTCAATCTCATAAGTTGAATATACAATAGTTTTAATTCATTATAACATTTCAATTAAATAGCGAGCTTACCTGAAATGTGGCCGTACACATTAACCATTGGAAGTATTGGAAAGACATTCAATGTTACTGGCTGGAAAATTGGTTGGGTCTATGGTCCAGCAAATTTGATTAATCCTTTACAAATCATCCACTCAAACACAGTTCATACTTGTCCGACACCAATTCAAGAGGCTTCGGCCATTGCACTGGAAATTGAATTCAGTCGACTCGGAAAACCAGATTCTTTTTGGAAACAAACATCAAACGAACTGCAAGCTAAAAGAGATTTAATCGTAAACTATTTACAATCAGCAGGATTCAACCCAACAATCCCGGATGGTACCTACTTTATTGTGGCCAGTTATCAAAACATCGACTGGCCATCCTCCAAGGTGAATTATACTGAAAAAAGTCCCGGTGACAAATTTGCAAAATGGCTTTGCATTGAAAAGGTAATATCAAAAGTATACCAATAGTAAAGCAAAATTCTTACCCTATTTATTTGATAATCTAATTTAGTATTGGTTATTTAATTAACAAATTTCTTGGGACTCAGTTAAACTAATGTTGCGTCTTATTTTTCAGAAACTTTTAACGATGCCAATGTCTTACTTCTATGCAAATCCAAGCAAGAATGAAGGAAAAAACTGGGTTCGGTTTTGTTTCTTCAAAACAGATTCGACAATCCATGATGCCGGCAGAATATTGCGCCAAATGAAATTAAAATTGAATTCCAAGCTTTGAAGAGAAAAAGCTTTTAAGCCTTAAACTGGTGATATAGATTCTGACACTTGGCAATTAAACACAGCTCTGAGACTTGGGATTTATGAACCAATATCAGCAAAGTTATAAACCAATGATCCAAGCATTCCGCAATTTGGGAAATTTTAACTTTTAAAAAATTAAAATGAAATTGATGTTCATCAGGATTTAAAAATTGGGTTGATACTTTATGTTGGACACAGTTCTTGCAAATTTAACCAAGCTATGAAAGTATGAACCATGAAAAGGATCCGTGAAGAAACACTGCATTCGGTATAACATGAAGAGAACATTTAATATTAATTGAGATTTAGAAAATAACTTTACAAATATCTCATACAGATCAAATCGACTGACATTTATATCAGTTTGATTATCAGTATATTTTGTTGGAGGGAGAGTAGCGTTGCAGACTAAAGTCTTGTATTGCAAATTCGAATGAATATACAGCTGTTTAAATATAGTGAACAAAAAAGCACTAGTAATCAATTTCTTTTCAGAAGAAATTGAGGAATATTAGCAAATTCTTGGTAAAATATGTTGTTCATGAAATCGAATCCTGTTTGAATGGCTGATGGTTTCGGAATTTTACACTGAGTATCATTTTGAACGTAAGTTATATTTGCACGGTTTTTTAAAGCAGGACATGAGGCGACGATTTGATTGATTGGTCGTTTGATTTGGCTGCAACCACGGCAATCAAATAGATTCAGTTTAGGTAAACTTTGTACAATCCTAACAATGTCGGTAGGAGTTAAAATACAGCAATTACGAATAGCCAGATTCCTCAGATTCTTACATTTTGTTATGAATAATTCGAAACCAATCCAATCACGAATGATAACCTTTATATTAAAGAAGAAAGAGTAAAATACATTATGAAGAATGAGAATAAATTGTATATTCTAATGAATATTTACCGATGATGAAAAAGTTATAACCAGGTGCTCTAAACTAGAATGTAGCTGTGTTGGCGTTTTGATTGGAGAGCCTTCGAATTTGTGTGCACTTATGTGGATATAAAGACTCTTGAGGCGACGGAATCTATTTAAAAATGTTTCAACATCTTTGAAATGAAAATCACTATGTGTTAAACAGACTTCGAGCATTTCAATTCCTCCGTTGGTTCTTGAATTAGAACTAGCATTAGCTATGTTATCTACAGGTAAAGAATGATGATCAGAACAAATTAATAAATATCATTTGTATGTTTAAAGTTATAATTCAAAATCTAAGCTTACCAAAAGCTATAGTGAGATGTAATCGTCTTAATTTGGTTGCTCTGGACAAGATTGTATCAATCAAATCTCGACTTGATTTATCTGGGACGAATAGTTGTTCCAAACTTTGTGCGTGACGGACTAATTTAGAAGCATCGAAGATTGGCGAGGATAGAGCACGAATGTTGTGAAAAGTTTTATCAGCCATTTCACTAGTCATCAAACGAAGCCATTGGTCGTTGTTAAAACGTAAGGCACATAGTCTTGGTCTGGCTTTTAAAGCATCACTGATCCACACATCCCAACGAGTAACATTACCAAAATCAACAAGCTGATAAACAAGAGGCTTGGTTACTATAGTAATCAATAAAATAATTCATAATAAAAATGGTCAACATTGGGATAATACTTACTCTAATATTTGGGAGAAATTCAAGGTATTCAGCGATTTCACTCATGCTAGGAAGAGTGTTTTCTTCATAATAAATATACTTGAGATCATCAATTGTTGGAGGCTCTAGAGGCAGAATTAGAAAAGGGAGAAAAGAAAGAGAAAAAGGAGGAAATTTGTAAAATTAATATATCATTGTGCGTTTATTGAAGTACCTTTTTTTAACGGGTCCAATTTATAAGACAGAAGATACTGGATCTGGTGTAACCTATTAGCTCCAACAGTCACCCAAAGTGGCTCTTCGACTGTTAAGAAAAAAAATAAGATGCTATAAGATTATTTGCTTGATAAACATTGATAACTAACTTACCTTGTCTATAACGTATGACATAATCAATCCATGGAACTCCGTTGAACACGTTATTTACAAGCTGTTCAGCATCGAAATTTGAATTGGAACTGGCGTTTTGAACTTCGGTCATTTCAAACAGATTTAAAGGCAAATAAAGATGACCATTTCACTAGTGAAAACATTGGTATACCATGCTTAAACAAACAACTATTTACATATGAAACCAATGAAATCATGTTAACATAACACTCATCATTTGATTGGTCATTTTCGCGGATTTATCATAATATAGCCACATGTCAGACCTAAAGCACATGTTGGTAAAAGTGACTGATCTGGTTCAACCGCAAAAATCACCAGATGCAAACAGAGTAAATAAAGAAAAGTAGCTTTTTCTCCTGGAGTAAGCAACTCAACTTACCTCGTTAATCGAGAAACATTCACAATGTGGCTATTCAGCAACCAACTCTTTTCTTTTCTATAAATGGTTGGGATATTTATAACAATATATATAAATCTCGATGTCTGTCGAATTATAGAGGATTGTAGATTATTTTTAAATAAATTTAAAAAATTAAAGAAACCACAATCCAAGAAATTTCACCTATTAATTAATAACCTCTTACAAAGTTACCGCCATTTACCCGGCAGATCTCCAGCTGATTTGGTATAGCTTCTTGTGTTATTTGTGTAGCTTTTGGCTGATGTGTAATATGTCTTTAGAGATTCTTTTCAATTTGATCATTTTTTAGCACATCTTTACATTCGACAATTTTTCAACATTTATTCTTCATGATTTAACATAATTGTGACTATTTTCCTCGAGCTAGCCTGTTTAATATCTAATGGAATCTGACAATGTGGAACTCTTATTTGAGACTAACTCAATAGCTCAAATTGAGGAGATTGAAGCCAAACTCAAAAAGGAGATTGAGAAAAGAAAAGATGACTTGAAGCAAATTATCGGGTAATATCAAGATTTTAACTTGTTTTAATTATGCCAATTTGTTAAAATATACCTTATTTTTGTTCTTAACGTCATAGGGAAAAATATAAAGATTTGATTGATGTGTCAGATGGCTTGCAAATTATGGCTCAAAGGTGTTTGGTTGTGGTTGAAGAAATTGACAACCTGGATAAATCGTTTCATCACTTTAAATCGAAAGTTACTCAGGGATTGAGTAGCAAACAGAAATTAAGCGATAGTCCAGTTAATAAAGGGAATTTATTGCAGTGGGAGTTTGCCATCAAATGTAAAATTATAGTTAAATCTCCATCTAAGGTAATATTTGATGAAAGATTTAAAAGCGTGCAATTATTAATTTTATTTTTTCTCTAGATCTGGTATTTTTTAGATGTTAACGATATTCTATCCGCAACTTTCTACTATTCACAAGTTTGTTATGTTTGGCATAGATTGAAAGATTCATTTACTGAAATCACACAGAACAGACCGAACATCGTAACTCAATATGCAAACATTGTTTGTAACTTCTCGTCAATCCTGGTGAATCAAGCATGGAAAAATGTTTCGTACTCTAGAAAAGTTACTCTGGAACCAGAATCAATCGCCTTAAATCTGATGTGCATCTCAATTTTACAATCTTTTAATCCTAGTCAACTATTAGAGACGTTGTTAGAAACGCGATACCAACAAATGGCCAATTTATTCATCAACCGTTCCCCTGACTTTGCAGATATTTGTCTCGATCTTTTTGGAAATTTATTTGATACTTGTAGATTAGCTTACCTAGTTTTTGTGGAAGACATGGGCATTCCAAACTATCTGGCGCGTTCAAAAGATATTGTTGAAAAATTTCAAGCTAGTCAAGAGCTTTTCTGCAATCATCTATATTTAAGTTTGGTACCAAATGAAATCAAAAATTTTCGTCTCAAGTCGCATTTCACAGATCATGAACTTGAAATGAGCCAGGTTAAAACGATGTGCAATAATTGGATCCAACAAGTTTATAAAAACATAATTCCTAAGTTTTCAGAGATTGTCAGCAAAGTCGATTCAATATTTACGTTGTTCACTGTTTTAAAGGAAGCAAACAGCCTGTTGGAGGATTCAAATAGATTGTTAAACTGGACAGATCTAAATGATATACTATTCGACAATGAAGTATCTATATGGCAATTCTTCCTTAAGGATACTGTAATGAAACATATGGAAATTTTAATAACTTCTTCAGTTACCAATACATACAAATGTCTCCAATCTTCAATTCAAGCAATATTGACATCAGCAATGGATGAACCAGTGGCACTGATTGATGTTATTTGGAAATATGAATCAAGTGAACAGGATAGTTTGTCAATGAAAGCTTACGGTCTGATTGAAGAAAACCTCAAAGTTTGCCATCCTTTTGAACAACAATTGGAGATAATTTCGGAGCAATTATCCATTATACAAGATAATGCCTCACAAGGATTTTTACCTTCTAAAGATTTGATTACTCTGCAAAGTATTTTCATTTCAGCATTAGTAGACAATTTAAGTAACTTTATTGATTATTTTGATAATCTATGTGTCGACAAAAGTCAAAATATGCTCAGAATGGCCAATATATACCGGACGCTTGTCTATGGCTGCCCTAAATTTGCTGGTTGCCATTCTATGTTTTCTAAAGACCAATCTGATTGGACACGATCTCGTGTTTTATTAAGGAATGCTTACAACAAATTATTCATTGACTATTTATCGCAAAAACTCACGGATTTAACTGGTGAATTCTCTAAAGAAATGGATATGAAATCCATTACTAATTTCTTAGATTTATGTTTAACATGGGAAGAGATAACGTTGGAGGAAACATTAGAGGATGGCAAAACAATTAAATCTAATATAAGGATTCCAATGCAGATTTCTATTCCTCTCTATAGTTTACTGAAGCAATTAAACATATCGATAAATAATATTGGTGCGCATACCATGAGTAAAAAAGCTATTATGTTCATTTTGAGCAAACTTGGTTTACAAATCAACTCTTATTATCAACAACTTCTTGAGAATATTCTTGCTAAAGATATACCAAAAAATGTTAAACATACGCTATTTTTACAATTCTACTTTGATCTTTCTTTTATGCAACTGCTATTTGGATTAACCAAGGATGATAACATTAAGAAGGAGATTAAGCCATTATTAAATGATAATATTAACAATTATCAAAGCCAAATCGATCCTTTTGATTTGCACGTTCTTCAGCCTCATTTCCAATCTTCTGTTTCTCGGTGCATTAAGAGCACAGGGCTTCTCTTTGGTACCCTAATTGGTCAATCTACATCCACGATATCATCATCAACTCCATCACAATCAACCATTTCTACATCAAATGTTAAATCAGAAACAAAAGCAGATTCTCCCAACCCAATTCCTAGCCATTCTCTAAGCTTTAAATTTCCTCTTCTGCAAAAATCCAGGAACAAAATGTGATTATTTTTTACTAATTATATTTACTAAATTAAATTATTTTTATTTGTCAAATATCATTTTTCGCTTTTATCAATTACAACTGAGGTAAATGATTGCAACAAAAAGTATCAAGTCTTCAGGTATTATTAATCTGATGCAATTGTAATGCCTAAGATATTGTCAGCGTTTTATTAAAACTTTTTTGCACTTTTTTGGAGATCATGAATAAAATTTAAATTACTTAAATTATCAACATTTTTCACAGATTCATATTGCTAGGCTCAAGCAATAAAGCTTGATCACTCAATCCAGAACGAACCCCTCCTTCTGGAAGTAAATATTCTCGAGTTGAAGTAGGATTAATTGAGTTCAAGTTTCTGTTGCTCTCTATAAGAGATTCATAGTCGAATAAAAGTAATTTACAACTTTTACCTTGCTTAACATACAGGTATAATTTACATGAATCTAACAAAAGTAAGTCGTAAATTTTTTTAGAGAATTCTGTATCATTAAATCCATCGGTTGTATTTAAATGGTATAACGATGGATAAAAATTATCGATTCTCCAAAATTTCGAAACTTCTTCGATGTCACAGTTTAAAGGACATAACACTTCAATGCAATAACCTAAGATTACAGCCCAGTGAGCACGATGTCCGTTGATAGAGCAGGGCAGTTGATTATAATCTGCATCGTAGGGAATCAGAATAGGCCATCCTGAAGACAGGTGTTTAATAAATTTTTGTTTAGTTTTGCTATCGGAAATATCACATACATGCAATGCTGAAATTTCAGGAGCCAGATGTTGGGACAAACAACCAAGATTGTGGACTGTGATTAGAAATCAGGTAAATCATTGGTTAAAGCACTAATTATAAATATTGTAAGTTACCATTTCGTTGACATTACCTGAAAACATTTCTCCATTGTAAGTAATCCCTAGTTTCTTGGCTTCTTCTAAAACGTCAGAAAGTTCACGCGTTTTTACTCCAAGTAGCTCCAAAGCCATCATAAGAGCGACTAAACCACATCTGAAAGCAAAAAAAAACATGTGAGTCATATATCCGTACCCTATTTACAACTCTGTGAAAAGGGATTGGAAAGTTTAAAACTTACGTAGGTCCTTCCTGAGTGATTGATGGAGCTTGATTGTAACGTGAAAATAGCAAATGCTTTTCATCGGCACCATCATTGCAAGACATTATCCCAGACTTAAGCAAAAGCTTGCGAACAGAATTATGAGGTTCTTCTTCATCAGACTTGATAGAAAATTTGTTCAAAAAAGTTCTACCCAATGTAAAAGGTAGAGAAAGCGGTGGGAGTGAAGGTGGAGGAGGAGGTGGAGGTGGTTGGTGATGTTGGGGTGAGAATCTAGGATCAGAAGTCATAGGGTAAGATTAAATGGGTAACAGTTAACTAAAAAACACTTTAAAATTGTCAATCAAAGAGTAACACATATATTGAGGAATTTAAGACATTATAACAAATGAAAAGTTTTAGCTTTTTTGATAATTTTCACAGTATTTTGAATATCATATGATAACTATTCGATTAATCGACTCTGTAATTGATATCGGATAATCAATGGAGCTATTAAACAAGTGAGAGCAATTGAACTTCAGCAGCTCATCTGGAAAAGAAAAACAAATTTTTAATATAATTTAAATTGCTTTAGCTTTTCAAATAGCAGAACGATTTTGTTGTCCACTCTTAGCTCCAATTTAACCGAATTAAGATTTTTAGTCAATTGAAGCATTCTGATGTTTGGCCGTGTCCAAAAATATTTTGTACACTTTCGACAATTGAACCTAAAAATCAAAGGATAAGAGAAAGGATAGAAAGATGCACAGCTCGGCCAACAATCGAAATTCGTATATCATCGTAGTAATCAAGTATCTCATATAATTGTATTAGAGTATTAGAGTAGTGAGCTTAGTGTTGTGATTATCCAAGATTCTTCAATTTTCACAGCGATGGATTTGTTTATTTCCGAAGAGCAAGTTGGATGAGATATTATGAAAAAGTCAATAGAATACTAAATTTTATTAAATAAAGGTTTAGTTGCCAATGATTTTTGATTAAAACTGATTCATGCACTGAAGTGAACATGTGATGATTCAAAACTGGTAGATTCCATATTTCTCATCAGATTGTTAATCTTTTTGTAATCAGATAACTCTATTCAACGCAAATATGATTAGTATTTTTGAAAGTTTACGAAATTTGGTCAAAATAAGTCAAGTTAAAATAGATAATAGTGTTTTAGTGCTTCATTATCCTGTTTCAGTTATCTTGTTGCTAGCTTTTTGTGTAATTGTCACAGCCAAGGAATATGTTGGTAAACCAATCGAGTGTTTAACTGATGAATCCATTCCAATCGACATTATCAATACTTTCTGTTGGATGTACACAACTTTCACCATACCTCAAGCATCATACAATTACCCTTTACAATCATATCCAGGCATAGATGCTACCATGGATGAGAAACAATTTAAATATCATGGTTATTACCAATGGGTAGCTTTTGTCCTTTTCATTCAAGCCATATGTTTTTATTTGCCCCACTGGCTGTGGAAATTTTGGGAAGGTGGAAAACTTGAAGCTCTATCCAAACCCGTGAATGAAGCCATTTATTCGGGTCGTCATTTGCAACAAAAGCAGCATAATCTGGTTAAATATCTGGTATCAAGTCGAGGCAGTCATGATTCATATTCATTCAGGTAAGCTTTCAGTCAATTGTCAAACATTGGCTCAATTACTGATCTTTTTTTTGTCTTTTTTATTTGGTTTAAGATTTTTTATTTGTGAATCGTTAGCGTTGGTCAATATTTCCTTGCAATTGTATTTTCTTGATAAATTGTTTGAAGGTGAATTCCGTCAATATGGTCTTGAAGTTATCAATTTTTTACTTGTCAATGATGAACAGCGAATTGATCCAATGGCTCGTATTTTTCCTAAAGTTACTAAATGTCGCTTCAAACGGTATGGACCATCAGCGGGGTTAGATTCAGTCGATGCTCTTTGTTTGTTGCCTTTAAATATTATTAATGAAAAAATTTATATTTTCCTTTGGTTTTGGTTTCTATTACTTTTTATATTGACCGCACTCACCCTTGTAATACATATAATGGTCATCTCGTCTCGATCACTTTGGCTCTTTGTGACCAAATTAACCTACTCTTGGTCCTCAAGTCAACACATCAAACCCATTATTCAAAAATCAACTTATGGAGATTGGTTTTTTCTTTATATGCTTGGTTCAAATATTGATCCTGTTGTGTTGAAAAATGTTTTATGCGAATTAGCTGATAATGATGATTCAATCAACGATTCGTGTGATCTTTAGCTAAATCTCAAAGAATTAAGGCTTTCCCTTCACAAGATAAAACGATTGTAATATTTTCTCCATCCAATGACTAAATACTCCGATGTTAGGTGTTTGTCATTAATTTTAGTTCAACTGCACTTCATCATGACAATTTATCATCGAGCATCAATATGATGGTTAGAAAGAAAAATGAGTAGAAATCAGTGCATTGGAAAGCAAAAAACATTGATTTATTTGATTCAACCATTGATCTTTTATAATAATGAAGATTAAATTATCGTCAATCTTTTCAATTGAATCCAGAAAAACAAAACAAATGGGCGAACAAAGAAAAAACGAAACATTTATGCAAATATTGTTCACAATCAACTATCAACATGTAGTTACAATATTGTTCAACGGTTCTCATTGGTTTTAACTTGAAGACAAAATAATAAGTTCATTTGAACCAGTTTTCTTTGAAATTATTTTCATCTTGAGACTAGACTATTTCATCAAAACCAACTTGAATATAACTTGAAAGGCACATCCATAAGTATAGAAAGGGTAACTTCATAGCATTTGAGCATTAAATAGATTTCCGAGACTTTTTGAAAGCACCACTTTTATAAGATTTAACGGGATTCTGTTTTCGTAAGAAAAAATGAAGATATTTGTTAAAAGATTTAAAAATCAAAACATATTGAGATATTGCACGAAACACTTACATGGTTAGATTGATTTGAAATAAACTCATTTTGGTTCCGACGTCGTCCATTAGATTCATTGGTCTCGCTTATATTATTTTGATCAGAAATGTTATGAGCAACTGCTGCTTGACTCAAATTTTGACCAAAATTAAGGATCAAACTCTCGGGTAACATTGAATTAGGATTAGCTGCTGTTGCATAGACAACTCCTTGAGGCGTATGGTACATTAATCCATTGTTACTAGATGTTTGGTTGGCACAGAGGACAACACTTCCTAATAAGGTAAAAATTTACACAAATTAGACGATTAGATTAAAAGATAAAATATTAAATGATGTTTCAAAATTTATCCCGAACTAACCAGTGTTGAACAAAGGCGATGACATTTTTGAAGACAATCTCGGGTCACTTAAAGATGAAGTGAAATCGGGTAATTTGTAAAGAGTTGTTGGATTAATTGTTCCAGATGCACCATGATTGTCTTGATAATTTGAACTTCCATTTAATAAAGCTGATGAAGGTAAAATTCCCCCTAAAAATGTCAAATTAAATAAAGGCCAAATTAATAAAATATTTGATAAAATAAAACAAGAAAATTTTAATAACCAATGGATTAAATTAAAAACAAAGGCGAACCTCACGCCATCTGATGAACTTTTCCAGTGCAATGACGATTAGATATAAAACGGTCATTTAATTAAGATTGAATAAATTTCAAATGCTAATGGTTTCATTTGTGTTGTGGTCTTAAGAACTATAAATCACAGGGTAATTCATTAATCAAATCAATCCACCTTGCAACGAGAAACGTCTTCCTTATTGTCATTATTAAAATTTGTTTACAACTTTTCACTGTAAATCAAGTTAAACTCAATCGAAGATCTTCTTGATTAATCTTGCTCTAATTTAATTTTACCGTGGGTGAATCGAAGTTGTAGGCAGTTGAATTAGAAAGTGTAATTTTGATGAGGATGATAATGATTAGCGATCCAGATGGACTTATACTTTCAATAAGGGTCAAATGTATCAAACGCCTAAGCTCAAGTTAACAAGCAGTAATGACCATACATACAATGGGCTAACATTTAATAACATTTAATTGACTGACCATTTATTATACATTGTATTTGGATCAAAGGAGCGTAAAATAACCTTCAATTGATTTTCCATCGGTAATTTAAAAGCATCATACTGTTCTGATCATTTAAGATGAATTGAAAGAGATGAACATTGAAATTGAATTTGTAAAATTAAATGCTAAAATAAAACGTTTCCTGGTTTTGTTTGCTTATGTTAATAACTTGCATCTAGATTCTGTCTGGCAATTTATTTACCATCTAACGACACAGTTGCATTTTTTGGAGTTGAATTTCTTGGAATTGAACCAAAAAATTTATTGTCTTACAGTTTGCTTCCATATCTACTCTGTAAATCAAGTGTATAAAAAAGCTGATGACAATTGGTGAATCCATGGGTTGAAATGGTGCACAAAATGGGCAAAGTTTTTACCCAACATAGCTTAATGGTTATTTACCTAAAATAGCGGCAGTGAAAGTTGTTCCCGTATTATTATTTTGACTAGCATTGCTGGTAATATTGTGATTATTGGTCAACCCAATTGATCGGCTAATTGGATTCGTTGTGGTTAATTTGAGTGGTAAAGACGAGGGTGAAGATGAGGATGAAGATGATGATGTCGAGACTGTCTCAATTAATGTAACTGATGGTGAAAGATTTGTGGTCATTGGTACTGATGATGCCGTTGAACAAGCAGCGGGCATAAATGATATTGGAAGTGTTGATCCAATTGATGATAGGCTTGGTGATGGACTTGAAGATCCATTTGTAAGGGATGAACATGGTGAAGACGATGAGGTTAAATTGTTGGCCGTTGATGTTAATGCAAGTGCAGTTGTTGATGAAGAGGGTGACTGTTGCTGTTGCTGATGATGCTGGACCTGTTGATGGTTACTGTTATGGTAAATAGAGCCTTTCGAAGGTCCAGATGAACATGTTGGATTATTGTTACTACTGATTGGTGAGTTAGATGATATTCCGATCCCTCCTGACGATCCGAAAATATCCTGAGAGGAAGATGAATCTTCATCCTGAAAACAGAAAAAAAGAAAGAAAAAAAGACGTGATTAGAGGATGGCTATAGTTCAACATTTCAAAATTGTTCATTTACTCTTAATGAATTGCGAGGATAATGGGATTTGCTAGCAAACATTGAAAGTTGTATGATCTTGATCATGCCATACAAGCCACCTTTAATCTTTCCATGTCCAAAAATATCTTGATCATGCAATAGAAAGAATTTAGCAGTCAGAATTTAAACTGATAAATCCACAGTTATGACAATTAGCCGTTAAAATAAACCGTTAAAAATTGAAAATATAATCTTGAAAATGATTGTTCTAGAAAGCTTATTGTTTAAGGTTAACTTTGATGGACACAATACATCGAGTCATCTCTTGTTGCTTTCATAAGATTGCCTAGAAATGATTCAACAATTTATCACATAGGTGTGATTATTAATTTTGAAATTGAACGGTGATGATAACATTTGTGGCATAAGATTTTGATGAAAGTCGTCTGCATGAGAAGTTGATAAACAAAAGATGGTTAACCTTGTAGGAAAACAGTTTACTCTCAATACTGCAAAATAACCAAGGCCTTAGATAATTGGGTTATAAACATCAACATTCAAAGTTTAGTAAATCAGTTTACTGTAAATGATCACAATCAATCATCAAAAAGGAGTGATAATCAATTAAAAAGTATTCACTGAATAGTGAAAGTGTTCAAAAAAATAAGGGTCTACACAAAATGTTTCATTTCCAGAGTAAACCAGAAGCAAATGGCTATCATATCTCAATGTTGACTGCTTAATGGTAAAAAGGTGGTGATGTCAACATTTCAAGCTGACAATTCAACATGAGATGAAGGAAAAGGCAAAAAGTGATCTTTACATAGAACTCAAAATGGTTGCCAAATAAACAACCTTAAAAAATCTTAATAAACAATCTTAACTTGAATTCTTGACAATCCTTTGTAGTGACATACAATTGTATATGTATTGCTGTAGTTTCATTGTTTCGCTTTCACCTTGATTATAATCCAATAATCAAAAAAATTAAACAAATTTAAATAGAGTGGGAAGTAACAAAAGATGAAACAAGATGATCAAGATTATCAGAAAGGTATAATTTGTTGATGGTCGCTCCTCAGTGCGTAGACCAACGTTTGTTACATTAGTGGCGCAGTAAGAGAAAGAGAGAGACAAAGCAGCATGGATTACACACCAACCGTTACAATGCACAAACACAATACATTACAATTAATCACATTGATTGGTTAGATGATAATGGTGATACAATATTATAATTGTATTGAAACTTTGAACTTCAAAGAATGCAGAGTGATTCAAATCAATTGTAAACAAGAGTCAAAAAAGCCTCTACAAAACACACAAAACAAAAGCTTATTCACAGATTAACACCTAGTAAACGTAACTGATACCATCTAGCTGTTATAATATTCACTTGATTAGACAAAACAATGGACCTTAATTTGATTGAACACGTTTAATTAACCATAAGACATATTTAATTTGGTGAAACAATTTGATAGTAAATTATAATTTTTAAATTGCTCCACCCGAGTCAACATTTGTTTTTAATGTAAAATCAAAGATTGAGATTAAAAGTATAAATGTAAACACATTGAAAAGAGGCTGCAGGTTTAGGCTGCATTTCATTCATTTGAACCAATTTTTCAATTTTGCAACTCATAAATTGATATCTTTACGCTTAATCTTTTTGATCCAATGGTTTAATCTTTCATTTTATTCAATTTATTATTCAATGTTATTCAATAATATTTATAAAGTGAGTGGTTAATGATTAGATACAAACAATCAGTTGATACAATTGTAACTTATTTTGGATGTGTTGTGTCGTTTAGAATGAAAAACAAAAACTATTCTAAGATCATTTTAGGAAATAATCTGGTTAATTGTATCAAGATAGCTACCAATGTTTCGGAAGATTGACAGTTGATCAGATAACAATTGATAAATGACAATTCATTGATAGTTTCAGGTATTATCATGTCAAAATCCTTTGGTTGAAACCAGAATTAAGCTCAATTGGGTTCAATTTCAATACAATATTAGTTATTAACCAGAAAACATTTGCCTCAATTTTAACCTATTTTTTGGTCGATTAGATGGACAACTAGATAACTTGGAGTTTACATTTTAATATCAATTCAATTGAATGCAAAACTAAAAGGAAGAAAATCAAATGTTAAATTGTCAGCCCAAGATTCACAATGAAATTAACAATATAAAAATCGAGAGCTTATGACGAGTAAAGTCTAAACCAGTGACTTTTGAGATATTGAACTTTGAAAGTTTTACTCCATGGAAATGAATCTTCAAAGCCGTTTCTCTTTACACTATGAGGAACACATCAGACCAAATATATTTTGTTCAAAACCCTTGAAACTATCATGAAAGATGGAAAATATTAGCACGCAAAAAGCATAAAATAAAAATAAATAAAATATTTTAAAAGATGATGTTGATGAAGAAAATAAAAATGATTTAAAAATTGTATTTGGATTATGATCGCTTCATTTTTTATGATAAATTGATTGAATCATTGAATTGATTTTTGGACACTCACTTCCACAGGAAAATGTAAGATTAATGCAAAACCACAAATTACGAAGATTATTTTTGTTTTTATTACGATAGTTTCAAGGGTGCTAAACAATATATACTGGTCATTGGTTGGTGCATGGTTCATTTTATTCTGAATCTTGGGTCGATTTGGCTATTGTCCTTTCATTGGATCTTTACTAGAAACTTGAGTTATCATTAAATGATATCTAAAGTAAGTATGAAGTTGAAAACAAGGTTTTTGACGAAAGACAAAATCAGATTGCGACGTCTTTGTCCATTTAAGGCCATAACTTGACAATTTTTGCACAAAATGTTCTTGAGAAGTGTACCTTTATTTCAACGGTTAAATGGTTCTTGTAAGTTTAGTCTAACTGACGAAATTTAATGCTGAAAAATGAGTCCAAAACTTTACCAGTCATTGCTTATAACAGAAAACGTTCATTTTAATGTCATTTATTCTCGAAATTTGAATTTCGACTTTTAAATTTCGAAAGCAATCACAATTTGATTGACGGGAATCTAACGATAGCTGAATAAAGAAATGTAATCAAAAAATGATTAAAAATTAACTCTTTACATTTGGCTTCTGGAGTTACAGTAAGTGTTAAGGTTACTTGAACAAGTTGAAATAATGTTACAATTCAACAAATGTTCAATTGTGTAATTGGATGCAATGTTAATTTGTTAATGGCAAAGTGACAAAGATTAACACAATCAACAATATTAAAACGATTAAGAAACTGAAGCAACATTAACTGGACAATATAGGTGATTTAATTACAATTTATTGATAATTGAAAGAAGAGCAAGAAATAAAATAAAAAGGTACAAATGATGATGAATAATTGATTGTTATTATTATCGTTATAATTGGAATGATATTAAAAAATATAAATTAAATCAGAAAAAAAATAACAATAAAATAGCTATAAGACACCTTAAATATGAAATATACAGGAAAAAAAAGCAAATAACCTTTTAAGGTAATTTTGAATAATATTGTTTATCAATTGTTCACTAAATGTTCATTCATTATCATTAATTATCATGACTGTTGTTGTGATAACTTTGCCGTGTTTTGCATTTCCTCGAGATTTTTGTTTCTAACTTTTGTTTGCTTTTCAATTTGTCAGATTAATTGAATAACTTTTACTTTCAATCATTTGTGAAGGATAATAACTAGGACAGGTATTTCTATAGGTAAGGTGAACCTTAATATTATAGGTTGATTCAGATTCAGGTAGGCGATTCAGGTAAACCTGAATTTTCAGAAAATGTTCACTTCTTTGATTGGTTCAACAACAAAGTGGGCGGGAGTGAAAGTTTAACAATAATAATGAAAATAATTATAATGAAGATGAAGATGATTGCGATGAAAATAACATTAACAGGAAACAGGCAAGAAAACAAAGTTCATCATTTGGTGTTTTGGTGATCAGGAAACTTAACAAAAATACAATTGAATACAACATTCACCTTTGATTGGGTTTTATGTTTTACTCAAGCTCGATCATTGGATTGGCTAATGAAGATGATTCAAATTTCGGCATTCAATTGAACTTTCAATTTGCATGCTTAAGTAATTTAAATTAATGTTAACTATTGGTGTTAACAAATGAATGGTGAATACGGATAAGTTGTTAATTCATTTGGACTTGAGTCTAAGTGGGACTCGTGCAAGTCAATGTTGATTGTTGCATTAATGTTTTGGTGTAAATGATTATTGTTAACATGGTTTGGTTGTTGTTGTGCTGGTTGATGGTGATTATGATTGGTTTGTTGTGGTTGTTGGTGAATGTGGTTGGAATGGGAAGATGAAAGTGAATCAAATGGTGATGAACTATCTGAGTGTGATATAGAGGAAAGATGATGATTGTTTGTAATGTGATTGGTTAAATGTTGATGATCATCTTCATTGGTTTGGATGGGATGATGGGAGGGTTGGTGAGTCTCATATTCATCTGAAAGTGTTCCTAGGAATGGATCGTTCCGAAGGGTGGTAAAGGTAGATTCGTGGTTGTACTATTGTCACAATTTAAATGGTCCAAGACATACATATAATTAGCGTTTGAATTGGGTTCGGATGAGGTTGAGTCCGGAAATATGCAAGCAGATAAATTGTAATTTGATGTAGATAACTGTTCTCACACATTAGTGAGTGATGGAGTGGGAGACAGAGAACAGGAAGAAACATGAATCACCATGATGATGGACATGATGGTTGATGGTGTCGTTGAGGTTTCAAGACAATACAAAACAGCAAACATGCGACATCAATAAGAGGCAAATAATTGTTACCAGGTTTTGTTGTTCGGTGCGTTTCAATCAATTTTTTCATGCCAAAAAAGGTTCAATCGATGTTCATGAAATAATGGGAATAGGAATGGGAAATGGATATGGAAATGGCGAGAACAAAAC